GGTCCTCGGCGGCTAGCGAGACTGATGTTGGGCTACAGTTACGTATTCAATTCCCACACATCCTCAGGTCTCAGGTTCAGTCTTGGTTCTCGGCGGCTAGCGATATAGACGTTGGGTTACAGTTACGTATTCAGTTCCAAGATATCCTCAGGGTCTCAAGTTCAGTCTTGGTCCTCGGCGGCTAGCGAGAGACGTTGGGGTAAAGTAATGGAGCCTCGTAACACCCCCTCCCCTCAGGCTTTGTGTGTGACCTTGTTGTTGCCGCGCGCACCTATCTTACTTTTATCAAACGAATCATGGATAATATACCCCAAAGTGACAGTCATGAAGGCAACGTTTTCTTAGTCATCAATGTCATTGCCCCGCGCAGTTCTTTCGCTTTGATAAGACGGACCATGGCCTTACTACCGTACCCCCCCCCCCCCCCCCCCCCCCCACCCCCGGCCAAAAAAAGAGAAGAAGACGGCCATGAGGGCAACGTCTATTTCGCTATTCATGTCATTGCCGCGCGCAGTTATGTTACTTTCATAAAACGAATTATGGCTCATCCATCCCAAAGAAACGGTCATGAGGCTGCCACGCGCTGCCGTCCATGATGGGAGTCCGTTGTCGATGTGTTGGCAGACTTCATCCTTGAATGCGGCGCTTTTTTGTTTTTTCGAGACTTTCTAACGAAATAAACCATCTCGCTTCATAATTAATATGAATATCAACTCTTCCCTCGTTTCCTGTCATTGTTTCTGCTTCTGTATCTGCTAGATTCCCGCCTACCAAGTTTTCCAAATGGATCTAACCCACAGACTGTTCTCGCTAAGGCCAATAAATTCGGCAGCCTTTCAAGTTCTAAACCATCCCCGCAATGCAGATCTCGTATCTGAGTTCATGTTGGAAGACGCTCTTGATATCGGTCATTTCGAGTCTAATGCGACACTCAAGAATGCATGTTGCATCGCCACGCTCAGTCCCGATCCCAATGCGGACATTGTTGTTCCGGGAGATGGGAAGACCGTCTCTAACCTCCAGTACGAGTTTTTGATCCTGGATGACACTCGTATCGAGTTTGTAGACAAGTCGAGTCTTGTCTCATGCCCAGTGCGGGGAGGCGAGAACGGTGATGAAAACTTTCTGTTGACATACAGCAACGACCAGCTTTGCAAAATCGAGTTCAAAATTGACCAATCGAACTGGGCCGAGTTTGACATCATCTGGAGATTGCGATTTGGGACCAGCCTCCCTTCGGCCCTCGAGGCCCGGCGCAATGCAGTGCTGCCGCGGCGGAAGCGACGTACGATGGCCGATACCCAAGTGTTGCCCGCCACTAACCCCAAGCCAGAGAGGCAGCAATTGCCTCGGTATGCGGCAAACACCAGAGCTACCGTTGTCGCAAGATTTGAGTATCATCCTTGTCCTCTAGGGCACGGTACTTTTGGAACCGTTCACAGAGTTAGGGACCTAAAACGCAATAGGCTCTATGCGGTCAAAGTACAGCGCAATTCAGACTTGGTGAATTCAGAGTTGGTGAAGCGTGAGATTAAGATATTGCAGAGCTTAAAGGGTGACAATGTAAGTTCACTGATAGCCAGCGGGCTGGGTTATGCTAACGAATGGCAGACGAACATTGTCCAGTATCATGGACACTTAATGTACCAAGAAACAGGTCCCGTGCACATATTCATGGATCTCATGGAAGGCAGTCTACATGACATGGTCGCGCAAAAACGGCGTCCTGTGCAGCTTGACGATGACGGCCTCGCGAGAAAAATGTATCATCATGTCCTGCAGGGTCTTGATCATATCCATTCGAAAGGTTTCATCCATCGTGATTTGAAGCCCGCCAATATTCTTTGGACTCTCAGGGAAGGCGAGCTGTCTTTTTGCATTGCAGATTTCGGGGTGAGCGTCGAACAGAGTCTGGCGAAAAGCGCTGTTGGTACTATCGAGTTTTTTGCACCGGAATATAAATTCCACTGCCCACAGACGACTGCCATAGATCTCTGGTCTCTGTTCATCACGTATCTTTGGACAACCAACCTCGAGAATTTCCGAAACCAGAACTTGAAAGGTTATGATGACCTTCTTCTATGGATCGCCTCACTCGCTAGGCGAAGATGGAATGATTTGGCTGCCGTGCAGGAATTAATTGTACTCGATCCAAAGGACCGCGCCACGGCGTCGCAGATGCTCAAGCACAAATTTAAGGGAGACGGTTTAAAAATCGAGGACAGAAATGTCCCGGACCTTCCGACGGTGATGGCTCCAGAAATCAAGAATCCGAGAACAGGGGTCAAATGGCTGCACCAGCTTGTCCGTCCGAGTGGCATGCCGGCCCAGGAGCCCATTCATGAGATGGCCCCGGGCAATCATATTTTTACCAGACTCGTTTTATGGTCACTCAACAAGGAGAACAATGTTCAAGTTTTCAATCAACATAAACAATCCGGGGGTGGGGGTAGGATTACAGTCGTACTGATAGGAAAAGCCTTCAAGGACTGTCCCAAAAGTCCCGTTACCGGACGGCCCCGGGTCACGAAGCAGAAGGCCGCAGCAGTAAAGCGCCTTGTCATAAGAGAGGCCATTGTACGTGGTGCCAGCTGCCAAGCGAAAGTTCAGCCTGCCGCTGCCGCTGGAGCTTTGATTGGGCGGACGCCTGGGTTGTTGCAGAGTTAGCTTCTCTGGAGAGATGCTAGGTGTCTTTATGTTGCTAGTAAGGTTTGCAGGTTGTTTCCATCTTTTGTATAAGCTTGGTACAGTCGGACATTAAAATCAGAGTTCGTACAGAAGTAATGGAGTTATCATAGGCCATTAAAAAGGTTACTTTGAGTAGACCCCCCCAGCCTATGCCAGCCAGAACCATATCCTCTCCAAAAGATTTCTTGGCTTGGGAACTACCCAAGTTCCTTCGAGACGATCGATTTCAGCTTTGCCTGACCATATATCCATCTCCGCCAATGGCACCAATCTTGTTTTTTTAACAAGTTTGTACCCAAGAAACAAGCCGAGAAAAATCGGAATGTCAATGTATGGGGGGAGAAAAGACTTGGCAGAGAATCTGTCCGGGAAAAATGCATCGAATCCATTGAAAAGAGCAACGACGAGACAGAATACAATTGCAAAATACGCCAAGAATGGTTGCATGGGAGATTTATAGGGAAGCGTGTCTCGATCTACGCCGTGGTGGCCGAGTCCGTGGTAGAAGCGTAAATGCGTGTAAGAGACGCTGGCCCAGACGATGAGTGTGCTGACTGCAGACAGGTTGCTGATCCAGAAGAATACTTCAGAAGATTGATTATTGACATTGAGATAGGCGAGGCATGAGAGCGCAGTGGTAGCGGCTACACAGACGTATGGTACGCCAAACCTTTCAAAGCGAAGAATGGATGGAGCCTTGCCGTCGAGGGCCGCCGAATACAGCACACGCGTGGAAGCATAAAAGAAGGAATTTCCAGCGGACCAGGCGGATGTGAGAATGACGCCGTTTATAATGGACGGCAGAGTCTTTATTCCAGCATTTCCAATGGCAATGACAAAGGGGCTTTGCTTGGCGCCGGGTGCAGACGAATTGATGGCGTTTAAGAGCTTTTCATCTTTAGACGAGACACAGAGTCCGACGAGGAAAATGGACAAGACGTAGAATAGCAGAATTCGCCAAAATACTCGTCGAATGGCCTTGGGAATGTTGCGTCGCGGGTCCTCGGTCTCGCCCGAAGCAACCACGACCATTTCGCTGCCGCCATAGGAAAACGTCGCCTGGATAAACACTTTCCAAAACGCCAGGAATCTACCGAGCGCGCCCGTTTTCAGGTATTCATTCATTGGACCGGGATTCTTCCAGTAGCGAAATCCAATAACGTCGCCCGACGGCGAGCCCCCGACGGTGATGATGAACATGAGCAGAATGAGCCCGACAATGGTTGTCAGCTTGACGGCGCCAAACACAAACTCGGCCTCTCCGTAGATGCGCACCGGCAGGCAGTTGACGAGCACCATGGTGGCCAGAAACACGGTGGTGAGCGCCGCCTTGGGCACCGCGTTGGGCCAGTAGTCGAGGATGACGGCGCAGACGGTGACCTCGATGGGCACGCCAATGGCAAACTGGTACCAGTAGTTCCAGCCGAGCGTGAAGCCCAGGGCCGGGTCGACGAAGCGCGCGGCAAAGATGGGCACGGCGCCCGGTATGGGCAGCCAGGCGGCCATTTCGCCGAGGCAGTTGACGACGCAAAAGAGGTTGAAGCCCGTGACGGCGTAGGAGACGAGGGCGGACAGCGGGCCCGCGAGCGAGAGCACCTGGCCGCTGCCGACGAAGAGGCCGGTGCCGATGGCGCCGGAGAGGGCGAGGAACTGGACGTGGCGCGACTTGAGCCGGCGGTCTAGCGTGCCGAGGTGGCGCTGCTCCTCCTGAGCGTCGTGCTTGGCGGCATCGTCGGTGCCGTGCGTGTTGACGGGGTGGATGGTGATGGTGTCTGGTGGGCGCTGTGCGTCGTCGTCGGCGGCGGGGGCTTCGAAGCCCATTCTCTCAGGATAGAGACGATGACGGCAATAGGGAGGGTAATACGTGCACAGATGGGACTGGAACAAGATGCATCGATTTTTGGGGGGAGATGAGACAGTGATATAAGACTTGCACTCTCCCCCGCTTACAGCACCCTAGATGGGCGTTGTTGTGCTCCCCCGCATTGTGACGCCCGCCAAGGAGAGCTAGCCAAGTTGGCTGGCTGACCCCCATTTACTCTTTTTGTAGAAGAGACGTTGGCTCGGCATCGGGAATTTAGGGTGGCTGCTTATCTTGGTGCTAGATGGATGACTAGAATGTGAGGCGGGGGTGTTGAGCACTAGATAGGTGGTGGCATCGGAGCCGTCCTGCTATCGATAGTCTGCGAAGGGAATTATCAAGGACTAATAAACACGACTGATAAATGACAGGATCAAGAGAGCAATAAAAATGAGATGTCACGAAAAGAGGAGCGGTAGTAGAAGCGGGAGGCATCAGTACATAAATACTAGCGAATTTAGGAAGCGAAAAGGGAATCGAGTCGCATGACGTATATCAGGGAGAGGTTAATATTATAGCTTATCCAAGTTGATATCAAGGTGTTTTTGTACGAGATTGAACGTTGATTCATTTCGCAACCCGATTTTCTTAGAGTCGGATGAAACAGGATTTGCTTTACGGGGTTAAATTCCAAGTTGAACCTTTTTTCTTTTTTTTTTCAAGAGTACTCAAAGACTTTGAATTCATCCAGACTTGTCGCGCCAAAATAGGTGCAAAACCTCTATTCAAGTACTGGTCTAGCGCATCCTGCTGCACGTTTCCGAGATGGCGGTAGTTGAACGGGACCACCAGCGCCTCTACCATGCAAGGTACATGCATCAAACTATTACGACATTGATAAACGTGCATGTGTTCTTCGTCACGACAAGACCGTCTCAGTGCATGTGGCGCACTTCCAATTCCAAAATTGTCGCGCCGAAAATGTTGGGCTCAATGACGTTCTCTCTTCAATAAAGAGGGGGAGGGAGGGCCACAGCCAGGTGTATAGTAGAAGTGTGCGGCCGGGGTTACATGCACAGTGTCGTTGTATCTTGCAATAACACTACGCTATCATTCATTGGGGAAGAAAAACCGCCAGAACATTTTCAAAATTGACATGTCAAGGCCTGTACAGTATACAGGCAAGGCAATTCTGTCTTGTTTCCTGCGGGACAGGGCTGTTAGCGGCGATTGCAGAGTGGGAACCTGCGGGCTCAAGAAACGGGCGGGCTTCAATGCCTTGTCTGGATTTGGCAGCTCGCAAAGTAGACTAGAGTATACGCGGGACAATCATGTCATCAAGACCGACCGACCCGTCGCCCAAATAAATTTGAACGGAAATATTTTACAGTTTTGTTGAAAAGATTTGCCCATTGCTCAACGGTCCGAAAAGGCGGAGACGTCGGATTCAAGATCGGATTTTGGTGGGCCAGGCATCAGTGGGCAGGCGTGTACACCAATTCACCCGAGGCAAGTCATCATCATCCTTGTTATCAATAATTCATCGCCTTGGAGTCCAACTTATAAATTGAACCCCCCCATTACCTCTATCAATCGCGTACGCTGCGCGCAAAACCAGGAAAACTCATCCCCCCTTCACATGTCTGCTTCCGGCACCACTATCAAGACGGTCCTCATCACGGGCTGCTCCAGAGACGGCATCGGCGCTACGCTGGCCCTCCGGCTCGCCGACGACGGTCACCGCGTCTTCGCCACCGCCCGTGACCCGCGCAAGATCCCCTCAGCCGTCCGCGAGCACGCCCGCGTCACCGTCCTCACCCTTGACGTCACGAGCGACGCGTCCGTCAAGGCCGCCGCCCAGGCCGTCGCCGCCGCCGCCGCCGCCGCCGGGCGCACTAAGCGCGGAGGCGGGGGCGGGCTTGACGTCCTCGTCAACAATGCCGGCGCCGGCTACACCATGCCGCTGCTAGACGTCGACATTGACCGCGCGAGAAACTGCCACGACGTCAACGTCTGGGGCCCGCTGCGCACAGTGCAGGCCTTTTCCGAGCTGCTCATTGCGAGCCGCGGCCGCGTCGTCAATATTGGCGCCGCCACGGGCTGCCTCTACTCACCATGGATCGGTACGAAACAAGCCCCCCCTCCCTTCCTCCCCACTCTTGTCACTTTCATCTCGGTACTATTTTCCATCTCAGTGTGCTAACATGATCCTTCTTCTTTTCTTTCTTTCTTTGTCCCAAATTTCAGGCGCCTACAGCTCATCCAAATCTGCGCTCCATACGCTCTCGGAAACATTGCGCGTCGAGCTGCAGCCCTTTGGCGTCACCGTCGCCTGCATCATTACCGGCACCGTCGCCACGCGCTTCCACGCCAACGAAGGCGACTTTTCCCTGCCCGCAGCCTCCCTCTACGCGGACATTTTCGACACGATAGCCCTCTGGGCTCGCGGCGCCGTCGGGCCGGACCAGGGCACCGTCGACGACTACGTCACCCAGATCCTGCCCGATGTACTGGGTGATTCGCGCGGAGGCAAGCTTTGGAGAGGCGCCAACGCTGGCGCTGCTTGGTTTGCGTCGACGTGGCTGCCAGATTATGTTTTGGTGAGTTTTTTTTTTTCTATTTTTTAAATGATGTCGAGATGTCCCTTACTGATAGCCCGCCCCGTCTAGGATAAATTGGTGGTGCTAAATCAGGGATTGGACAAGTTGACAAAGAGCATTCGGGAGAAAAAGACACAGTAGATGATGGGCTTGTCGAAAACAAAGTGCACAATGGAGCTCGCCGCCTTGGTTGTGCTGTGCGCGTCCAAAGTCGGTGATGATATTTCCAATCCAGTGGCCACGAAAAAAAGACTTGTAGCTACAATATATCCAGAACAGCAGCAAGAAAAATCTAATTCTAATATTACCATCCTCTATTCTTCTATTTCATCAGATATTCTCGTCATTTCAGGATTTCTACTTGCTTTCTATTTCTCAAATGTTCTTCACTCACGAAATATATTAGCGACTCAACGACAAGTAGACCAAGAAAAAGCCACTCCATCACATTTATTTTGCTGTAAATTGAAACCTATACATGTTTCTCAACGAGGCCAACGTCTCTCAACCATTCTAGATTTGCATTTAGATCTGACAAATATATATTACTTTAGCAATCGCCCTTCCAATTCTCTCGAATCCACTCCGAAAGCTTGTAGGTAAATGTGCCGTCCATGTACTTTTGAACGTCCCCGGCACCCTGTGTGCCGCCCGAAAACTTGAGGGCAATGACAATCCACGGCTGAACAAAGTCGAGGAACACCAGGTCCACAGTCTCGGGCTCGCTACCGTCCTCAGGGAAGCCAATCTTTGACTGGATACAATTCGGGACATTGTTGAACTCGACACGCTTGTGAACCGTGTCATCACCGTCATTCCCAATATCATCGACGGTTGTGTAGCCTTCGGTCAAAGGAAGACCGGCGTTGTCGTCACTGTAGACAGTATTGCGAAGCTCGAGGCGTTCATAGTTTGCGTCAGACTCCTCATCGTGCTCCGCGGCAGCTTCGACGGGACCCTCCGCAGTGTCTGGTTGTGACTCCTGCTCGCCGGTAAACATTTGCTGAGGGATAGTCAAAAATTTTGTCTCTCGGCCAGCCTCAGCAAAGATTTTATCCGCGCCATTAAGCAGAGTAATGATGTTCTTGGCGATGCTGTACGGGACATCCGGTATATAGTTGAAGCCGCTAGTAAAAGGGCTCACAATGTATGTGCTATCCCTAGTGAACGGCCCTTTGAAAATGTCAAAACGAATACCACCCGTGTTGAGAATAGCCAAGCGCGCCTTGTCTTTGCGCTTGGGATGTTGAACAATGCCGGGAAGCACCTCGTTCTCGAGCCACGAGTAGATGCTATCCTCGCTGGGGTATTTGGCGCGTGACACCCACAGAGTCTTCGGCGCGCATCCAAATTTGTGATCAAGGTCCAGAGCTTTGCGAGCTCTGGCAATCATATTTGTGACGCGCTTGCCTTGTCGCGTGTCGAAAGTCGAGGCATTCGTGCCGCTGTGGTAGTACATGCCGTAAAGGTTATTGTCCATGTATCTACGCGTAAATTGGGCACTGGCAGTCGTAATGCTAACATCAGTCTCGGCGTCGGCATTCGTGGTCTTGATGCCATCCGCAGACATCCAGCCAATAGTCTCAAGGTACCGGCCTGACGCCATGGCAATGGATTTTGAATCAAATGTTCGAGCGTCGCGGACGTGAGAATGGCCACCAAAGAAGATAATCGGCGTGTCCCAGTTTTCTTTTCGAATGGCCGTGAATATCGTCTTGAATTCCGGCATTCGAAGTCCGACATGCCCGAGAACCAAAAATGCGTCAACTTGCTCTTTGATGGCATCCTGGAACCACTGCTCTTTGACGGTATCTTCTACCTTTTGCACAAACGAGTTGTTTGCGTTGCCGGTGAAATCAAAGAGGAAGCCGAATGCGAGAATATCGATACCTTGGTTCTTGGTCGTGAACCTCTTGTAGCGCTGGGCCAGCGGCACCTGCTGGCCACTTTTGGGGTCGATGACATCGAGGTTTGATGCAATATATCTATCCTTGAAATTTGGCACCGTCGTATTCAGCTCTCGATCTGCCGATGCAGTTTGGTAAAGCTCATGGTTGCCGATGCAGAGGAGGTCGACGTCCTGCTCGCGGTAGATATCATACTGGAATAGGCCCTTGGGCGTAGAGGCATCAAACAAGCCATTGCCTTCGATGCGATCTCCAGTGTCTACAACGAGCAGATCGACGCCTTTACCGTCAGCATGCTTGCGGAGGTGTTTCGAAAACGATATGTAGTCGCCCCAGTCGGCCGAATATTGTGCTCTGTTGGAGGCAATAGCAGGTTAGCACAGGCATCGAGATTGAGTCGTGAAGAAGGGCCAAGGTCATCTCTCTCACTCTAATAGATGGCCGCCAAGCCAGCCGTGTGTGTCTGTCGTATGGAGAAAGTTGAGCTGGCCCCAGTTGAGGTCGCGTAGCGGCGCAGCGACCGGGTCCAGAGCTCCGGGCTGTGCCGCGCGGGCAGTGAAGGCCAAGACAACGCTGAAAAGGGCGCTTCGATGCATGGTAGGTTGTATCAAGTATATAAAGACATGTATAAAGTATATGCAGGCTATAATGCGGCTATGCGATGGCGGTTGATAAATGTCGAGCTGTTGATGCAGTTACGTGGTTGCACATGACCCGAGCTGAGCTCTCAAGGTATCGATCAACGTTTGTTACGGTCGGCGTTTGTTCGATCTGGTGACCCCAACAAACGCCTAGCTAAGCCGCTTACAACCACAGCCCATGGCTACAGGATGAGCCTTCACCTCTAGGTTTGAAACATGTTGTTGACTAAAGAAAAGAACGCATGAAAAATAATTCAGTCATTGTTAAGTTTCGTGTGCAAAGTTTTCAGGATAGTGAGTGTGGTGCAAAGCCAAAACCAATGAATACCGCCAGACTAAGTGCAACACTAGCGTATCGCTAGTTGATAGCTTCTGTGGCTTCTGTGACTCGAAAGAGCTCTTTTTCTAAACCATATACTTTCCTTGACAATAATAGGAAGGCGTTGTCTAAAAAGTTTAGCCAGCGTTAAGAGACCATAGGCTGAGCGGCGGCGCTGGCGGCGGCGCGGCAACAGTGGTGTTAGTGGTGACGGCGGCAGTAGCTAGAAAATGAAGTGCTAATGGTACGTGGACAATCTTTAGTACTTCTAATTTGGAGGCTCCCACATTATAGAAAAAGCACCGTCTTTATAACTACGCTTTAGTATGAAGCTACGCTAATTACTCGATAAGAGAAGGGCTCTAGAAAGATTATTCGCGCCCAAAGCCCAATCCATTTTAGCTGCTGACAACCTTGAAATCTCTCGAGTGACCAATTATCACGACCAAGGCATAGAGCCGATTTGCTCAGAACCACCTTTAAAAATGACGTTGACCGCAGGTGGTAATGTAGTTTAGGGCAGCGCGGGCTTGAGCACTTGTGCATTCAAGAATCATCGTTGGCAGTCATGGTTGATGACGATAACGTGCCCAGTCTTGATGAGAATACAGTACCGACACTAACTTACCCGGAGGCAGTGTCGATGACACCAACTTGTCCGGAAGTGAACAAGCCTCTTTCTGACTCTCTGTCCAAGAAGTTATAATTCTTTTTTTTTTCCCTTCATATCATGTTTCAAGTAACAAGAAAGGTTTAATGGTTCGGGGAGATGTATTCAATATATCTAGTACGCTGGAGGGTGAAATGCCTCCTGGTACTGCTAATGACACTACTCGACTGTATCAACAGAAGATGGTCAAGCACGATATGAGGCCAGAAGTTTGACGAGTGAACACGTCTCATATTGTTTATGTGCTATTTACCCCCCTCAAGTAGCACCCATGCCAAACAGCCCACGCTACTCCTCCTCATACTCCAACGTAAGCGTCGTCGGAATCGGCGACTCCTTTGCATTCTTATCCAGATACTTCTTCAGCACCACCCCAGCAAGCTCATGCTCAACCACGGCAAATCGACCTTGCGGACCGCCCGCACGCCGCACATTCTTCAGACAAAACACCTCGCGCAGCGTCGCCGCCAGCGCGGCGCCCACCACGCGCGAGCCGAAGCAAAAGTGCATCCCGTACCCGAGCAGCGTGTACGCGGAAAACGGCCGGTGCGGGTCCAGGCGCTCCGGGTTCGGAAAGGCAACGGGGTCCATGGCCGCGCGGGATACGGCGATGAGGACGGGCTGGCCCTTTTTCACGTGCACGGGGCCGCGGGCACCGTCCTCAATCGCGGCGTCTCTGGTGGCGACGCGCGGGAGGCCCGGGACGACGCCGGCGTGGCGGATGCCTTCAAAGACGAAACCCTGCAGTTCACGGTCGGCGGCTGGGTCGTCTTTGGTGTGGGCGAGCTCAATGATGCGCGCCTTGTACTCCTCGTAGCCGGGGCTCAGGAACAGATTGATGAGCAGGGAGGCTTGCTGCGTCAGGTTGCCCGCCACGGGGACGCCAATGCCCATGCAGTCGGTGGCGAGGTCGGCGACGGGCAGGCCCGTGGCATCGAGGGCGTGGTACAGGCGGTCGGCGTGCGGGCCGACCTCAAAGGGGGTGTCTTTGGCGAGACGATCGATAATGGTCTCGGTCGGACCGCCCTTTTGCGTCTCGAGGTGTGCTTTGAGGATGGGGAGGATGGCGGCCGAGGCCTTGAGCGCGCCGTCACGGAGAACCCACTCGTTGGCGGGGATGATGTTGAAGCCCTGGTAGATGAAGAGCACGAGGAACGCCTGGAACGCCTGCGGGACGGTGAGCAATCCGTGCGGCGTGTCCTCCGTCTTGAGGGGCAGGGCGAAGCGGTCAGCCAGCCAGAGGATGGGGACCACGTTGGTGACGTCGCGGACAATGTCAATGGAGCGCCGGTTGGGCGTGGCAGATTCGCGCGAGTACTTGAGCGACTTGGAACGAATCTGCTGCACAATGCGCGAGCGGAAGAAGTCGGTCACGTTCTTCTCAAAGCCGTCTTCGAAAAAGGCCTGGTGCAGCATCTTGGAGCGCGGATCGTGCCGCTCCGCGTCGTCCCATCCAATCATGAATTCGTGGCCATTGGCGCACTCGCGAATCATCTTTTCATACATGGTGGCAAACGTGTCACGATCTGCAAAGGCCTTTTTGCAGCCTTCTTGGGTGTGAATGCCCACAACGTCCATACCATTGGCCGGCCGCTTCAGGTCATACCGGTCGACGACCTTGTTCGCGGTCAGGATCTCTTTGGCTGCCTCTGGCGTGTAAAACGGCAGCAGTGCATATGCTGACGTGCCTGTGAATGAACCAGGGAGCCCGTTGAGTAGCAGGTACGGGAGAATGCCGCCGTAGGAGCCTCCGGGGACAGTCTGCAGCTTTGCAAAGCCCCAGTTGGACAGGGTGGTGCTGTTAAAGTCGCTGCTCAAGAAACGGTCGCCGCGAATAAGAGAGACGGCATCGTCGAGGATACCGCGGCCCATGGTCTGGCCTGGGCAAAGGCCGCTACCGCGCATCGACGGTTTGGTCACCTCGGCCATCAGCCCGGGGTACAGCTCCAGGTTGTCAATGTGACCGTACAAGAGCTCTGCAGCTCGAGCTGTTTCTTTGTCTGGGTTCCAGTCCTCGAAGCTCTTGTAAGTCGCCAGGTTCAAGTATCGGCGGAATCTAGTACAAGTTTGCTCTGTTAGCTGTGGAATTGGCCGGCGGAATACAGATCATGCTTCTTACTCATTCAGCGTACAAGTTTTAAAAATGTTTCTGGATTGCAGTTGTCCCAAAACCTCGATAACTTTCATGCTCGTGGGAGTGCTGTGAGCGCCAAAGGCATGAGCGGGTTCCTCAATGCAATCCTTGAGAATGTTTGCAAGATCAAAGTCGGAAAAGGCACCATCAGCACCCCTTTGCATGTCGCCAAAGACCCATTCTCTCGCGGGCGTCTCCATGAATTTTCGTCCTTCATCCTTCATGATCTGCATGTACATGTCGGCCGTGACCTCATCAATAGACTTCAAGTCCGGGAGATGAGCTCGCAGGATGCCCTCTACCCAGTTACTATCCGCGGCGCTGAGCGCAGCGTGCCAGTGATAGAGGACAGAAAACTCGACGGAAATGACATTGCCAGTGCCGCGTGTAACCCTCTGGCCGCTCTTCCGTATCTCAGCGCCGAGATCGAGAGACCATGTCGAGTTGGCTCGCGGCGTGTTGAGGATGGCGGCGACGTAGTCTCTCAAGACTGCTGAAGCGAAATAGCCAACGTTGATGTTACGGGCAATCTGGAAAATATCTTCATCCTGCCTGTGGAATAGAAAAAAAAAAGGTTATCAAACAAGTCCACGCATCCGTACTGCCAACTCACCATTTTTTCTCGTCCTCGCTGAGCTCCTCGACCGGCTTATACTTGCCGTCCTCGTTGACACTGAGTAAATTTGCCGCAATGTGATTGTGATTTCGTGATAACAAAACGAGCAACGACGCCACGCCCGGTGGCATGGCCATGATTCTGTCGCTGGCGATTGAGTCTGGGAAGAGTCTCCCGTTTGTGTACGTCCGAACCCGAACCTGCTCCTCCTTTGTGTTGCCGTAGAGGGTACTAAGGTCGACATAACTGGACGTGTCATTGATCCATGGATTGCTGCGCGACGACTGGAAAACTTCGTGGATGACAATGGTGGCAAAGGAGAAGAACATGCGGTTGAGCCCGGAGGGGTGCGCCCGAAAAGGGCCCTTTCTGCGCAGAAGCTGATCAAAGACCAACTCAGGATCGGGCTGGCTAGAGCCCTTGCTCTGGGTAGGTGGCACGCTGCGCGCATAAGGCGAGCCGGCTTTGCCCATTTCAGGCCACCAGGGGTTGTTCCCGCTGCCGTCGCCGCTCCGGTACCTCGTAGACGGAGCAATGTTTGTCTGAGCGGGATGAGGGAGGTCATGCCATAGCATGGTGATGAAGTCATTGGAGATGGTGTTGCCCAGGCCGCTGTCGGACGGCAAGGTCTGCAGCATGTTGATGCCGTGCTCGAGCACCAGCTCCTTGTCGTCTATGGGCTCACCACTGGCAACAGTCGTGAGACCCTGTGCTAGGGCGGCGACCTGCTGTAGGTCGAGATGGAGCAGGTCGTGGACGATGGAGGTCTCCTTCTTGGGGGCAATCGCAGCGGCTTCTTGGTCTGTCTTGCCATCGGGGGCCGAAGGTGGCTTACTTAGCAATGCACCTAAGAGTGTCTTGAGCTTCTCCAACATGATGATGGTTCGTATTCGTCGATGTTTTTGTCGGCTGGGAATGGGCGGATGAGGCAAAGGGATGTAAATGCAAGGTCATCACAGTGCGAGAGAAACTCGCAGCCGCAAGGCCATCTATATATCGTTGCATATCTCACTCGCCAGGCTCGGAGAGTAGCCTGATCTACGAATATGCCGCCTCGGGGAGATACCATTGAGACATGATGTGCCATGTCGTCAGAATGAAAGAGGACGGTACTGACTAGAAACACAATAGTGGACAGTCTAGGTTCAGCTCCGATGCCAGCCGTGGCTGCTGATTCTAGCCGCAGTACAAGTTATAAGCATCGTCAACCAATGGGTGGCTTTAGAACATGGTACGTTTACTTTTGATACTCGACTCTGAGACATGCAGATTGCCTTGTCCAACCGGGGTCTTTGCTGACATACTCTCATCCGCCATTCGCGGTAACATTTTGTCATGTCCACATTCAGCAGTTTCAGAGGTGTGGTCTTCTGCAAACTATTAGACTGGCCCTGATGTCATAGAGTAGACACCAGGCGAAATGTAGCTCTGTTGCTACTTGTCTAGACTGAAGTCAAGTCTAGACTAAACTCAACTCCTGCCAAAGCATCATTCTTCTCTCGGAAATGATTCACGTGTCGAACAAAAGTAAGACAGAAAGCGGAGCCGGCTTATATGCGATGGAGCAATATCTAATGCTTTGAGACATATTTACAAATATAAGATGCGCTGCTGCCTATTAATTGCGCTTAACTAAGGAGTGAAATGGGGATTTTACGCCGGCTTTGAGACAACAAAATCACTAGACTCATCTTTCCGTTTATGTATCTACGGATTAAAGCGACAACCTATTCTTTCAGATCGTGCGACGTGGGCAGCGATGCGGCTTGCGGTGACTTTATGCTTTCTTGGGCGTTGTCTAGCGTCGTCTTTGGGCCCTTTTCTTACTAACGTTTTGAGGCGAGATATGTTGGCAGAGACATTTGCGACCGCTGTATCGTGGACAGTGCGTACTGCAGTGACCAGTCGCCTCAGGAAACAATCGAATCTGTTGTTTTAGAAAAACTGACTAATTCACGGGTTGTTGGAGTTGTTTTGTCTGAAAATCACCCTCGGCTCCGCGGCGACGTGGGGAAGCTTGGAAATGAGCCAGAATAGGAAAACGACCAGACGTGGCACAGCAGCCGGACCGACCATTTGGATCAAGATTCAAGGTTCAATGGGGTTACGCAAATGACGCGGGGGAGATGCGGCATCGTATCGCTCGGTTAGGGGGGTCGTGATCATGGAGAGCCTTTGCTGGGAATCAATCGGCCGGTGGCACAGCTCATGATATCCAGTGATGCAACTAGAGCTGAAATGGCTAATCGTCTTTACGGTAGTTTTCAGCCCGATGAAGGCCCTGTATTTAGTTCTTGGACGCTCGCTGTTGGAGCCAATAGCTTCCACGCGCGCCCGCCAGCATCAACGCTAATAGCCCCGGGCGGAGCAGGCTGCGCGGTCCGAAATACGACGAGACAGAGAACACATCTGCTAACCTATCAAGCTACTTACAGTGTAGGCTTGCCTTGGATGAGAGAAGAGGCGGGGGTCGATGTAGTGCCAAGTGGAATCTTGTCGGGAACATAAGATGCGGCTGAAAAGTTGTGTCTTTGATTTTTTTATTTTTTTCATTGTTTTTTCCTTCAATTTTTTTTTCTTTGTAAAAAAGTCGCATGGCAGTTCTAATACTACCAACCTCCTTGCACTCGTGTACAATTTGAGATTGCTCAAGATATCACGTTGTACAAACGACGACCTCTTGACCGCCGCCGGCCTATTGTAGCCCCCGTCTACAACTGCCTGCACACAGTTATTTACGGCGCATACCCGACAGCTTCTGTGGCGGCACGAATGCACGACGCGCGGCCAGCAGAGTTCTGGTGAAGTGAACAAGAATTCAATAATGACGTCGAAGAGACCGAATGGCGGCATTTCAACACCTTCGACGTCATCACCATCTCCCGCCTATGGTTCTTTCCAGGCGGGCGACTCGCTTCAATTGCTCTACAAGGAGTTGTCATCGGTAGCAGACCGCGAACCATTGCCGCCGACAAGTACCGAAAGCGAACCTACTAGCAGTTCGATAATGACAAGCGGTTTGTGTTTTCCCTTACAAGCCATGTTACTTGGTCGCAGTGGCTAAGGCGACAAAAAGACCCTAGGACGACAATATCAAGCAGCACGTGGACGAATGTCGTGATTGTCAAGACGATACGGTCGGTCATGGCCGAACTGCGGCGACGGTGAATGTTTGTTTGCGCAATCTTGGACTCGTGCATGCACGCTGTTCCGCAAAGCAAAGAAAGAAAAAACGGCCGCAATCAGCGTTGCCCCTTTTTAAAACCCCTTTACGCACCTCGTTTGGCTTGCCTGTCTCTCCATTGCTTTCAATTTCATGGTCATTGACAGCCCAAAGTTGACCTCGACGACAGCGGGGTCGATAAACTTGGCCCTCTGGCGCGGATTTTCTAGCCACGAGGTGTCTCACTCAGCAGCGCAATCGGGGAGCCCGGGCAGTCGTCTTGCACATGGGAGAAACTGAGAGGGTTAAAGACCAACAATGTCGCAACTTTCGGATATAATGATATAATTATATTCCAACCAATACGAATGACAAGTTCTTTATCATTTTTTTACCTTGCCAAAAGTAATATGCAAAATGCCCAGGACGAGGCGTTCAGCTGTACGCCGCAACTAGTTAGTGAATCCCGCGTCCAGTAATAAGTTATTCGTCCGAATCTAGCCTTGGTAGCCCCACCATCCCCAACGTCCCTCTCCACTGCAATCAGCAAGGCTCAGAGAATCTTTTTTTTTTCTTGCTCCTCTTCATCCCCTTTGCTCTCGATACTATTGCTTCACTTTTCGTCCTATATCTAGTATTCGCTGTCGAATCTTCAAGCAGTGGACTACTCGGCCACATCTTCCGTCCCTCTCTCCAGTATTTCATCAAACGAAGCCCATGTCGGCATCCTCTGTCGCCAGACCTCTTCTCTACAAATTGACAGTGGCGCATCGCCGCATGTGCCAGCTCCGGCAATAGGAATTCCAGCAGGCGACTTGAAAGTCTTTGCGCTCTGCTGCAGATAAATTTAATCCATCTTATTGGATAAAGACTTAACTTGCAAAAAAAAAAAAAACGCCTCCTCATTCAACCAGCAACACCCCGCCCGCATCAATACACGTAAGCAACATCTTTCGCACCTCATTCTTCTCAGTCCTCTGCAGACTTGAGTAATACCCAGCGTCATGTCTTCTCGACTAACAGCAGCCGGGGGTAGCGCTAGTCGAATGCCCGTCAAGAGAAGCCCATTCTGGAACCGCCTCAAAGACGCCCTCTTTAGCACCGAAACTGCCACTCGCGACGACTACCTGTACCAGCCTCTTGGACGAGCCCAACTTTCCGAACAAGAACCGGCATCCTCTTCCTCTTCTTCGTCTTCCGCTGCGGTAGCTTTCCCCGCAACTGGCAAGATGCACGCAATGCACTCCTCAAGCGACGAGGCCGTCAAGACGGCCCCCGTCACCACCACCACGCCGGCCGACGGCCACTACGCGCCCCAGACCACCGACGACAATTACCGCGACCTGCAGCGCGAGCCCAGCGGCGCCGCCGACTCGGTCACGCAGGGTTTGCACATCCTACAAAAGCAGTCGACGCACTGGTGGTCTTACTTTACCACGCCCGACTTTTGGATCGTCGTCGCCATCGGCCAGGTGCTGGCGCTGTGCATCACCGCCACCAACACCTTTACCACGTTTCTCGCCAACGCGCACACCAACATTCCCGCCTTCCAGACCGTCTTCAACTACATTCTCCTCTTCCTCGTCTACACGACCATCATGCTCGTCCGGGATGGTCCGCGCGTCTGGTGGAAAGCGGCCCTCAAGGACGGCTGGCGCTACCTCATCATGGCCTTTCTCGACGTCGAGGGCAACTACTTTACCGTGCTCGCCTACCGCTACACCAACATTCTCTCGGCGCAGCTCATCAACTTTTGGTCCATTGTCTGCGTCGTCCTCATCTCCTTCACCCTGCTCAAGGTCCGCTACAAGGTGTTCCAGGTCATTGGCATCCTCGTCTGCTGCGGCGGCATGGGCATCCTGCTCGCCTCGGACCACATGACCAACAGCAACGGCGGTCCGGCCGAGAACCGCCTCAAGGGCGACCTGTTTGCCCTGCTTGGCGCCACCCTCTACGGCACCAGCAACGTCTTGGAGGAGTGGCTCGTCTCCAAGGCGCCCATGCACCACGTCCTCGCCTTCATCGGCCTCTTTGGCATGATCATCAACGGCATCCAGGCCGCCATCTTTGACCGCACCTCCTTCCAGCAGGCCCACTGGGACTCTCACGTCGCCGGCTGGCTCGTCGGCTACACCCTCTGCCTCTTCCTCTTCTACAGCCTCGCGCCCCTCATCCTGCGCATGGGCTCCGCCGCCTTTTTCGACATTTCCCTCCTCACCGCCAACTTTTGGGGCGTCATCATTGGCATCCGCGTCTTTGGCCTGTCCATCCACTTCCTCTACCCCATTGCCTTTGTCTGCATCATCCTCGGCCTCGTCACCTACTTCCTCTCCGGCAGCCTTCTCGGCGACTCCAAGAAGCCCTGGCTCGGCGAAAACCAGGAGGACGGTGTTGCTGGCCTCGGCACCGCCAAGCTGCGCGCCATCAACGCCGCCCGCATTGCCCAGCAAGAGGCCGAGAATGGCCATCCCGTCTCCGAGGCTACCTCTGCGGCCGCCGGCGTGGGCGGTGCTGGCTTCATGGCGCGTGCCCGGGCAAATGCGCAGAGATTGTGGAACAAGGAGGCCATTTAGAACGATTTTGACGCGAGAAGCGCACATTCATTGGTGGTTTCGACCCGTTTTGGAATCAACATGAAGCAAAAGTTTTGGAAACCTGTCCAACGAGCAAATATATGTTTTACGAGCATGTATAGATGAAATAGATATACGATTCTGCCTAGCGGTGAGATTTAGTCTGTAGTCATCACCGCCACTCGTTCACCATATACTCATCTACACATCAACGTCCAACATGGAAAAGCAAGTTGTCGCATTATTATGTTCAATTGTAGATCCTTCAAACTATCTGCACAGGGGTATATCCTAAAGAATGCGCCAGTCCAAAACAAACTATCCAAGCAGAAAGAAAGCATAAGCAAAAGAAGTGCGCTGTAAATGGTTGATCCACTTCCTAAATCAAAAGGACCTGTGCAATAATACTCTTGCGTCTCACAACACCTCATCAGTTCTGGTTGTACATGTTGTCGTCGTCTTATGAATACAAGTCATTTGGCCGTCTCTTCCGAGAGCCTCTTCTCACTGACCAGCATCAGCGTCTTACTCTCGAGGCCCTTTGTCAGCAGCCCGTCGTCGAGCAGGAACTTTTCCCGCAGATCGGTGTCTCGCGCGGCGGCTCTCGGCGTCGCCGACTCGTCGTATTTGTCAGACCACAGGATTCGACTCGCCTCCTCCATGGTCATCGGCGCTTCGCGCGCTTCGTACAAGTCTCCGTCGTCGGAGGGTTCGCGCGGCCGCGTCGACGCCAGATTAGAGAGGACCGACTCGATCATGTTGCTGGCCTCCAAGGGTGCCGGCAGCGGCGGTGGCGCGCTGTCGGCCTCGTCGCAGGCAGGCTCCGCAGGGGTGGCAACCGTGGGCATTTCATCGCTTTCGAGGTCGCTGTCTGATTCGGCGGTACGCTCGTCATATTCACTGTCTGGCGTCACGGAGCCGCGCGTTCTGTCATTGGCCATGTGGTCTTTGAGGTAATCCGAATCTGACTTCCGCATCTTGTCCTCGGCATTATTCATAGTCAGTGGCTGTACGTGGTTCGTCGCTGAGCCCGCCCGCATCGTCGAGCCCGCCCGCAGAATGTTGCGCATCAGCAGCAACTCATACGTCTTGTACGTTTCATAGAACGCGCGGTTGACGCGTGCCGCGGCGTGCAGGTCCGTAATGTCGGTGATTGCGCCAAGAATCTGCAGCAGAACGCTCTCCGGAAACTCAGTTGCAACGGTGTAGCCATCGTCGGCCGCGGCCATGCGGCCGAGCCCTGTAGCGACTTGCGACTGGGGCTCCGACATGGCGTGCTTGGACAGCGCCCAGCCGTGACTCTTGCCGCTAATGTCAAATAGGGTCAAGCCGGTGACGCTATTGTAGATGTCGGCCACTGCGGTTCGAAACGACGGGATTGGGTCGCAGACACCGCCGCGATGGACCGGGGCTGGGGGACTCGGCAGCAGTCGTAGCAGATCCACGATTTGCGCCAAACTTTTTGACGAAAGCGGCACTTCTAGCTCTCCTGCCAGAGCCTTGGACTGCACCACGATGGGCAGCATATTCATGTTATTGAAAGCCATCAAGAGCCAGCCAAGATTCGTCGCGTCGCACCAGTGGCTTCCTTTAGGACATCTCGTCGTCGTTGTGAGAGCTAGTGTGGGGGTCTGCGGTGTAACACTGCCCAGACTTCCCCAGATAGTTGGAGGCGGCTCATCCGGCTCCGCGGCTAGTGCAGGCTCGCTTGTCGGAGGTTTTGTGTATTCTTGCAACGCCGCTGTGCAACAGTCATGCAGCTGCGCAATCTTGGCGGAACGCACAGCCCAAATTTTGTCCTTGATCTTTTGTGGCCACGGTTTGCTTTGTAGGTCTCTTTCATCTCTTAGATGTAAGATGGCGCTCTTAGACAGTCTACTGAATAAGCCGCGCGAGCCAAATGCGTAGCTGATGATGAGAAGGCCGTCAGACATGTCATCCGAAACACGATGCATCCATTGTGGCAGCCACCTGTGCTCAACCATCAGTTCTAGAGGTGAGGTGCTCTTGTACCGTATTGATGATTCTGCAATCGCCACGAACTGGTCAAAATTGATATCCCGCGGTACGTGCTTGTGATTCACGTGCGCTGCGTGCAATAGGATTGACAAAGAGTCCAGCTTGTCCGCTTCTGTCTGCGGCATACGATACAACCAAGTCTCTGTCTCGCCCTTGTAGTAATACTTGGAGGGCTGCGGAGGGAGTTGCGCCGTGATGTCCTCAGCATCGTGCAGGTGTACGCTGCTTGCGGGGCCGGAGAACATGCGCGCAAAGATAGGCGACGTCTCTGTCAGCATTCGTGATGAAACACGGAATCGTAACACCGGATCGTCGGTTGAGCAGCCGGCAGTAGTATTTGCGAATTCCAAGATTGCGTCTCCTTGCTCCGAAATTGTAACTTCACGAATTTCTCGCGATGGTGAGATGCCTGATTCGACGGCTTGGACAATTTGCCGAACCGCGATCAACTCCTCCTTGGCCTTTTCGTAATTCCTGAACCGGATTTCATATCGGGGAAACTAGACGAGATTAGAACGGTTTATTGAAAGTGGGAGTAGCGGCAAGACTCACGAATTGCGGATCAGGAGCCAATACTCTGGTCACGGACGCATTGCGCATACGAGTTACCGCATCACGTCGAAATCTCTTGTTGTTAAAAAGGGTCTCAATCATCTCATGTGTCGCGTCCCTCTCGTAAGTCTTGTACGTCTCCGCCAGGCTAGTTCGAAAGGCTTCGTTGAGCGCCTCCACACAGGCCTTCCAGTCGCGAATGGGGCCCATCCACAGGTCAGCGCCCTGCAACCCTGAGCGATTGCCACCATTGGCTGAAACAACTTCAGCGAGGCTCTTGCCGCTGAAAGAGCTTCTGTTGTCGAGCATCCCGGGACTACGCGGTGCTTCGGTATCTAAGTCTTGGCGCAAAAACGTTTCATTGGTGCTAGGCGAGGAACGTAGAGGCTTGAGCTCCTCTTGCATGATGGCGAGACATAGCGCGGAGCATCGGTCTTTTATTTTCAGAAATTCTTTGTAGGCGTGGTCGACTTGGCTCGGCGCCGACGGAGCGGAGCGCATGCGCTGGACGAGGGACTGCAGCTCGCGGACAAGGCTCTCAGGTTCGTGGAATGAGGCGGAGTCGCTCTGTCGCAGGGTATTACTGTCGGTCAGGTCGGTCTCACTTGGTGTCGCGTGCGATTTGTTGTGCTACTGTGGGTTAGCGATTGACGCGAAGAAGCACTACACAGCGCCGGCCAAACCCTGGCGCGATGCGCCTCGGCATGCATTAGATGATCCATGAATACACACCGGTGATGGAATTGAAGATTCCTTGACGGAGCCTTTGCGTCGTATCTTGACGAAAGCGGAAAACGAACCAAGACGCGAGGACTTTTGAGGTAGTGACGCCGACGGACAGCCGCTGTCGCTAATAGTTCTGGGTTTTGTCATGGCGGGCAGCCAGCGCCTCAGCAGCAAGAGCGTCTAGCAAAGTTGGTCTCAGCTGTCGCGAGGGTCTAGCGCAGACGTGGTTCGCATGGACACTGAGTGTGCCACCAAGGAGCATGATTTGGATCCCTTCATGCGGCAGAGAAGAAAGGGGGTAAAAGAGGCAAAGGAAAGAAGTGGTGCAACTGCGCACCCGAAACTGGACGGACAAGAGAATTATTATTAGGCTGGCGTCAGCCGTCGTTCTTGGCAGGCGAGTCGCCGCAGCTGCAGCCTGCGCTGATGCGTAAGGTAGCGGCCTAGGTAGGTAGGCCTCAGCCAGGCACCTCGAGCTTATTTGGCCGATCAGGCAAAACTTTGTTGCTTGCGTTTATTGTCAAGGTGGTGCTTGCTTGCTGCTCTTTTTTCCTAATACCGCTACTTGCTTCAGGATCCAGTGCCTGTCTCAATGTCGCAGCGGAGGGTGACAAGCGGGAGAGAAAGAAGGGTTACAACGAAGATCGGAGCTGTGCAACGGGTGGGATACCAAGAGGCTAATAGAGCCTGAGAGTACGGATTAGACCAAAGGAAAAGGGTGGTGCGGCTCGAAACTCTACGCCCCACACACAGCGCAAACGGGACGAAATGAAACAATGTTGGTTGCTCAATAGCAGAGAGTTGAAATTCGAGACGCAAGACAGCGATGATGATATGGTCGCCGAAAGTGTCGCACAAGGATAGACAAAGAAATAACAAAAAAATCGCAAGAATCAGCGTGCCAGAGAAGAAGTACTGCGAGGTCAGAGTAGGAGTTTTGTGGAGGAAGCAAACCGGGGGGGACTTAAGAGGTGGACTAGGAGTGTGGGGATACAAGCACTGACCCGTATGTACTTGCTACCCCAGAGAAGATGGAAGGGCCTTGGTGCGATGCTGAGTAGGCTGGCGATGGGCTGAACTAGCAACTAGGCAGTATTTGATGTGCCATCCTTGTTGCGTTTTCCTTCGTCAAGCCTTTGGATTAATCTGCCGCAGCATGGTTGCATGGCAGCGCTGAACACTCGTGACAAATCCTTAGGCCATGTCCGACAAGTCGGCGACGATGCTTTAAATGTGGGTAAGATTGGCGGGGAGCCTTTTGTTTCCCCGTCCATGTTCCGACATTAATCTCCTAACAAATAGGTACCAAATAGTTACAACTCGATAACATGAAAAGACCACGGGCACACGCATATCATCTTCATTCTGCTCGATCCGCTCCCTGACACTTCGTAGTCCACACCTGCTTTCTTAGAAAAGAAGCATGTTACGGTCAGCTACTTCAGCCTCACCCCTCACCCCTCACTCCCACACATACACACACCTAACCCTCCGTCGGCCGCTTGCAGGGCAAAATCTCCCATCACTGACTGCCCTTCTCTGCTCTACTCCGTATCCTGTTGCCTAATACACTATAAACCTGCTTTCAACAACTTTTCAACCAATTTTGCATCTTACTAGCTAGGGCTGCGTCTGAAAATTGCAGCCTGCAGCCCGTTTCCCCATCCACCAACTTCGCCCCCCACCATTTACTAGGCCGCCTCTTTGGCTTCCATGATTTACAGCCTCGCATCTACGGAGCCAAGCATCACGCATACTCATCCTACTTGGCACGGGTTGTTTTGGATCAATGTTTCGTGTTCCTGTTACTTCATATCTCTACTATGGTGCCCTTCTTTTCTGCAAATATCCCTCTATACCGCTTCGCACTCGGCACGTATACCCTCTTGTTCGCTCGAGTCCCCCTAGTTCAGGTGCGTGTACCTTCTCCTTCGCTTGCTCATCTTCTTCACAAAAGAGGATTTCAATACCAAACGCCTGCCTCCATATAACTGAGCGCCAGTTCCTTTGCCTAGTCTACCTCCTTCCTTGATATATAGTCTCCTTGGCCTCCCTGCGACTCTCGTATGTGCAAAGTTGATGCCATGGTAATCCTGTCAAATACAAAGTCTTCGCAACTCCATTCCACAAAAGTAAAAGATATCAAAACAATGTCCAATTTTCGCATCAAAGTTCGGCACCTCATCAAGCTCATGTAAATAAGGAAAGCTTTGTCGGCGGCATCAGCGGCCATCAACAGTTACCAAAGACAATGCATTACCATCATATCAAATCTGACATGCCGGCTTCTCGCAATCACCCGCCTTTTCGTTCCGACTCATGCTTGGGCGGTTGCTCACCATGGCTTGACGCATTCAAACCACTTGGCGCCTTCTTCCGCCGCCCGGCTTTTTGCCAGCTACCGTCGCTTTCGCTTTTTGCACAACGAACGTGTCCATTTTCCCTTGGTGGATTGCATCTCTGCGCCGGCGCATTTGCCTTCTGGGTTTTGCCTTTCTGGCTGTCCTGGCCGGCCGCATGCTTCTCCGTCGCTGGAGATTTCTTCGCCTCGCTTCCGCTACCCTGCTTCGGTCGCAACGGCATCCCATGCGCAGAGCCACTGTCGTTTTTTCTGTGCATCGTCGGAGATGGTGTTCGAGTTTCGTAAACCGGTGATAGATGTGCCATATCTACCACCGAGGCCTTGTTCAGACGATTCTCTCCTGTAGCCAAGTCCAAGGGCGCAATAAGCCCGCTCGAGGTGTTTTTCGATGACAATCGCTGTCGCCCCGATGCCGAGCCTTTTCCTCCAGCTATCGCATTCACATTCATTCCTTGGGCATGCAGCTTGCCGTCCTGCGGCAGGCCAGCGAACCCTGGGTAGTACGGATGCATCGACGCGATTCTCTCTCTGAACGAGGTGTCGTCTGCTGGTGGCAGACCCGGCGGTTTGCCCAACCCGTTGACAACAACCGGGGAGAAATCCTGCAAAGGATTCATCTGAACAGTGCCCATCAATCCTTCGCTGGCGGGGTGGGGCGCAATGGGCATCGTCATCACAGGTGGTTGGATCTGCAGCGCGTTTTCAAAGCCTAGACCTATCGGAGATGCAAATTCTTGATTGGGCACAAACGCAGGAGCATTGTAGTTCGCTGCCTTGCCACTCGATCCGTTGACAACAAGCGGCCGCGAGTTGTCCTTGCTCTGGTTTCCGGAAAAGGGCGTCGAAGGGAGCGGCGCAGTTGATGTATCAACAGAGTGCGCCCGTGCATGACCGAGGGGAGAGGGCGACCGCGAAGCCTTTTTCATCCTTCTGTCGAGGAGCGATTGCGTCAGTGGCTCTATCGAAGGTCTGCGCTGACCAGTGCCTGTAGACGCCAAATCGCCAAAGGCAATACCTGCTTGGGATGTCTGCTGCTCTGGGCGCCGCTTAGTCGGGCTGGTGCTTCTAGCCATGAAGAAGCCGCCAGATTGAGCATCATCTGATGTCGGGGACTCTGTTGAAGCTTTGGGAGTCTCGTCAAAATCCGTGTCATCGGAAATGAAGCTCGGAATCGGTACACCGTTTGGACTCGTATAGTACGACGGGCTTGCGGCTGTTTGTGCCATCATGCTATAAGATGCAGGCAATTGAGACGCGGCTTGGGCTTGTGACCGAGATGCGGGCTGCGACTGGGATCGCAATGAGCTGCTGGAAGCACTGCCAGCGTCCGCAGTGGCTGATCTATGCAAAGAGCGCCTAAAGTCTTGCGTTGAATGGCTTGCAGTCACTGGTGACGAAGGATATGTGCCATAACCCTGTGCAACAGGCTGGTAGAACGTATGGCCCAGACCCATGTTGTACATGGCATATATTTCAGGTCGGATGGGAGCCGATGTAGGAGCCGTATCAAACGAATTCGTCCTCGACCGATCTGACGACTGTTGACCAGAGCTTGAGCTGCCAGACAGTCTCTGTTGCTGTTGGGTCATGTTCTGGTGCTGCAGGAACGCGGGTGAGTTGGCGTAAAGATGGAGCTGCTGCTGATATGCCATATGCGTGACTAAATCTTGCTGAGTATACTGGAATGGAAATGAGGGATTTGGGTACCATGCCAAGTCCTGTGCCATGTTGACAGGTGCAATAAACATGTTGCCATCGTATGTTGCCGGCACACTTGACGAGGCGCGTCTGTTAGATCCACCGCCGCGAAAGTTGCTGTTATGGCGATTTCCCCTATGATTACCACGGCCACCTCGGCCCGAATGCGATTGAGATGAGCTTCGCAACAGTGCAGGTCGAGGCTGAGGCGCAGGCCGAGACCACACACGCTCCTCTTCCTTGGGAAAGACAAATTGCTCGCAAGCTTCGGGAAGCTTTCCTTGGGAGATAAGGTCAAATGCTCGTCGTAGTTCAAGATGCAGACCGCGAAACGAGTACTCATCGGCGGTATTTCCAAGGTTTCTTGACGTGTTGAAAGGCTCCTCTACACAGAGTTGGTTATTCATGGTGTAATTCCATTTCTTATCCGATTTCGTCATGATTCGACCGAGTCTCACGGATAGGACGTGCTTATCGTAATCAAATTCGTGTGCGTAAAATCGAAAAAACTGAAAGAGAAGCTCGGCTTCGGATGATTTATTCTTGTTGCCGTAACCCTTGATCTTTTTCATGTTGTCGGCAAAGTCGCCAACCGAGCCATCGGGTTTGGGTAACTTGTATGGTAGTTGATGCAGAGCGGGAAGAACAGCCGGGTTGCGAAGTTGTAAAAAGGCAATGATCAGACATATCCAAGTATATGAACTTAGCGTACCACCAAACGCTGGACCACGTTAGCAATTTTCAGGTTAGGACTGGCGGTGGCGGAGACTCACCCGCGTCGTTGACTATACGTCTTCTTGTCCAGTATTTTATAATCATGGCCAACTTTCGTACTCGAGGGTCTGCTTCGACGTATGTGCGAACCATTCGAGTATTTTCAAGGGCGACTGTATTGTTGACGTTCATGTCACAAGCAAGACCCAGTTCAGGATCCCAGATTTTGACGATCGGAACTTTGGCGGCAGAAATACAAACGACCTTCTCCATTCCTCCTACACTCGGTTAGATACACGCAGGCTCTCCAAGTTGAGAGTGACACTTACGTCGAGCCAGCAGATCAGCAATCATACAAACACCTTCAAGCTCGTGCCAAGGCGTGGTGATGCAAATGTCGACTGGCTATCGTTAGTGGACTGCAGTATGCACGGAAAGTTGAAATATCCGTACCATCGGAAGAGTCGGAGCAGAGTAAATTGCCAGAAGAGCCAAAAAGGTGGACTTTGATATCGCGGTCTGGCCATTCGTCATTGAAAAGCATCTCGAGTTTCTCGACTAATCGTTTTCGATTCTTCTCGACTTGCTCTGTTGGAAGCAGCTTGTCATATATCTCTTTCATGTCCTTGGTTAATTTCCCTTCCTCATCTTCTCCCAACTTGGGGGCCACAGTCCGCATATCGAGCTTCTCGAGGCGATCGCTGCCCACAGAGTAAGGTATTCTCCTTCTAGAGTTAATCTGAGCAGTCTCATACTTGCAGCCGCCGAGCCGTGGTGGCAAGGGGCGCAAAGAAGGAAGCGTGCTGTTCGTTTCCGAGTATGCGGAGCGGGGTGAGTGGTTCGTGCCGGCGTTCGGTGAAGGATCGCGGGATTCGAAAGAAAACTGTCTGGCATGCTGATGCGGCGTGGAAGGAACGGAACTTGAATGTGCTGGTCCCTGAGGCGATGTAGAGAGAGCGGTTGTCCTCTGCGCCCAATTTTTGGACGACTCCGCCGCTTGCCGGGCAGGCATCTTGGCCGGAGCGTCTTTGGAGGTTATAACCAAACGGTTCTTGTCAGAGTTCTGACTTGATCGATTCCCATTTCCCGATGACGTGGTAGTCTTGCCAGGCGTATGTTCTTTCAGCGATGCCCTACTAGAAGTACGCGATCTGGACGCGGCCTGGACGGTAGGCGAGGTGACTACAGGGGGGAGTGGCGGCGTCTGCAGGCCACCACCCCTTGTTGGCGAAATGAGCTTGTTGTAGTGAAGGAGCTGGGCGTGATAAATGTTTGACTGCTGAGGGATCCAAAGCGGTAGAAATTCGAGGTGCGTCGGAAAGGGGGCTGTATGCGCAGCCGAGGGCTCCTGGGACCGATCTGCGGTAGCCGTGGTATTGGAGGCCGATGCTGAGGCGGCCGGGGTATTCCAAACCTGTGCGGAATAAGACTGTTTAGATTCGGACGTCGACGTCCGGCTGTCCATGAAGAATGCAGGGCCGGGGTGAAACTTTCGCAGATAGCGGCGACGGGTGGCGAGCGGCTACGAGAAGGATGAGTCAAGGCTGCACAAAAGAGCGAATGAGGCTGCGGGATGCAAATGCGATGCTTGGTGCCAATGGAGTCGTATGGCGACCGATTGGCTGTCGTGTATTAATGAGCATGTAGTGTCGCAGACGGCGAGATTATTCCTGTATAGAAAGGCGGCGAGGTGGCAATGGTCGAGCAGAGGCAAATCAGCCAAAGCGTGATTGGGAGGTTCGGCGTCGAGACTCGGCCAGGAAGCGATAACTGTAGGCTATGGCGGACAAGGTGAGGGCTGCACAGCGGCCTCGATCATTGACTTGGAAGCAGAGCCGAGCCCGGCGTCTGGTGATGGGCGGCTGGAAGGCAGAGAGAAGCTGACGGGCGCGACGAGTCGAGATCGAACGGGTATTGTGGCGTGCCAGGCAAAAGGGGGTTTTTCCCGGGGGGGCCCAGAAGGGTAGGCGCAAGGATGTCCGACTCAAGACGCGAGCGCTAACCTTGGGAAATGATAAACGCTGCAGCCAGCTAAGAAAAAAAATGGCCGGGAGAGAAATGGCTGTTGGATGGATGGACGGCGGGCGGTGTCGAGGTAGAGTCGTCAGAAACGCCAGTCCAGCATGGGGATCTCAAGATGCAGAGGTTGAAGTGTGGAAGCAAGTGTTATAACTGGGACTAGGACTGGGACCTGGACCTGGGCCACATTCAGGTCAGTCGATGAATGAAGAGTGGCGGCGGCGACACAGGTGCAACTTTAGTTTTGGTTGGCACTCACCCTCCACTAATCACGAGTCGTCACACACAAGGCCACAAGAAGCCCACTTGTTCATTATAGTTACGGAGTAGTATTACTTGCTTGGAGGAGGCAGGGCGGAGAGAGTCATCAACGGAATTAAAGGAATTAGTGAATAAATTATTGACTGGGGGAATGACTAGCAGGAGGAATCAGGAGAAATCAGGTACAGAGAAGCGGCCCGGCATCAGCATCAGCAAGCAACCTGCAGGTGGTGCGCATCGGCCAGTGGCAGGCTGGGAAGAAAGGAACGCCATCGCACTGTACAGGCGGGGTTTTTCGGGGAAGCAAACTGTTGTGCTTGTATTTAGACAAGCAGACTGATGAGGCTTTTCCAGGCACATCTCTTCTTTGTGAGTTGGCCGCAAAGGAGTCACACCGGCCGCTAAATGAGGGCGCTGTACTCCGTATCTTGCTACTGAAAGATGGCATCTGGACTGACAAGGTAGTCAGATCCAAAAATTCTCGATCCTCTCGTTCTCTCGCACCGCACTGTGGCACAGACAGCTCAGTCTTTACCTATGCGCATCGTCCGATGCGCCGTCTCGCGTGCGGGTTCTTGCCCGACTCTATTTCAGCTCCAGCGGATGCCTCTGGCGTCGCACGTCCTGCCAATGCTCAAGCCAATAGGTAGGTAGGTACCTAGGTACTTGCCAGGCAAGCCTGTGGGCCGTGGCCACCTTCTACAATCGGCACCGAAGCCGCTATTACAAGGACCACACACTAACTTGAGCCTGCCACGATATTACCCTATCCCACGATGGGTGTTGCACAATACTAGAAACTAACAGCATAGAGGAACAAGATTGCATGCCAACAGCTACATCTTACCACCTTGTCAGCCCGCGTTGACAACTCATTCACCTTGTAGGGCTATCTCTTGCCCCCACACACTGTTCGTACTTGCCATGGTGCACTGTGTGGGGCACAGTCACGAGCCGTGCCAACACTGTGGAACAACGCGTTTGTCTCCCTTTGTCTTTAAGCCCTGAAGCCACGATATCGGCCGTTTGTACCGAATAAACCGCGCCAGGCTACACAGTGCGACGAGTACCAACACAGGCCCGAGAACTGCTGCCACTTGGGCGTCTCGCTTTGACAACGCAACACTGTCAAAAATGCCGGTTGCACTTCGCTCGCCGTCTCGGCATGAATACATACATGCAAGGAACAAGTTTGGCTCATCGCATTGGTAATGTTCTAAATGCTTCCATCTTTTTTTATTCTACCATCCGAGAACAGACCCTTTTGGCATCTCGGCGCCCGGATCGGATGTCAGACGTTGCCGCTCCTGGCTACAGCCTATGGCTGCGAACAAAGCCTGACGCAGCAAGTCTTCGCAACAAGCGAAGCACCTCGCTATTCTTTTTCTAGTCGCGCTCTTGTCAATACTCAACATATTGTCAGCCCACCTACCTCATAATGCTTGTGTGACCCTACTAAATAGACAAACACTGGCGAAAACGGCAAGGCACAGTCTTGTGGAGGGCTAGCACAATGACTCGCCCAGTCTTTCGATTTGAGTTCCCCAAGCTTGACCAGCTGGGTGCCTCTGACAATACACAAATACACGCCAAGCCGCGCAGAAGGCCCTGATCGTCGTCATTTTTGCAGGAACCGCATGTTCCAGAGTTCGGCGTTTGGCAACCCGGCCGGAGACACACCCTCCCCGCCGTTCGCTCATCTCCTGTAAATTGGCCCAACTTCCCGCTCTCCCCTAGGTCGCACGGGCCAGCTCTGCAATCTCTCGGGGGCCAACTGCCACGGGGACCTGCTGCTTGCCGGGCATAAGATGTCTGGGGTCTCGTCTCTACTCTGTGAATGAGAACCCATGTGGAGAAGTGGCTTGCTTAGCAGGTGGTATGCAGCAGGACTGAAATCTAATCACAGCTACCAGTATCTGCGGTCTGCCCCTCACAACGCCACAAATATACGAATGAACAAGGGGCTTATCGACGACAAATATGACAAACATATTGAATGAGCTATGGACGCCTGTAGTCGACCTTGAAAAGCGTAAACCAGATCAGGCTTGATCGTGAATGCACGCAGGATATTATTCAACTGCTTACATCTCACTGTAGGCATTCAACGCTAGCTGCCCTCCCAAATGTGCATAAAGCACATTGCCGGTCGGGATTTCCCCCTTTCTAATCATATCCATCATGCCTGCGAGGCTTTTGCCTTCGTATACAGGGTCAGTGATGAAGGCCTCTGTCTGAGCGCCAAACTTGATAGCAGCTATTGTCGTCTCATCAGGAATGCCATATACGCCCGCGTGATATCGTTCATCAAGAACAATGTCAGCCGCAGTGACATCATCCTCGCTCAGACCAATCTTGGCTGCCGTAAACTTGGCAATGCGCAGCACCTGATCAAACGTCTGCTGAGGCTTGCCGGACGCGTCGATGCCCACGATCCTCCTCGCTCTCGAGCCGCGCTTCAGCTGGCACAGCTTAAAGCCGGCCACCATGCCGGCCATGGTGGAGCCCGTCACGGCGCAGACAATGATGGTGTCAAAGAAGACGCCCATTTCCATTTCCTGCGCTTCCACCTCAAACGCCCAGCGGGCAAAGCCCAACCCGCCCAGCGGGTGGTCGGACGCGCCGGCCGGGATGTAGTATGGCCGGCCGCCGGCGGCATTGATTTCGCTCCGCAGGTCGGCTAGGGTTGTCTTGTGCTCTATTCCAAACGTCGAGGGGTCCAGCCGCACGTCGGCGCCCATCAGCCGTGACAGCTGAATGTTGCCGACCTTTTCGTATCCCGGGTCGTGCCAGTCCACCCAGTGTTCCTGGACGGTGGCGGCCTTGAGCCCGAGACGTGCGGCAATTGCAGAGACCTGCCTGGTATGGTTGGACTGGATGCCGCCGATGGACACGAGAGTGTCACAGTTCTGCGCCAAGGCCTCGGCCGCTAGATATCTATGCGTAGGTGTCGCGACTCAGCGGGAGTGGTTCATACCAGGCGCGTGCATGGGCAGTCTCAACATACTCTAGCTTGCGAGTTTTATTGCCGCCATATGCAAGACCAGAATTGCAGTCTTCTCGCTTTGCATACACGTTCACCTTGCCGCCGAGTGCTGCGGATATACGCGGCAATGCTTGGATGGGAGAGGGCCCGAACAGAAAATCTTGCTTGGGAATACTGGCAAATGGTTCAGGTAAGTCAAGAGTAGTCATGATGAAATGTTCTTTCTCAATCGTGCTGTGAAAGTGTCGAGCAAAGTGGCAGGACGACGAAGGGGGGCAGCCTGTTGCGACTGATATAGAGTTTGGAATTGCGCCCTCTGTAGTTCAGCCACGCATTATCAGTTACATGCGTAGATCCCCTCTTCACACGAGGCCGCATGCCATATAATTGGCTGGGAAGCTCTTTTTGGAAGCCATCGGGAGGAAATCGAGCGGATCTTGATACTGAGTCGGCGGGTCTGGGGTTATTTGTTAGCTGATGTCACGAGCGTACGGGGTAGCTGAACGAATCCCTAGATCAACGGCCGCGGGGTTCTCTCTATCAACTATTTGGGTTCCGTTGGTTGCAGTAAGTAGACCGCAATTGCCCAACTCTTAGTTCTTGTTTTCATTCTTTGTTACCGTGCTCCATCTCGCCCTTTGAGAAAACCAGCAAGCTTTTATGTGAATTGCCAGGGCAGAACAGCCAATTAATTCGAAAGCTTTGGTGCTACGTAATTACATGTGCGTAGCTCGTATAGCCACACGCGGCTCCCACCAAGAATGACTTGGAGCCCCAGCCATTCTTCGCGCGGGGGAAAAATCATCCAACTCCTCAGTTGATGAGGTAATCCTGCAATGAATGAGGCACACCAGCTCTACTTTGTTCGCATACAACCCCGTCTCGTCGCATCTCCAGTCATCCCATCCTGGCGTGTCCTGCCTAAACAAGAACTGGCCGACCGGGCTGGGCCTAGCGCCCTTTGCGGTAAGGCCGGGCGGGAAACCTTTTGTTTTTTGCCCTGAGAGCCGTGACGTAGGCATTGCAACTTCGTTTTTTTTTGTGTGGCCTGGTACTCTCACTCTGCTCACTCCTACTCACCATCCGGCCTCCAGAGCGCATATTTTCTTCCTTTTCGCAATTGCCATCGCCACGAGTCTCCGTCAATTTCTTTTACTCATCTACTCACAAGCATGTGCGCCGTCTGATCTTCTTTCTGCGCTGCTGCAGTCACGAGCTTTTTGTTGCTCCAATTTGCCCTCGGCTCGTCGCGTGCCTTTTTGGCCGACCGACAATTCACCTAGACACAAAGAGAGCGAACCCAGAGCCAAAAAAGCGGGAAAAAAAAAAAAGAAAAAGAAAAAAAAAGGGAAAGAGGGCTGAACGGCGACGCCTCGTTTTCCTTACTCCTGCTCGACGACAAAGGAGCCCTTTCCAGATTTCGTGGGCGTCGTAGGCGCTCTCACACACAGTACCGAATGCCCCAGCCAGACCACATCACACCACCGGCCGTCTTCAGGCGCCGCACGAGCTCGTCCGGCTCGTTTCACGCCGGGGCACCGATTCCCGGCGTCATAAGCGGTCGCCGCTCGTCCGTGCACAAGTACCAGACTTTTCCGACGGAGCCGCCAAGCACGCCGAGTGGCACCAGGCCCGGCTTGGAGCCCGCGTCCGGCGCGAGCTCCGTCGCCTCGCTGCCGTCGTCGCCGGCCAGCTCCGAGCACGGCGACGACGATGACGATGATGACGACGAAGACGACGAGGAGAATGGCGAGACGCCGCTGCCGGTGCGGCAGCTCTTGCTACTGGCGTACCTGTCGCTGTGCGAGCAGACGGCGCTCAACTCGCTTGCGCCCTACCTGCCCGAGATGGTCACTTCGATGCCCGGCATGGACGCCGACAAGACGGGATTTTACCTCGGCGTCGTCGCCAGCTCCTTTGCCCTCGCGCAGCTGTCGACCAACTTTGTCTGGGGCTACTCGTCGGACGTGATTGGCCGCAAGCCGGTACTGCTCGCGGGCACGTTTGCGCTGATGGGCTGCTTCTGCGTTTTTGGGCTCTGCACGCGCTACTGGCAGGTTGTCCTGGTCCAGGTGCTCATGGGCCTGCTCAACGGCAACGCCGCCTGCGTGCCCACCGTGCTCGGCGAGGTCACGGACCGCTCCAACCAGAGCCAGGCGTTTGCCTACCTCCCCATCATCTACTCCCTCGGCAGCATCACCGGCCCGGCTGTCGGCGGCTTCCTCGTCGGCCGTCTGACTCCGGACACGTACCCTTACCTCGCGCCGAACCTGGTGAGCGCGGTGATGCTCGCCACCGGCTTCCTCGCCGTGCTGCTGTGGTTTGAGGAGACGCTGGACAAGGACAGCCGCGGGCCCGGCAAGCCCCAGTGGCTGCGCAGGCTCACGAGCTGGTACAAGAAGCTGGGTAGCAAGGCCGAGACGAACCGGCGCAATTCGTGGAGCACGCGGTGGCCTTGCGGCCAGCAGCAGCAGCCTCTTCTTGCCTCTGACTCTTCGTCCGAGGATGAAACCGAAGTCGATGGCTTGAACGGCTATGACGCTAACAAGCCAGGTTACTCGAAACAGGGCATCTGGAAGGAAATATTCAACCCCATCACGCTGCTGCTCCTTAGCACCTACCTCGTCTTCCAACTCTCCAACATTAGCTTCAACTCGCTGTACCCAGTCTTTGCGGCGGCCCCGGCTCCGACTGGCCGCGAGCTCAAACCGGGGAAAATCGGCGCGTTCCTCAGTGCCGCGGGCGTCACGACCATAGCATTCCAAGCATTCGTCTACGGGCGACTGCGAGAAAAGATTGGAAGCTTGGGTACGTATCGTTACGCGCTGCTCGGCCTTGCAATCAGCATGCTCTTGATTCCCTGGGTAGGATACGCCGATGACGAGCCCCTCTTTGGGATTGGGAGCGGCAAGCTGTGGCTGTACATTGAGCTCTGCATCGTGCTCATTTTCAAAAACATTTGCTCCGTCGGTGGCCTCTCGAGCGTCATGCTGCTGGTAAGAAAATTACTTTTTCTTTCTCCTTGAACGAAGCTACTAGAAACAATATCTAACACCTTGCACAGATTACCAACTCGGCACCTTCACATGCCAGCCTCGGCACCCTCAACGGCCTCGCGCAGACGCTCTCGGCGCTGGGACGTAGTGTCGGCCCTATTGTGTCTGGTGGACTGTTTACCATTTCCGTGCGCATCCGACCCAAGGGCGAGGCACTCGCATGGACCGTCTTTGGTGGTCTGGCCTTTATCGGTTTTGTCGCTGCGCTGTTTATCCGCGGCGACGGTCTGGAGAGTGAGGACTGGGAAGAAGAGCATGGCTCCTCTCCAGAAAGCGAAGCATAGTTTTGTATCCATCACGACACACATACACACAATACAAAAGAAGTTAAGCGAATTTCCTGGCTTTTTTCGAATCGTTACGAGGCTATCGAATCGGGAGTTGCGTAATGTCTTTATTAGGTGCATGGTTCACGCACGGCGCTTTCACGGGAGCAAAAGGCGTTTACTAAACGATGTTGCTCTAGAATATCAAAAATCACCTATACATGATATAATGGTGCATGCAGTTCTTTGAACTTTGGCTCCATCCGTCATGATTGTCTATGTCCGTCCCATCTATTTGATTGCGATACTTTCCCGAGACTCCGCCATCTTTGATGCATATACAACCACCAAGCGAATCAAATAAGCAATAACAAAAAAAAAAAAAAAAAAACAAGCACACCGAATAAGAATCAAGACCATCATATCCATAACCAGCCCACCTATCTTGCAGTCAACGCCCAAAATAAAAGGAAACACTTTTCCTCGCCGCCCTCTCAATACCACGCCGGTGCCACGGGCCAGTGCCTCAGCAAAATGGCGACCGCCAGCGTCCACTCGCGCTCAAAGCAGGCGCTCAGCCTCAAGACGTCGTCGTCGCTCGGAGGCAGCCACCCTCCCCCCCACATGCAGGGCTTGGAGGCCTCGGCGACGGCGTAGGCGGCGACGAGGTTATCGTCGCGGATGCGCACGAGGCACAGCCAAGCGAGGTTCCAGGAGCGGTTGCTCGCGGGGTCGGCGCGCACGCGGCGGTGGGCCTCGTCGACGAGCTCGGCGCAGACGGGGAAGCCCGGGGTCAGGCCGCGCAGCTCGACGAGCAGCCGACGGCCGACGACGTAGCGCACCCAGGCGCGCGTCATGGGGCCCTGGAAGGCGCGCGCGTCGTCGGGGTGCGCGCAGGCGGCGGCCGCGCGCTCGATCCGGCACAGCTCCGTCATGGTGTCGACGCGCTGGTGCGTGAGCGTGTCGAGGAGGTGCCGGATGGTGCGCGGCGAGGGGCTGCGGTGAGGGGGCGGCGGCGGCGGCGGGCAGGCGACGTCGAAGAGTGTGAGGACAGGAGGAGAGGGAGGAGAAGGTGGTGGTGGTGGTGGTGGAGGAGGAGGAGGAAGAGGAGGAGCAAGCGACGGGCCCGGGGGGACGATATTGGGGTCGCTCGACGTCGAGGGGGTATAGTGATTGTGCTGGTGGCTGTTGCTTCCGGTAGACATGGCTGGCGAGTTGACGTTGTAGTGCGCAAAGGGATCTTGATAAGACGGCATAGCTCCAGACGATATGGGGTACGCGGCTTGTAGCAGCATCGCCGTCGCTCGCTGTCGAGCGGTGCGTGCGAGTTGTTGGTGATGAGATGTGGACAGTTTCCGAGTACGTTGTTGTACGTTCATGGCTCATGGCTTGGCCCAAAGTCGACTTCTTCAGACCTGGGGGGGACTGGTGCTGATGTTTTTCTCTGCTTTATATATAAATCCCAACACCAGCAAGTACCCCTCAATGTAAAATGTCCCAAAGAGGCATCAACTTGCCATTTGAGCCTCGGGACCTGTTACAACGAGGTGTATGCTGCACACGGGTACAGTGAGGTCCGCGAGAAAAGCGTGCTACCGGAATAATAAGCAACGGGGTGCAACATATAAGATCTGACCAGAGAAGAAAAAAAAGAAACCCACCTTGATGAAGAATCCTTGGCCTAGAAGGCCCGTCCCATTGGTAGTAGTTAAAAGCTATCTCACCAAACGGTTTCTCGTGGCGGAGTCGTGGTGTAAGTCAGCCCTGTGCTAGCGCCGGCAGGAGTGAGAACCGCATTGGAGTTGGGCAGTTGCGCCTGTTTTTTTCCCTGGGGCGTGGGAGCCTCGATGAGACTTTGGCTGGCAAGCCTGCCCGTTTCAGCAAAGTAATCTCTCCTAATGTCAACAAGAGCTTTTTTCCCGACAATGTCGGACAAGAGAGTTTTGGCAATTGCTTGGGGAGCCGTAATGTGCAGAGAGTAATGACAATGAAGCAACGCCACCACCCAAGTCTGGAGGATTTTGAGCCGCAAAGCTATATATCTTGCATCCAAACGATGGCACCTTTTCAAAATAAGGTTTCCATCCCATCTAGTTATAACGTTATGCTTTGTCGGCGAATTTCCCTCGACGGGGCCTGATTCGACGTTGCCGGCGCCCACTTACACACACACACACACACACACACACACATACGCTGACTCCCTGCGGCCGAAGAAAAAGCTGTTTCCTGGTGTGCTTCCAAAATGCGCTAGCCGGGGTCGTGCATACGCCTTGTTTCTATTTCTGTCCCGTTTCTCGTGGCAGTGAGTGGTCAGCCTCATCCTCCTCCCCCCCCTCCTCCCGCGACATGCAGTTGGCTGCTGTGCTTAAGCGCCGGACCGCCAGCCACCTTTTTGTTGACGAAATGGCTTGCAGAAGTCATCAAAATAGAACCAGACCATCTCTATTCTTCTTCTTCAGCCACCGAGGTTTTGCTTTTTTTTCCCTTTTTAATAAACTCTCCGGCGTGTAAGATGGCAACTCTTTTTTTGAGCAAGGCCGTGCGTGCCTATGACCAATCCGGGGCAGGGCTGGGGTTGCCTTGCTGCGTCGCAGTGCATGAAGAAGCCAAGGCTACGCAGTAGAAACTGCCAACGACCGGCGCGCAGAATAGTTTGTAACAGGCCAGCAGAAAATAGCACACATATATGAGGGCGCCAGACAAATGTTTCATGCAAGTTGTAGCTGCAACGAACCTCTTCAACATTCCCTGCATTGCCAGGTCGGCAACCGACCGGGTGAGAAAGAGGCCGAGTGGCTCTATCTTGTAAACGCGGGCACAGCCACGTCGGCAGCCCTATATTAAGCGCCAATCTGCCTCGCTCAATACGGAAGGTGTAAGAATCCCATGTCGTGGAACAAAGCAAAAGAACAAGTTTCATTCTTGATGATGCATTATCCCCCGTCCGAGGATCCTGCCTCAGTCTCATCTCTTCGTCAACATTAGTATATACAATCACCAAGTGCCTGAAAGCTTAATGTCTCTTGAGCTGGCGCCGACTGAAAGAGAGAATGTGCCCTCAGGCATGACCCAGTTTTGAAGTGTCGTATCCCAGTAGCTCAAGTCCCTTCTTGTCAAGTTGAAACGGACGGTTTGCGTCTCTCCTGGTGTCAACGAGACTTTTTCGAATCCACGAAGAACACGGACGGGAAAGTCCACTCCTTTCGTATCAGGGAATGACAGGTAGAGTTGAGGCACAACCTTTCCTTCAACAGCTCCATCGTTGCCAACATCAGCTTGTACTGTGACGTGCGTCTCCCAGAGATCCGGATGGCCGCCTTCTCCACCCCCGGCGGCCGAGGGACGCTGCTCGACCTCGTACCCATCGGGGTAGGGATAGTCACCTGGCTTAATCTCCGATTCCGATTTAATATATGGGTAAATGTATTTTTTGAGCTGGCGGATTTCGGCAGGAAAGATTGCTTCGCTGATATCTGGAATTTTGTCGTCCAACTCCGGTGGAGTCGCTCCGTCGGCAGGTCGGTCCCCAGCCAGTTTTGACTTTGCCTTGACTTCTGTAATCTGCAGATTGCTGTAATTAAAAGTCGTGTAAGATAGTCCGAAGCCAAACTCGAAACGCGGCTTGATGTTGTGCTTGTCGAAATGACGATAGTCAACATACAGCCCTTCCGTAAAATCTTGCTGCGGGACAAGGCTATTTGGGGTATACATGACTTTGGCCCCGGAGCCGTAATCATCCAGAGATTTCCCAATAGTATAGGGGAGTTTGCCGCTTGGCGAGACATCTCCAAAAATGATCGTCGAAATGGCATTCCCGCTTTCCTGTCCTGGGAGGTTTGCAGCGAGGACAGCTCCAATCCCGGAATGGTCAATCCAGCGCTCCATGACGACAGGCCCTACGGCGTGGACGACGACAATCGTTTTGCCCTTGCCTCCCCCGCATCCCTCAGCAACAGCGAGGATGAGTTCATCTCCGCCCTTTTGCAAGAACAAATCGTTTCGGTCACCTGCCACCGACGTCCACTTGAGATAACCTTCGCCGCCGTCAGCGTTGGCAAACACAATGCAAACATCCATGGCCTGGAGCAGGTCTTTGTGTGGCTTTTTATTCAACAACCAAGAAGATACATTGACAGCACCAGAGTCAAATGTTGCGCTGAGCGCAGATTCTGGTGTTACCAGGTAGGGAAACTCGACCGCTCCGCTGCCCCATCCAGAGCCTAGTGTTCCTTCGTTACAGCCTCGATCGGCGCAAAAGTTCGGACCAAGACCTGGTCCTGCATCATCTCCAAATATGCCAACATTGGTTTTACCGTCTCTTTTGCGCTCCGTTTCCGAACGGAGCCCATGACGAGCCAGTGGGAGGATACCGGTGTTTTTCAAAAGCACAGTACCTTCGACTGCGACTTGCCTTGCCAAAATGGAATGGTTTTGCTGCACATTGACATACTGATTGACTTCAACTTTATCTTGCTTAGAAGAGCTCCCGTCACTGATGTATCCCATACGATGCTTGGTCCAAGACGAAAAGTTGGGACCCTTTCCGTCAAATCGGGACGTGTCATCTTGTCCGAGTTGATACCACGACGCGACAATTCGTAGAGCCATATCGTCCAATCTTGAGACCGGTAGAGAGCCATTCAAAACAGCGCGTGATAGATGAGGACCCCAAAGGGATTTGCCATCCGTCCAGCCTAATCCATCACCTGGCATTGACATGTCGAGTCCGGCGAGTGCGCTTGCGACGCCAGATTGTTGCGCAAGCCAATCAGACATGACGAATCCTTGGAATCCAAGCTCATCCTTGAGGATTCCGTTGAGTAATTTGGAATTACCACATGCGTAAGAATTGTTGACCATGTTATAGGAGCACATGACGCTGGCGACGCCGGCTTTGACAGCATCGGCAAAGGGCCAAGCATAGAGCTCATGCATTGCTCTATCATCTATGTTGGATGAAAGCGCATGTGGTAGGCCCCAGGCCCAAGGTTGACGGAAGTGTTCCTGCTCATTTGCCACGAAATGCTTGATGGTAGCCATGACCCCTTCGCCTTGGATACCACGAATCGTCTCGGCTGCCGCGATACCCTGTAGATACGGATCAGGCCCGAATCCTTCCCAGTTGCGGCCACCGGCAGGCATGCGCCCCAGTGGACCAACTGAAGGACCGAGCAGAACATTGATGCCCTTGCCTCGTGCTTCCTTCCCGTGAGCTTGGCCACGCTGGTACATGAGTTCCTTATTCCAGGTGGCGCCAACTGTAATCCCGGCGGGAAATGCAGTAGCATTGTCGGCAAACCTGATGCCCAAGGGACCATCCTGCAACGCCAAAGAAGGGAAACCAGCGTAGATGGCCGGTCCTGTGTTCCCGACCGCGAGTCCCATAGCCCATCCAGTGCCCGTAGTAATGTTAACCTTCTCTGCCAGCGTCATATTTTTGACCATCTTGGCAGCCTTGTCATAGCTCTCGGTCCATTGGGAAACAGTGCCGCCTCTTGGAGAGGGATACCACGGGGGCGATTGGCCCTCTGGGGGTGTTTGTGTGTATTTTCCCCAGCCGAACAAGGCACCAAACACCACAAGACCGATGAGTATCGCGGTAACAATAATGGTTCTTTTCCGTAAGCGCCAGGCGAGTATCCGTGCTAGGAAGTGATCCGAAGGATCCGTGCCATGACGCTTTTGCTTCGACGAGCCGTGACGTGTGCCGGGAAGCAAATCCGCATCAATTTCATCTCTCAATTCGTCCAACTCAATATCGGAGTCTCCAGAATCATCTGAAGTTTCATGACTAGCCTTATCTTGGGGAATGGCATCATCATTCAGCTTCGCCGCAGAAGCCATGGCTCGGGTCGGGCCTCTGAGGTGGAGGCTCCTGAGCTGAGGCTACGTCAATATGTGCTGCAGCTGTCCAACGTGGCTCAGAATTATTTCCAACACATAGGTGATAAGAGGGCCAAAGAGACTGGCACTCCTCTCAATTGTCAAAGTACTGCTGAATCAGATTAAGGAGATCAAGGAACGGGGCGTATTGTCAGAGCACTAGTTACCAGAAACTTTGATCTAGAGTGGTCTCCACAGCAGTGCCAGTGACTCTGTAGGTGACGGCACAGAGATGGTAGAGAACTTAGTTTTTTGATCGAAACTCATTTCCGTAAATTCTTGATGTTCACTGCTCCTTCTTTTGCATATCTCTTCTTTTACATGACGGATTTCTTTCCTCTTTTCTCGTCCAACGCGATTGGTCGCGACCTCGGCACCTGAGCACACACAGCACTAATACATGCGGTCGGCTAAACTGTGGAGTTTCTCCCCTACGGCGATATCCTTTCACAGGCCTTAAGCCTGCTCCGGATCCTTCTGCCTGTCAAACATCACGATACCGCCAAGATGTCCATATTTCGCGCGAAGAAACTCGATATAGGATGCTTCTACAACATCCGAACGATTCGCGATCACACCAAGCGAAAAGCCTTCGAGCAATTCGAGCCTGAGCGGTACGCACGAGTTCCCTTATTAGCACGGCGACAGTCATGCGCAAATTGCGACGCCACAAGAAAGCAGAATCTAACAAAGGACCATGATAGACAAGCGCTTCGATACATGATACGAAATACTACTCTCCCGGCCCGAGTCCGCGCGGAGGCTCAATTGCAGCTTGCGCAGATGCACTGCTATACCCGACCGACACAAATTCGCAACCGCTGTATCATGGGCGGTCAGGGCCGTGGTATCCTGAGCGACTTTAAAATGAGCAGAGTAAGCCCAAGAAACTGTTCCATCAGATTTGTTCAAACTCTGACTAGAGACAGTATCAATTCAGAGTGCAGGCTATGGCTGGAAACATTCCCGGCGTGAAGCGAGCAAGCTGGTAATTCCGGTCGTAACCCTCGAATAGAGCCGATTTGCCGTTTGTATATTACGATCAAAAGCATGTGAGCCGATCCCATCGAGGTGAAAGCTCTTGTACGAATATCCAGAAATTATAGCAGAAATTATTGAATCAACTCAGTCACCGTCGCTCAATATCAATGCCATGGCAGACCTTATAGAGCGGCACAGTAAACTCTCAGAAACAGAAGGTCTCCATTCAGAGCACTGTACAAGAGACCGAGAATTAGATAACTTGCTTTGATGTTTCTTACAAGCCGTAAGCTGGACAGAGCAGCGCACGTGTTTTATTCGCCGACTGAGCCTCGCGACTCAGTCTATATTGTAGAATTGTGGGGACCTACAGGCTGCCGCGCTAGTGCGAGAGCCAGCCTCGATTTTATCGCCACTGTTGGTGCTGCCTTCAGCTTGGTCCTGCGCATACTTTTCTCTACATTCAGCATCCCGCATATCGCAAAAATGGGTGGTGGTGATCTCAACTTGAAAAAGTCGTTCCACCCAACGCTTCGGCGTAACCAAGCGGCCGTTTACGATGAAGAGCAGAAGGCGCTCGCCGAGCGCAAGCGCACGCAGCAGCGCATCGATGAAATCAAAGAAGAGCGCGCCAAGGAAGAGCTGCAACGGCAGCTAGAGGCGGCGGGAGGAAAAAAGAGGATCGACAGAGTCGACTGGATGTACCAAGGACCTACTGACGGTCAGGCCGGCACAACTGAGGAAATGGAAGCGTACCTGCTTGGGAAGCGCCGAATCGATAACTTGATCAAGGGCAACGATCACGAGAAGCTGGAAAAGAATGCCGGACAGGAGAGTTTCATGGCGCTGCAGAATGCAAACAGCGCTAGAGACACAGCAGCCAAGATTCGAGACGACCCTTTGCTGGCAATCAAGCGCCAGGAGCAGGCTGCCTACGAAGCCATGATGAACGATCCTGTTCGCCGCAAGCAATTGTTGGCCGCAATGGGCAAGACGGACGACGGCGACAAGAAGAATGGTAGCAGACACCGCGAAGACAGACATAAACGACGGCACCGCCACCATAGTCGCGACGGAGACAGACATCGCGGTCACGATCGCTCACACAAATCCCGACGTCGTTCACTCTCGCGATCTCGAAGTCCACACCGGCGTCGTTCTGATTCCCGTGATGATGGCAGAGGCTCCCGAGGTTGGAGAGATGATTCTGAAGAACCGAGCTCTCGACGCCATCGGAACGATTCCAGAGACAGACGACATAGCGCAAGAGACGATTCGCGCAGATACGACAGATCACCTCTAAGAGAGCGTGATACAGATGCCAGACACTCGCGGCGTAGATCTTTCGAAGGCGATAGATCTCGCAACCGCGACTCAAATGACAGGAGAGGAGATCGGTCTCAATACCGCCAGACTGGCGATAGAAGATGGAATGGCAATGGGAGTAGACGTGATGGATACCGCAATGGACGACAGAACAACAATGACGACGTCGAGCGGGATCGGGAGGAGGAAAAGGCACGCAAGCTCGCAGCTATGCAGAGCGCTGCAAGCAACCTGGATCAGGATCGCAGCGAACGGCTGGCCGCGATTGAAGAGAGAGAGCGCCTCGCACGAGCTGCGGACGATAGTGCACGGGAGCGCAATGGAGATAGAGCCTTTACGAACGGTCTACATCGGCAAGCCGGAGATATGGACCTCGGAGCCAGAATGGGGCGCAACAGGCATGGATACCAGAGAGATGATGATTGAGGCGGAGAGGATCGTTTTATACCACGCATTAGCATCTCGAGACTTTGTAGCACTTGTAAATTCATCATGTCTTGAACATTCATCAGGACCACCAGCGCATTATATGGGGTAATTTGCAAGGTTGACAGTAGCCCAGAAGCATTGACGTGTCGAAAAGGTAATGGTTGAGCCAGACACAAATGTTTGGCCTCGAATGAGGCTTCCCATTTGACTGCACATGGGAGCAAGATTACAATGTATAGGTCTAGAAGCCGTTTTCGCATAATATAAGCCCTTTCCTTGCAATGAGGGTTTTGTTGATGGCATGAATTATGGTGGCTTGCGACGCCTCGCGGCGCCCAAGTGGGCACCATCTACTAAGTAATGAACTAAAGTTACGAGTCGGTCGCGCAGTTTGGGTGAGTGGAATGGCAACAGTGGCCCCCTTGACGCAGTACAAGGTTGAGCCTGGCCTGCGATCATCTCCCAGGCCTCCACTATCAATCCTCCACCTCGCGCGCCCTCGACTCTTTCTTGGCCTCAACCTTGCACTCTCTATTATTGCCTTGCCCGCTTCTCCTCTTCATCCTCGCACGCTACCTAAACGGCCACCTACTCTCAACACCACCACTGCATACCATTCTCTCCTCATATTATATTCACTTGGCGCTGCATTTTCATTGCGTCTGGCTCTGTAACGAACGGCACCCTCGACATTGCTGTCTCCCATCCGGAGGCACTACGCTCGCAAATCCCAAATACTGCAGCCTCGAAAACAGAGTCTCAGGACACGAGAACCACATTGGTTGGCTTAACGGCCTGCGATAATTTTCCGACGACCGTATCGTTTATCCCGCGACTGACAACATGCCCCTTTGCGGAGGATCGAAAAATGTCCAGCGCAAGCTGGTGCTACTGTGCGTACCCGTTGCTGGCCCGAGCTGCCCGTCGCCTCGAAGAACGGGTGCTTACACCAACCGCATCTCTGCTAACGACGGTGAATTATAGGGGTGATGGTGCTTGCGGTAAGACTTCATTGTTGAACGTCTTCACGAGAGGGTATGCAGCGAATGCCTCACGATAGCTGCCGGACCCCCATTGACAACACTGTAGCTACTTCCCTACCGTCTACGAACCTACCGTTTTCGAAAATTATGTCCATGGTACGAGATACGCAAATGCAGAGCATTTCCTCGGATGAGTACTTGGCTAATGCACATGACTAGACATCTTTGTCGACAGCGTCCACATTGAGCTGTCACTGTGGGACACTGCTGGCCAAGAAGAATTCGACCGGCTACGGTCTCTCTCGTACGGTATGCGACATTGCTCGGGCTAGTTTGCTGCCGCCACTTAGGTTCTAACACACCTTTGCAGATGACACCGATCTTATCATGCTCTGCTATTCGGTCGACAGCAAGGATTCGCTGGAAAACGTCGAGTCCAAGTGGGTTGGCGAAATTGCCGACAATTGCGCTGGTGTGAAGCTCGTACTTGTCGCCCTCAAGTGCGATCTCCGCGAGCAGACCGAAGAAGAAGATGCGGAAGAAGCCGCCGGTGCCAGCGCCCCTGCCGCCGAGGTTGCTGAACCCCGTGAGAAGAAGCCTCTCATCACTTATGAGCAGGGCCTTGAAGTCGCTCGCCGCATAGGAGCCTCGCGCTATCTTGAGTGCTCGGCCATGAAGAACCGTGGTGTAAACGAAGCCTTCACCGAGGCTGCCCGCGTTGCCTTGAGCGTCAAAAAGGAGCGTGAGGAGAGCAAATGTGTCATTATGTGAGCTGAGATGCTGTTGACATTGTACGACTCGACTTGCATATTGTTTCAGTCTCTCGCTGCGTTACGACTCCCGCACCACTGGCCGTTTTATCGACCGACACGTCTTGGCCTAGTTTCTGGATTTGCTTGCAACTCGGTCAATTTTCCCTTTTGTCTTCGCTTCTACACCCCCTTTTGTTTTTGAATTAATCTATTCCCCTCGCATTTATGTTTCTTGTACACATTTTGACGCAAGCGCAGTCTCGTATCATTTCAATCGGGTCCTGGGATACAAAATCAGACGTTTTCCGAACCTATTCGTCGTCACATGTTCTTTCACAATGTAATATGCTCAAAAAGTCTTTCCGCTGAAAGAAATGAGTAGCGGTTTTCCTTATTGTTTGGCAATACAGGGCAGAGGTGTGGATCTGGGGAAGCAATGTCGGGCTTACATCTCAAAACTAGAAGTCTGTCATGGGGATGTTGAATTTAGTCTCTTTATCAATTTTTCTTGTTACTGTCAATCTGTATAACTCATAAGGTTGTTTTTCATGTTCGTTCAATTCGTCAAGATGTGCATTGCGACTGCGAGACCATTTACGGCATGTCTCGGGTCCCAGAGACACGGCCATGCGGGCAGACTCGGGCATAAGCCATTCGTGTTTTTCAACAAGCAAGATATGTGATGCGCGAAGAGTTGTATGTGGTGTCTGGTAATGACACGGGTCGACACCTAATGTGAAGCTGGGATGAATAGGCCGTCGCATAACAGCGTCTCTGGGCCTCAAGATTCACGTCATCGGTGCCAAACTAAGAACATGGATATACGGAAGAATGCGCCAGGCGTCTGCTTCTGGAAACTCCTTTTTTCCCTTGTGCTACAGCGGCGTTCTCGCCATCGCCGTGATTCGCGGCTTATAGGAGACGGAGTTCACGAAGAGGCGGCATTGACGTCACTGGCGCAGGATCAACCAACCATCTCGCCAATAGAAACCAAGTTTTGGCAAGCCCAGGCCATGAGTTGTCAGAGAATAAACAAGGCTCTGCTTCAATCTATTTGAGGGGAAGGTGTTGCACTGTATTATATTACCGTGCCATGCGCCCGTCATAATTTGTAGGGCACACGAGAACTTGCCATACGTACTCGAGAGCCTCTCTGGCCGCCATCTACACCCTGATACAAGTATTACAGCAGAACTACGGTAGAGAATCAAATGCCTCTGTTTCAGTCACGCCGCGCGGCCCCAACAGAGCCAGCCGCCGCAGAGGCCGCACTCAAGAACCCCGGGCTCTTCCACAGCCGCCGCGAGCCATCACCGGCACGGACCACCTCGACGACAGCGTCGTCCTCTGGTGACGTGCGTAGCAAGCGAGGCAGCTTCTTGCGGCGCAGCCACGACGACGGCGCCGTCGCCGTCGCGGAGCAAGAAGACGCGCCGCAGCGCAGCCCGAGCCTCCTGCACAAAGGCCTCTACAAGATGGGCATGGGCGGCAATGACAGCGACCTCGATCCGAGCATCCTCCGGGCGCGAGAGCACGTCATGGGTGCCGAGGCGGCCGAGGAGGAGGCGGATCGGGCGCTGGACGCGGCGAGGCGACGGGTGAGGGAGGCGCGGGAGCACGTCCGGCAGCTCGAGGAGGAGGCCGAGGCGGATGCGCGACGCGCGAGGATTAAGCAGCACCACGCGGCCGAGGTGTCGAAGCGCGGCAAAGTGCTGGGACGTGAGTATTGCAAAAAGTCTCGGTTGAAGCAATGTATGCGGGCTGAACTAACGGCGGTGATAGGGCATGGTCTTTGAAATGACGTCTTTGCGACGCCGCCACGAGACCTCAGTCTTGTACTGGTATGCGCGCGTGTAACCTAAGATTCATTGAGACACTAATCGATCTCTGATCTTGTTCTCAGTTGTGCCGCCTCGCTTCTCGATACAGCACAGCCAGCGGCCGTTGAACAGGGGTTTACGATGGCCGCGGCTGCGATGAGAGCCAAAAGATTTAACGGATGAGGGCGACAGACTGCGCCTTGTGAAATGAAAGACCAGCTACGGATACTGGCCTGATCTTTACTGAAGTTGTTGAATGCCAATATGCGGGCGAGCAAAGCGGGTCCTTTAAGGATGTCTCGTAAGCTCAGAGAATGAAATGTCACCTCGCCGAGATTTAATATACGAATATTGCTACGGGAAGTTCACTGTCCTCCGATGGCATGACCTGAGCCAATGACAAGACTGATTAGCCAACAAGTTAAGCGGTGGCCGCTCTCGGCACTACCCACCTGTTCTTGCTGCCATTGGACGATTGGGGGGGCTCGTGACCCATAAATGCACACCTCCCGCCGAGGACCCACCAAAGAAAGCGTTGTCACTGGCTAGCCACCAAGCCGTTCTGGGGTTTTGGCGTTTGGCCTTGGCGAGCCCCTGAGAAATTGATTGGATTCCAGGAATCGGCTGGTTGTGCGATGCCTGCAGAGACAAAAAAGGGACGTTCTTGTTATCTCAGTTCCTGTCTTGCCCCCTGGAAATTGCGTAGGCTAACAAATAGAAATAATTAATGGGCGTGGGCACGAAATAGGACGCCACGCCTTTTCCCTGCTGACAATGCACGCGCTCGCCACTTCTGTTCTTTCCAACCTCAGTCTTTCATTCATTCCTCACAACGTCGTGTAGTTTTTCATTTTGCAGATATCTTCGCCGCTGTTCACTCTCTCCAGCGGGAATCAACGCTCCTTTCAACCGATTTTCGGTTCTACGCTCCTTACCGTCTCTTCAGACACTCATCAACCCGTCCGACCCCGCGCTCCTCTGCTGGACCAGGGGACCGTAATACAGACGTTGTCGTCGGATACCTCTCTAAACTCGTTTCTCTGATTTGCGTCGTTTCTTTGTGCACCGCTTTTAGATCGCTCGAGATACCCCATTGCAAAGGCCTCGCGCCACTAATTGAGACGAACTACCCATCATGCGTTTCACCCGCCTCGCCGCCAGCGTTGTGCTGCTGGGCACCGCCGTCGCCCAAGTCCACACAGATTGTCAGCCTCTGAACCGCACCGACTGCCCTGCCGACCCGGCTCTGGGTACTGCTCACTTGTTCAACTTCAACACGACCCCGTCTTATGATCTCTGGGAAACCACTGTCGGAAGCGTCGACTACCATGCCGATACTGGTGCCGGCTTCTCCGTCAAGAAGCAGGGCGACTCGCCCACGATTCGATCCAAGTTTTACATCTTTTGGGGTCGCTACGAAATCAGCCTCAAGGTTGCCCCTGGCACCGGAATTGTCAGCTCTCTCATGCTGCTGAGCGACGACTTGGACGAAATCGACATTGAATTCCTGGGCGCCAATGCCACCCAAGTCACCACCAACATCTTTGCAAAGGGTGATGAGAAAGACCATTCTTATGGAAAAGAGCACGTCATGGAGGGCGGCAACCAAGACGGTTACCACACCTACATCGTCGACTGGACCAAGGACAGACTTGAGTGGTACATCGATGGCAACGTGATCCGCACCCTTACCTACAACGATGCCAAAAATGGTGACAAGTACCCGCAGACTCCCATGCGCATGCATATTGGCATCTGGGCTGGTGGCGACCCTTCACTGCCTCCAGGCACCATTAAATGGGCTGGCGGCGAGACTGATTATTCCAAGGGACCTTATACCATGTTTGTCAAGAGTCTCAAGATAGAGGACTACACCAAGGGCGCCAAGGAATATTCCTACGGAGACAAGACTGGCAGCTACCAAAGCATTCAGATCAAGGAGTGAGTTTCACATGCCGACGCCACAGGCTAAGAATGTAACGCTAACCGTATGTGCAGAGGTAACTCGACTGCTTACAATAACATTAATAAGCCGCCTGCCTCGAGCTCAGCGGATGGCTGGAAGAATCTGTCGCCCAACGCCAAGATTGGCATCTATTCAGGGGCCGGGGCTGTCGCCGCTCTTGCAATCGGTACTCTCCTTTACTATTACATTCGACAGCGCAGATTGGGCGCTGCCGAGGCCAGACTCGCCGATGAAAAGACGGAGGCGGAGCGCCTGGAACTGGCACAGTTCCGTAAGGACGGTGTCGACCCCGACGGCTTCAGAGAGCACGGACATGAATACGGAGAAAAGAGCGGCAATCTGACGCCTCTCGGCACAGCCGGCAACCCGTTTAACCACCCCGACGACTCGCGGCCGGGCTCCCGCCACCCCACGGTTCCTGATGTGGCTTTTGCTGGCGCCGCTGGCGCGGCAGCTGGCGGGGCCGTGGCGGTCGGCCATGCTCCCAGTCACGTTGCACCTGCAACACCTACATCGCCTCATGGCTTCGACTTTGGTGTCCCTCCTTCACCGGCCACCGCAGGTCTTGGAAACGATGCTCATCGTCAAGTGTCTCGCACACAGAGCGACATGATGCCTCCCCGCCAGCCACAATCTCCTGTCGGCCAGACGCGCTCCGCCACGGCCGATCCTTACCGCCTGGGCTCACCGGCCCCTCAGCAAGGATACGGCTTGCATAGGATGCAAAGCCCAATGGGACAACCGGGGCAGTACAGCACAACCCCTGGTCCCATGCAGCAACAATACAGCCAGCATAGGACGCAAAGTCCTGGCCCCGGCTATAGCGCCGCCAACCAGCCGGCCTACCGCGGCCAGCCTGGTGGAGGCAATCACTGGAACTAAGCAAGCACCCTTCTGATGATGCCTTTTTGAGTTTTGTTGCGGCCTGTCAAAAAACTTGGTCTTTGGTCGAGCGTTGCGTTTCTTTTCTGTTGGGTTGGAATCTAGATTGGAATTTTCTGTACAAGGGCCGTCATGAGCTCGGCCGTAGTTGCCATTGCCATCTTTTCCCCGCTATTTCGTCTCTTTCTTGCTTTTGCCTGGACCGGCTATATGTAATATTCTCTTTCCGAGGGCAATCGGCACTCGCTGCATTACGTTTATTGAGCCCACTCTCCTGCATGGTGGAAAAGCATATCAGGACACAAAAGCTAATCAGCTCGTCACCATGTCATCATATGCCAGAGTATCTTCAGCTGCCACAAGAAAGAGAAAGAGACGCATGACTGATGTTGCCGAGGTTGGTCAACCTTCAGATTTGTGGCTTGACTCTATTATCCGCGCCTCAGTCTTTGCTCGTCTTTTGGCGGATCGACGAGCACAATATCTACGAATGCCCCAATAAAGATGTTTAGCTAGCCAATTACCATTGGCACAATACGCCATGCCATCTCACAATCCTGGTACAATTCGTATTGTTTAGCCAGATTTCTGTGGGCCTTTCGCGGGCCGCTTCCACATGCATCACAAAATGGCCTAGCAAAACTTTCTACCATTAAGATTGCCATGGCTTTATCTGGAAAAGCCATCTAGTCAACTAATAATGTGGGCGTAGAATTCGGCCGATCACCGATTTGGTCTTTTTGCTTCCTTGCTCGCGCAGCGTCCGAGGTGGCTGCGTCCAGCCATGCACAGCATTATTGGCCGCGTCAGCAATATTGGCGGTATTTCAACTGCATCACCGTCGATTATATCGATTGAATCTTGGTCTCGACAAAGCAATTGGCAAAAGATTAGGCAAGCAGGGTCCGGGACACCCATCCTCAAGACGGAGACATCCGTCAAGATTGGCAAGGCGGTGGGCAAAGTTGGCAAGGCCACCGCTTTTTTCCCTTTTCTTCTCCGGTTTTTCACATGAATCGCATTTAGGCTTTTGGCTAGTATCTGTGGAATCTGCAGCCTTGTTTCCGGCCACTTGGATAATGGGATGGTTCCGAGCGCGAGTGGGCTCTCCATTCATGCACCTATGACCTACATGTCATCACGCAAACTGCGACCGGTTCCTCTTTTCCACTTTGCCACGACAACGTCGTATCGTATTGGATATCACGGGCCCAGGATGACTCTTGTGAGACCCTCTTGCCTCCCACTGGCATCAAGACCACCCGAAAAATATCGTGCTTTGGGATGCTTAGCTTGGGTGGGGGCTCTCCGCCGTGGTCTGGTATTACCGGCATCATCCTCGAAAGGAATTTAGACTTGCATAGTTAGCGTCATTATTCTGCGGAGGGCGACAATACGATCAAGCTAGCTTGCTAGTGTGTCCTTTGCTCTTTCTGACCAATATTGCGGAGCAACAAGACCGCGGTAAAGAGAAGGATGGCCGGCGAGGACCTGTCTTGGACATGTTGCAGGAACAAGGTGGGCGTTGGCTGACGCGGATCGACGTTCATGAGCAATATGGAATAGAAGAACCGGATTTACCGTAAGCAAAGCAAGCCGTACCCTCGGGAATTCTGGAGCACCAAAGTGAATTTCGCCGCTGGTCTGGTATGCATGTCCTACATGTACTATTGGGGTGGCCGAGAGTATAAAGGTCAGCGAAAGCCTCTTGTTCTATAGCCTCGATATTCGTGTTATATTCTTCATTTGCTAGAGTACTGTTTCCAATACAATTTGTCTATTGCAAATAGACGTATCTTTCAAGACGCACTACTCACAACACAACGACGAGGTGCCATACATAGCCTTCAAGGTCCATCTTCGTGATGCTTTTCAAGGCAGCTCTCGGTCTGGTTGCCGCTGCCGCTTCCGCTGCCGCCGCCCCGGCAATCTCAAACTCTACAATCTCAGACTCTACAATCTCAAACTCTACAATCTCAAACGCGACTGAGCTCGCAGGATACGAGTATGTGGTTATCGGCTCCGGCGCCGGCGGCGGTCCTCTGGCCGCACGTCTGGCCATGGCCGGCCACAAGACTCTCCTGATCGAGGCCGGCGACGACCAGGGCGACAACACCAACTACAAGGTGCCTGCGTACTCTGCAAAGGCCTCGGAAGACGAGTCCATCGCTTGGAACTTCTTTGTCCACCACTACGCCGACGAGAAGCGCCAAGCGCGCGACTACAAGACGAGCTACGACACGCCCGACGGCGGTCTGTACACTGGGCTGCAACCGCCCGCCGGCTCCAAGATGAAGGGCACGCTGTATCCGCGTACCCAGACCTTGGGAGGGTGCACAGCGCACAATGCGCTAGTCACAATATATCCGCACCGCTCCGACTTTGACTCGATTGCGCAGCTCACCGGCGACTCCTCCTGGAGCGCCGACAACATGCGCAAGTACTTTGTGCGCATGGAGAAGAAGAACTACGGCCTGCCCTTTGAAGGCGGCCACGGCCACGACGGCTGGCTCAGCACAGAGACGACAAAGATCTCGCTGGCCCTCCAAGACCCTCAGCTGCTGAGCCTGTACACCGGCGGCGCCTTTGCCTCGGGCAAGCTCCTCCCGGCCATCGGCGACCTGGCTAGCCTGCTTCTCGGGGACGCCAACGCCGATTCAAAGTCGCGGGATACAACCGACTCGTACTATCTGGTGCCCATCTCCACAAAGGACGGTTCCCGTGTTGGTTCACGCGAGTTTGTCGTCTCTGTGCGAGACGCCAAGGACAAGGACGGCAACAAGAGGTATCCCCTCGACGTTCGTCTCAACTGCCATGTCACCAAGGTCATCATTGACGAGAGCGGCGACAAGCCGCGCGCTACGGGTGTCGAGTTTCTCGACGGCCAGTACTTGTACAAGGCCAGCCCGCGCTACGGCACCGCTGGCAAGGGAAAGCCGGGCAAGGTCAATGCCTCGCGCGAAGTCATTGTCGCGGGCGGAGCCTACAACTCGCCTCAGATTTTGAAGCTCAGCGGCATCGGTCCCCGCGAAGAGCTCGAGTCGCTTGATATCCCCGTCGTCGTCGACCTGCCCGGCGTGGGCGGCAACCTGCAAGACCACTACGAGATCAACGTGCAGGGCACGGTGCCCAAGGACTTTTCCGCGCTCAAGGGCTGCACGTTTGGACTCAACGGCGAGCACGACACGTGTCTGGACAAGTGGGAGAATCCGACGTTTGGCGACCGCGGCACGCTCGCGACCAACGGCCTCCCGGTGGCCATGTTCCACAAGAGCTCCGTCACGGAGAATGGCGAGTACGACAATTTCCTCTTTGGCGGGCCCGTCAACTTTCGCGGCTACTTTCCCCAGTACAGCATCAACATTACGCAGGACCACGACGTCTTCTCCTGGGCCATCCTCAAGGCGCACCCGCGCAACAATGCCGGCACCGTGCGCCTGCGCTCCGCCGACCCGCTCGACGTGCCCGACATCACGTACAACTACTTTGACACGGGCAGCGGCGACTACGCCAAGGACCTGCGGTCCATGTATGAGGCCGTTGGCGTCGCGCGCGACGCCCTGCGCCGCCAGCCCGTCAAAGTCAGCGAGGTGCTCCCCGGCGAGGACGTGACGAGCCAGGCCGACATTGAGCAGTACGCAAAGGACACGGCCTGGGGCCACCACGCCTCGTGTACGTGTCCCATTGGACCGGATGGCGACGAGACGGCTGTGCTGGACTCGAGCTTTCGCGTCCGCGGCGTGGATGGCCTGCGCGTGGTGGATGCCTCTGTGTATCCTCGCATTCCGGGCACGTTTACGGCGGTTTCGACGTACATGGTGGGCGAGAAGGCTGCCGATGTTATTCTTGAGCAAAACAAGAACTGATTTGTTGTTGTTGTTGTCTTTTTCTTTCTTTCTTTCTTTTTTCCTTTTACGCTATGATTTGATGACGTTGTACGTGTGCTGTATATACAGCTTATAGGTGCTCAATTATTGTTTTGGGTTAATGCACATTTAGAATAAAAAATATAGCAAAAGTTTCTATTCACAATATACATCACCAGATATCAATCGTCAAAATCATTCAAGGTATCTCTCCAAAATTCACACTTGATAAAATTCGTTGCAAGAGCGCAGAAACTTGACCTGCAATCAAAAGAGGTCCCATCAATCCTTGCCAACAAAAAACATACTCATCAAAAAAAAAAAAAAAAAAAAAGGGTTACCAGGACTTATTAGCCAGAAGGGTTTCCGTTGAAAGCAAGCAGACCAGTGCTGACTCCCGGAAGACCGGTGACGATGCCGGGCGAGGCGAGCGCCTGGAGGCGGCTGCAGAGCTCGGAAGCAATGCCACCCTCGAGAGCAGAGATGTAGGCAGCAAGACCGGCAATGTGAGGAGTGGCCATAGAGGTGCCAGATATGGATCTCTATTAGAAGAAAAAAAAAAGAAGCTGCATTAGTAGATTCGCGTTCCCACAAGAGTTTCATGCATAAAAAGGGGAATTTAGAACAAAAACTTACAACGCCACCGCCGGGAACCAGAGACACAATGCCGACACCGGGAGCATAAATGTCGACGATGCTGCCGTAGTTGGAGAAGCTGGCGCGCACGTCCTTTGCATCCGTCGCGCCGACGGTGCAGACAGTCTCCTCCGAGGCCGGCGACACAAAGGCGGCGTCGCTATTCTCATTACCCGCGGCAACGGCGACAAAGACGCCGCTCGCAACGAGCTCGGCGGCGCCGTCGTTGACGGCCAGCGAGTAGCCGCCGCCGAGGCTCATGCTGGCAAAGACGCCCTTGGGGCACGAGCGGCCGCGCGAGTCGGTCACGACGTAGTCCATGCCGGCAATGATGCCCGACCAGGTACCCGAGCCGTAGTCGCTGAGGACCTTGATGCCGTAGACGCTGGCTTTTTTGGCCACGCCGTAGGTGGTGCTGGCAATGGTGCCCGCGCAGTGGGTGCCGTGGCCGTGGCCGTCCCGGTGCTGGTCGGGGAAGAAGCTCTTGACCTGCTTGGCGCGGCCGTCAAAGTCGGGGTGGCTGTCGTCGATGCCCGTGTCCAGCACGTACACGCACGTGCCGGCGCCGGCGCTCCGGTCGTACCGGTAGCCGGTGGTGGTGGTGGTGGTGCTGCTGCTGTCATTGTTCTTTCGGCGCGAGATGCGCGCAAGGCCCCAGGGGGGGTTGGGCTGCGTGGTAAAGGCGGACAGGCTGACGACGCTGTCTTGCTCAATGTACTCGACCTAAAGGCCCCTCACAAAAAGGAATAACCCCAAAAATCAGGACTTTGCTTTGCATTACATGCGGGGGGTTGAGAGCAAAGGGGGGGGGCTGAGAAAGTTTGGACTTTACTTACATCGGGATGGCTACGGAGCTCCTGGACCGCCGCCTCGTCGAGCGAGCCGGCAAAGCCGTGCATCACATCGCTGTAGATGTAGTCGGCGCTTTCGGCCATGATGGACGCGTCGGGCTTGCTGCCCGCTTTGTACTTGACAATGTACTTGCCGGGGATGGCGGCGCTGCTGTCCTTGGCGGCATGGAGAGGAGCAGGCTCGGCGCGCTGGACCGTTGGGGCAGCGAGAACAATGGGCAAAAGAGCCAGAAGCAGAGAAGAAAGCATTTTTTGACGAATCGTGGTGTTTTTTAAGAGGATGATTTAGAAGAAGGAGTAAGAGAGTGTCGATTTGCTTCAGGAAACTAGGAAACTGGTGCTTCCAAACCACTTTAGAATGAGAATGTTCTGTTCTTTACAAGGGAAAAACATTCCGCTCTTTATACTTGACATATGCCGCTCCTCCTCCTCTTCTTCTTCTTCTTCGTCGCCAATGCCGTTCCGTTCGAGACCACAACTCATTCGGCTTTCAGCACCAAGTCTTGAATACCTTCCTTGTCAGGAAGGCGCAGTCCGCACTGGCCTTTCAGTCGCCTTCATCTTCTCAGGGTTCTTTTGTGCAGAAAAAAGTACCACCTTCTTGGGTCAAGAGTGAGGCTATCATGTCTCAGGTATGCAAGTGTCCGGCGCATGTCTACATACCCACAAACAGCTTTGACTGGGAGGCATGCCACCTTCTTAAACGGAAATGGGCTTCATGGATTTCTTTGTTCTCGGCTTCGATAGAGCTCCGAATCATTGGCCAATGAACCTTCTTTTTAGTCGGATGAGTGCTCTTGGCAGCCTTATCCAGAGTACGTCAAGTTTCATTCGCCTAGATTTTTCCGGATCTTCTTTTATGTTCGGATGAAGTAGAGGAGCGCGTACTTGCACAGCCTCCCCAGCTTTTACATAGGTAGATCTTGCTGCATTGGCTCTGAAGAACAGCACACTGCATCCCATGTTCAATCACTCACCGTCACGTTCCAAGATCTTGGCCGACAAGTATGCATTACAGGACTCTAACATGGGCTACTGCAGCTGGAAGTAGAACTATCTTGCCCACATCTCAAACCCGTTTCTCTTGGATCTATATTCTGTCTTGGTGATATCTACAGTTGTGTTACCACATATCATACCGTTGGCACGCGGAGAACTAGTCCCCGAAAAGTCAATGCAATGCTTCCGGGAAACCAGCCCCGCCAAGCTACAAGTCAATCAATCGACAGGGAAGCGAGGTTTGCAAACCCAATCGGTGTCTTTATTAAGGCCGGGCCGCGTATCGTGGCTGTTTAGGGAAAAGATTTGCGGGGTCTGAATCTGGGGTATTTTGGCCTCATGGAGCGCATCCTACGGCACTTGGCTTAGCTCAGAATAGAAACACTGCTTGCGAAGAGTCTCTTAATATGATGGTCAGTACAAAACATGGTTCCGAGACATCTCTTCTTTGCGGGCCGAGGTTGCATGAATGCCCTTGGTCAGTCCTTCTCCCACAAAAGGCGCACATCAAAGCATGCCGTGATTCAAGTACTGATTCCCATCTGACAGTACCTTTTCGTATTTATAGACTTTCAAGACACAACAACTTACCAAAATCTACGTATGACACTTGATTCAACATCTCTCTCTCTCTCTCTCTCTCTCTCTCTCTATAGTTAGTTGACCGCTCTGGAGCCTTTAGGCACCAGAAGAGATGCGGGGATGTGCTTGTTGGCATTATGCTGGCCGGGGTCTTGATAGCGGTGCATACTGCTTGCCAAGACCTGACCCCGGTTACCCGTACACGTCTTGCTTCCATTTATTGCTGCAGCCCAGTTGATCGACGATTGTGTTGCATCGCCAGCTTGTTCGCCGCTCGCCCTCTGTGGGACATGCCATCGTCGGTGTTCAGGCCGTGATCAATGCGCTATCAATGAGCGGAGAAGCTACTGAATATATACCTTTCCCTTACTGAATGTGCTTAGTTGAAATCACGTTTAATACCATTTAGTTGCAGACTTTTTTGAATCGTCGATGGACGTAGAATACTCCATGGCGCCGCAAAACGTATCACAAATCGGATAAGAAATCTCTCAAGATTTAGACCGTATTTTAGAGCATTCAAAGGACAGGGAGAATAGTGGTGTCAAGGTTTTCTGTCATCTCGCCGAACAACCCCTGCTGGTGGCTGCATGCTGCCACTGCGAATGTTGGTTCCCGCCACGCCTACCTTCGGCAGAGCATTGCGGAGAAAATCGATTGCGGCCCTTTGATACCGCCTTATCCAAAAAAAAAAAAAAAAAAAAACCAATGCCGGTAAAATGCATACTGCAACTCCTCATCGGTGCCAAGATCTCAGGCTGGATATGGTGTGACAAGTTCCGCGGCCGCATGCCTCGACGAAACCCATCCAAGAAGAGTAAGATGTGCGTATATTTAGTACAGAACTCTCATGATGGAAACTTTCCACGTTGACGCCCAAATTTTGGCCATGCAAGAAAGCCAACAAGTGGCCAGTTGTGCAAAGGCTGGTGGTGGGTATTGTCAGCGCATCAATGCCTCAACAAGCCTCTCTTCTGCAGAGAAACATGGCCGCAAAGTCACGAGCAAGGTTGTGCAGGTTGATCAATCACTGATTTTCTATTGTTCAATACATGCACTGTTTTCTCTGCGCGTCCAAAGCTACCACACCTAGGAAGCCTAATCATTGCCGCCTGAATGAGGACATTCCTCTCTACTGGGTACGTATTGTATGTATTTTGCTTGCTTGGGGTGGCCCGGGTACGTACCTGTGCAGACCTGTGCAGACGGATGCAGCAGCACCTTTCCTGCATCATCATTCCGAAAATAGCGCTGCAAGAGCGGCTGCTTCTCACCGTAGCGGAAAGCTGTCGCGAGGCCTGGCGCAGGGATGGATGAGTGCCTAAATGATGGTGCAATTCCATCACAATCGTGTCTCTTTCGACAACAGCAATCTAGAGCCATCTGTGTGAGTACACCACCTTCAGCTTGTTGCATGGATACTTTTGCACAGCTGTCGTTCCCTGGACATGTCAATGTACTGTAGACATAGTGGACTCAATGTACTGCAGACATAGTGGACTGCACAGCTCCGATTCAGGCCGAGTCTATTGCAATGGGGGTATCATGCCGAGGTTCACGATTGCGTAGCTATAGACTCTATATGAGTCCAGTAGTTTGAGCACTTGAATACTATAATTTCATCTTGCGTAGCCGCTTCTTAAACCCATTGAACCTACATGCATTACATCAAAAACAAATACCCATCATTCGTACTAGTTCCTTGTTCGTACTACATGACATGCCATCTATGACCACGACCACTCCCCCAAGTTTGAATTTATTTATTTGCGTAAAACTCGCGTTTCCATTAGATGAATGCCTCCCATCTACGGTTGATCTGGTTGCGGCGGACCTGAGAGAAAGATTAGTATCTGGAGATTGAACGAGACAGACAGACAGACAGCACATACCATGGGGGCCACGAATAAGACGCCGCCAGTGAGCGCCAAAACGGTTGAGATGAGGGCCAGCTTGTTGAAGCCCTTGCCAAGGAGGTCAAAGAGACCGCTAGGCACAACACGCGTGCCATAGACGTCGATGCCATACGCCACGAGCAGACTCGTGCTTTCCACCACGGCGGGGGACGTAGTGAAGCCCTCCACGCCAAGAATGTCCCAATCATGAGAGAGAATGCTGCGCGTATCAATTTCAATGGCGGGCATGTACCTAGGCAGACCCTCGGCCTCAATCTCGTTGGCCGTGGGATCGCGGCCAATGGGGCGCCGGGGGTCGAGGAGCACGCGCGGCAGGGCGACGACGGCGTGTGACTCCGGCAGATAGGCAACAATGTTGCGGTTGGCAATGCCCTGGCGCGTCTGCGTGACGGTGAGCTTGGTGAGGGGCTGAGAGACGACCCAGCTCTGAGAGGCGACAAAGGGCAGCGCGACGCCGAGTGGGTTCTCAATTGGCTTGAGAGAGGAGAACTGGGCGTTGTCACCGAGCGGGCCGCGGTCGTTGGGCGTCGCCGACTCGTACAAATCGGACACGACGATTTGGTAGCCCTGGATAGAGCGATCCGAATCGTCATTGAGCGCGTACTGCCCAAAGAAGGAACAGGCGAACCAGTTCTCTGACATGGTGCATGAGACAGATTTGCCGGCATCGACGCCTTCGTAGGTCTCGGCGGTGAGAACCTGGCCCGAGATGGTGTCAATGAGCTTGATGGACATGACAGATGTCTTGTCGTTGATGGAGGCGATGACGGCGGTGTTGGGGTTCAGGTATTTGTACTGAACCTGTCTGTCACCAAGAACGCGACCGATGGACGCAATGGGGTCGTGAGCGGGTAGTGTGGCAATGTCCACAATTCGTTGGTTATCAGCAGCCTTGATCTCCCAGATATCCTGCTTCTTGATCTTCTTTCCATCCGCCACGATTTTAATTCCCTTGACGGATTCGCCCTCGCCGCGGACAACAAATGTCTGGTCAGCGAGCTGGCCACCCAGAGTCTCGTCAATGGGACTGCCGTCAGGACCAAACGCAAGGAGCCAAGCAGATACCTCGCCGTCGACAACAGCGGTGCTGGAGATGACTGGCGTGGTAGAGTAAGCCGCCTTGGCCTCGTCAACGTGGCCATCAGTGGCTCTAATCAGAACGGATTCGCCACGCGATCCACGCAAAGCAACGACGCCACTGTCCTCAGTCACAGCGAAGCCTTTGACAGAAAGTGATTCGCCAGCGGCTTGTGGCAAAACATTGCGAGTCCAAAGGACGGCGCCCTTGTTGCCCGTATCCAGGCCGTAGAAGCGGCCACGACGAGTGACCAGTACGACAATCTTGTTGAAGCCAAACATGTCCGAGTAAAGACCGCCAGTGTTGGACGCGGGCTCATCGCCGGCAATACTAGCAAGGATTTTGCCAGGGATAGAGGCCAGGTAGCCCGGAAGATATTGGAGGTCGTCAATGTGGCGCAAAACACGGTGGACATAGGCGCGGAGGGGGTTGGTATCCACCTCTCCGGCGAGAACCCTGGCGAGGTTTTCCTGCTCAGGAATCTCGGCCCAGACTGCAGCGACGCTACCACTCAGCCCTTCATGACGAACCCAATCCTTTTCGCCGTTGCGGATCTGGATCCAGTCGTGGTCCTCGGTGAGAATGGCAGTGCGCACGGCATAATCGTTATCCGACTTGTAGATGACTTCGGATACGGAGTGAATGGGCTTTACAGCACCGTCGAGCTTGGTTTTCCATCGCGCAACGCCCTCGTGTGATTCAGATGAGAGCACTTGAATTTCGTCATCGGTAATTCTCGTAAAGTAGACGTTGGCCCCTTCGCAGCTTGTGGAGAAGGAGCCGCGACCTTGGAGATGGGGCAGCTCGTGTGTCTTTTTGATCTGAGCATTCTTGATATCAATGCTAAAGACCTCGGCGCGGTTTCCGGACTTGGAGGCGGTATGTACTAGAAAGCGAGCTTGTGACTCCTTGAGATAAGGCGCCTGGATATCGACAAACTCGACGTCGGACGCCAGCACAATATCATGCTTAGTCTTGGTGCCGAGGATCTGGATGCTGAGCTTATCGTTTCTCCTCCACGCAATAATCGGTGCAGCAGAGTTGCCACCCACAAACATGACGTCCTCAGCCGTCGCAACATCACCCTTGCTGCCGACAGTCCATTGATCCACGCGCTTTCCATTGCTGGGGTCCACTTCGGTGGTCTTGACGCTGTAGGAGGAGGGAGACCCGTGCAGACTGACAATGTATATGCTCGCGATATCGGTGGAAACTTGGAGTGGGATGTCCTTGGTCGTTTCGCGAAACTCCCACATGACGGTGCCCAGGCCGCCGTGGAGACGTCGCAGGACTGTAGTGCCATCTTCGTCGAAGAGGACAACAACATCCTTCCTTGATGTTTCCGTCACTTCAATGACCTCGACATCCCTCGCCTCTCCCTTGAATTCAGCCTCCCACACGTTGCGGCCGGTGAGGCCGTTCCACGCTTGGACGCGGGGACCCTGGGCGGTAGCTACCCACTCCTCATCAGCAGGAGCTCGAAGGTGTCCGGCGCTGCTGGAGACGTCGTCGGAGAGCTGATGGCGCCATACCGTCTCTCCGCTGGCCGGATTGATGGCGCCCACGACGCCCAGATCGCTCAGTGTGTAGAGAAGGCTGGCCTTGGTGCCGAGCTTCGGTCGGTGGTAGAAGGTCGCTTCGCGCTGTGGAACGCCGACTAGGGAGTGATGGAAGTCAATGTGACCGACTTCATCTTGGAAGATGGCTGCCGCTAGCGCCGAGAGGCCTAATAGCAGCGCTGATTGGAGTTGGCGCCGCATAGTCGACGCGATTGATCTGGGGTTTTGCGACGTCTTGCTCCAGGTGCCTGGACTGGACTCGAGAGAGCTCACAGAGCTGCGAGTTGAGCAGCTCGAAGAGGCTTAGTCATCGACGACGCCACCAACACATTTCAACAACAACGGCTGCGCAAAATTGAACATTGATGCGATAGATGTATTTTCGTTTTCATTACTGCTGATTTTTGTCTCTTCTGAACTCTTTGCCCATTCGGGTCAATCTCACCTAATCTGGTGCAGTACGTGCTCTCAACGCGACTGAGACAATACAAGCAGCCGAGGCCGTGTAGCTTTTAAAGCTGGCCGAGTTTACACGGCCAGAAGATATCTGTACAAGATGTGACCGCCAAAAAAAAAACACGGAGTAGGGAGACTTGTCTTATTTCTCACTGAAATAGCCCTAAATTCATAATTTAGAGATTCACGCAACAGCTGGCAGTCGCTGGTGGCGTGCAGTACCTCTCCACCCAGTGTCGACCATCTCAGAAAGACCAAATATAAGTTACGTTATATTTAGAAGCTAGAAGAACCATGGATGGCTGCAAAGCACGTAAATCCCATTGTCGCAGCTGCATGTGCAGATCACTGCCGTGGTCTCGCATCGCGTGAGTGTGGTGGTCATGTGGTGGACTTCATCTACATTACATGGCACCCGCTGAGTGTTGGCCTCGGGTCCGCTATGAGGCAAGGCTGCAGCGTTGGCATCAACATGTGCTACGTGAAATGCTAAACTAATCTACATGACTCAATGAAGGGAATTTTTTAAGCTCACTCAACGCAGCTTTTGCACCTTTGGACTTTTTGTAAAAGTATTTGCGCGATAGTACAAGCTAATGACCTTGGGGAGAGGTGCCCACCTCATAGTAAGACGACGGTATTTTCATAAAAAGAAAACTACAATTTGGAGCGTGTACCTGACTTTCTATTACTGACTAGATAGTTTGGAGCGCTGACTTCCATTTGCACATGAGCAGGGCGTCAACGGCGGCCTCGTGGGCCGGTCGCGGCGCACCGCTCATGCGACCCCGGCCGAGAGACTGGAGCCCGGGTCAGTTGACCAGCGTCTAATAAGCAGTCGGTGACCTCATAGCTGCGGATAATAGCTACAATCCGGAAATGGCTGTTAATTCCTGTTTTTTTCCTTCAAACCATGCCAATTTCCCATCGTCAACATTTGCATGATGCGAGTTTCTAGATTTTGCGCTCGTGTACGTAGGCAGCCAGCCTGGTTTGGTGCTGAGCATGTGGCTAGTTACTATTTCCATTTCGCTTCAAACTTATTACACAGCCCTGTACACACTTTGACTTCCGGCCATCAAGCTGGGACGTGGATACTCCGCGTGACAATCAGTGTTGCAAGTGGCTCTTGCATGCGACATCCCACCCTCCAACATGTGCCTCGGACGTCTCGTAGTGTATACTCGACTTGTTCCTGTGGTGGCAAGATATGGAAAATCTCCACCCCATCGACCTTTTCCAACGTGGCTGCCGCTCATATGCAAGAAATATAGCTGCGGATGCCAGATCTTGATGCTTGCTTTTTGCGTCGCCGTTAAATGAGTACCTGCGTCTCTACCGATCATGTTGCCACCGACAAACCGTTCCTGCATAGCACCCATCAGTGCAACTTTCTCGAAATGAGTCACCCTTGGTCTCGAGCCTTTTTCCTGTACTTTTATTCAACTACGCATGTCTTTTCTGACTTTCTTTCTTACATATCTCTGGCATCCATGGGGCTGTTCACTGGGGCCGGCCTCGATGGCCGCGACCATACCGGCCTCTAGGCAGTCTTGCGGGCTGTCTTTGTCATCTCGACAAGTCAATAATATATAAATGTACTCTGGATCTTCTTTACTTCCCTCATTATCATATCTGTTTCCTGCTGTTGCCTTTCTACCTTGCACTATTTTCCTCTTCGTCTTTGCTCTCGAACAACTCGAGACTTGACGTGGTCACCTGCCCACTGTTCATCCTCATCACTCGCCTACGCAGCCCTGTGAGACTTTCTCTGCCCCAATTTGTTACCTCAAAACAGCCCACACTTTGTCTCTACGCCTGTCCTTGTGAGGGTACTTTGAGAGGACGTCCCTGTCAGCAGCCTCCGTTGCGCAGTCAGACTACCCTCTTGTACCCCGTTACAAAAGACAAACCAGTCGCCTGTTCAAGCTCATTAAGCCACAAATTTCAAGTACTTAGTCTGCCTACTTTGTCTGTTTCGCTTCCATGGAATATCTCTACTCCTACAACTCCTCTGCTGCTCGCCATTGCGACGATTATCGCTGCTCTACCAGGATTCGCATCGAGACACCCCAGTTGAGCTTCCCAATCGTCGAGATTACTTCACCGTCGAGTATCAATAGGCATCCCTATTCAGTTTACAGCCCACGCGAAGCGGACTACTACAACCATCACCACAGATACTGCTACAGCGCCGGCCCTTCGTATCCGGCACACTCGGCAAACTGGGAGCACAACAGAGCAGCGTCCCCTCGGCCAAACAGCCAGCGGACAAGACATCAAAGCGGAAAATGTCCAGACGAGTTACTATCGAGACATCGGCATCAGGCCGGCAATACGTATCCATACAGCGGTCGCACTCGGGCAGCCGTCAAACCAGTCAACATCGCCACTGGGCACCACACTGCCCGCCAAATTACCCATCGACCTACCCATCGCACCACCATCACCATCACGACTATGTAAGAGTCCTCAGAGACTCGTGGAACCGTATGGTTCAGAGAGAAGCAGCACTGGACAAATCAAACAAGGATCTTGTCTGCGAAGTCGGCAACCTAAAGAAGGATTTGGCTACTGCCGAGGCCGAGGTCCACCGCCTGGGCAGCGTCGTCATACCTCAACTTGAGTGTCAAATCACCAATCTCAGTGCCGAAAACCAGGAATTGAGACGCCAGCTCCAAAGCGCGACTGGGAGCTGCGGGCGGCATCATGTTGAGATTGAGGCTTTGCGGATACGCATCTGCCACCAAGACAAGGAGATTAAAGACTTGGAATGTGACAAGTCCAATTTAGAGCGACGGGTTGAGGAGCTGTTGCGGCAAATCGGCTCACACCAAGGCAGCGGGTGCGGAGGCGGCTGCAACAGGAGAATAGAAGACCTGACGCGCGATGTGGTACATTGGAAAGACAGGTTCTTGGACATGCAGCAGCGACGGAATAATCTTTCGGAACAGCTCGATGAGCAGGGCGAAAAGATTAGAACATATGAGGAGATACTTCGTCAAAATGGATTCATTATTCGTTGATGTTTTGTTTTTGCTTACTCGTCAGATTTCAGAGGATGTTTGTTGACTTGGCATGTGATTCAGTGTTGAAGGATGAAACGACATATTGAGTTGAGTTCAGTGCATTCTAGATTATTAGCAGTAAATAGATCAATCTCTCAAATCCGATTGTATTATGCGAACGCGGAATTGCTTGCTACCCGCCATCTTGCTCCAGTCCAACTCACGCAGATTCGTGGCCCGCAGGGCACGTCCAAGCCTGTCGTACCAAGCCCAACGCAAACATTCCATATCGAACAGGCATATGTGCAACTTGGCTTTAATATTCCCCGATAAAGTGATTTGTTGGCACCGAGTTTGCGTTCGTGACCAGAGTGCGACTTGCGTCACTAAACGGCCTTGCTCGTATTATGCACAGCAAATATGCTGTGCAAGTCACCAAACTGGCAAATAAATCCCCGGCCCTCGTGACTCGGACACCTTGCCGCCTAATTCGCAATCGAGTTTTGTTGCACAACTCTTTTGCACCAATGGAGATTTTGTGTAACATGAAGGGGGCACCGCGGATATCTCGTGTTTCCCTTTGAGCAGTCAAGTCCTGCTCGCCACTGGGAATTGGCTGTTGACAGGAGATGGGCAGTACATGTGTAGCCATATCATCGTCAACAAAAATCTCTCCCGCGGGGGGTGTATGTAATGTCGAAAAAGGACGACTGTGTGTCTGTTTGCTAATCATTCTGGTCAGGGGACTTGCAAAGCTGCCTTGCTCTGCATCTTACGCGCCTTACCATGACGTAGACCAGTCACAAGCTTGTTCCCCCACGCATGGACAAACGTTTATTTTCTGGAAGAAAAAGAAAAAGTAAGGCTAATTATTGTCAGGTCTATGGCGTGCATCACGTTCAACGCCACCAAAAGGCAGTTGTCGCCTCTTCGGCCCATCCCGTGTTGCCTGCCAGCCCGGCAAGTCAAGTCATTGGCCAGGGCCTTGACGAATTCACTTGCCGCACAAGAGTACGCGGCTCGCCGATAAGATGCTGCGAATTAGCGGGCGCCTTCCGAAAGTAGGGGTGCTGGTAAGCTCACAAAGAAAGGGTTTTGGGTCTCCAATTATCTTTGGCTGCCTTTCTTTGTACTTCACACCGTCGTCCCGTTCCCGTCCACCGCCCGGTGCCTGGGCAGCTTTTTGCGCCCTGCTCAACGAGATTCAGAGTGGTAAACAGCCAGCTGATACTGCTGTAAGCCAAATGGCCTTTGCGGAATTGGGGTCTGCCTGCCCACAACGTTTTGTAAAGCAGCCCAGGAGGTCTCACCGGATTTTCTTGTGCTACTTCAAGTCCATTGACACGAGCCGCGCGCGCGGGGCAAACAATCATCAGATGGTCTGACACAATCCTTTTTCAGCCCAATGTGCGTATCATCTTTGAGAGTTATTTCGTTCTGAGTGCCTCGGAAGTGAAATACTTTACGTGTCTACTTTGTGGCCACGACAGGAGCCATGCTGCGATGAGCCACAGTGAAAACAACCAGTCGACTGGGGTTCGGATATCGATCTCAAGCCATGGTATCCTCCAATTTAGGCTTGAATCTGTATCGGGGCCAGCAGAGAAAGAGGAAATTCAGTCCACAAGGCAGATAACCGCCGGAAGGAGGTACCGCCACAAGTCATCTCTTTGCCAAGTTGTGTAGGACAATACGAGTCAAATTTCTTGACATCACACTACTTCGGTATGACAGAGAGATAAACCCCACACCGTGTATTCGAAACCAAATGGAGGTGCCCGACAAGCCAGTCACTTGCGAGGTGGCTCGTTACACAGCCACCTGAAGGTTTGTACAAAACCGAGTGCCTACCCGTGCGGAGGACAGAGGTAATCGTGGAAAACGCGACGGTCTGAACCATCTTTTTTGAATCAATAGTAAAAGATTCATTACTCTGATTCGTCGCTCAACACTCCGCGATTACACCCTTCAAATATGTACGCCAAGTCATTTGCTGATTAGCGTAGCCATCTGCTTACCTTCTGGTCCAGAAGACGAGAACCGAATCACGATGCGGAGGCCCCTCGAAGATGCCATCAAAGCCATGAAAAGACGTCTCATCAATTCATCTCCCTGCGACTCATATGGAGACGGGAAAAGACTGATAGCGGATGCGGCAGAGTTATTCTCCGACGTGGAAGTGACTATGCGTAACGAGCGGTCGGATCAGGAGAAGAAGGTTGCCTTGGCATGCAGCGAGAGAGACCAATGGGAAAGGTTATACCGCCAAGCGGAAGCTGACGCCATGCGCTTCAAAGCGCAGTTGAGGGCCCTGGGTACCAGTCCCCTACCTTCAGAAAGCGGCTCGTCGAGCCGCGACTCGCCGAGCCGCGGACGACGGAGCGGCAGCAGGCCCAGGAGCGGCAACGGCAACGGCAGCCGCGATAGGAGCACAAGCCGACGAGGAGGGTTACGGAGGAGAGACAGCGACGCAAGCCGACACGTACACTTTGCATCATCGGCAATAAATCGAGATTCGCCACCCGAAAGCATGCGTCAAGACAACGAGCGACGAAGAGGGACCTATAGTCTGTCCGGCGAGGAGCTCCGCAATCGCAACAGCGCTGACCGCGCAGAGTCTGAGAGGAAAAAGAAGAAAATCTTGGCCGAGCGAGACAGGCTAGCCCAGAGATTCGAAATTCACTCCCGGGGGCCGCCCAGAGTGTACTTTCCAGGTGTTTCGCAGCCCCATGGACCGCCTCACCCACCTCCTCCTCCCCCTCCTCCACCACCACCAGCGCCTCCTCCTCCTCCTCCCCATCCATTCATGTACGATGACTTTTATATTCCGCCTCCCATTCCGGATCCTCTTGCAGTCCATCCTGACGAAATTCCTCATCGCCCTGGCGCCATCCCGTGGGACTTTCGCGAATATGTCTTGCGCCAGAGGACAGACGGCCCTCACTGGTAGCTTCTGACTCTGGATTGAGGACAAAGTATTAATTATACCTTTATACATATATATATATAATGAATAATGACTTACGGAATAGAATAGACCATAATCATGGATATCTGCTCCCTAGCTTGTTTCTGAGGAACTGGTCCAGCTCGTCAAGACGAGTCTTTATTGTTGCCCCCTAGTTGTTGCTCGGCGTACGGATTGACATTGTCAGGAAACTATAAGCACATATCGCTAGTTATAGTCCGTACGCTATCTGTACCTCGTCTTGCGTCCCAAAAGGGCCAGGTCTAGCCTCTTTTGTCAGACTGCAGCTGTGCATCGGGCCTGCTACCCCGACCCGATTGCTCATGTGCCCCGCCTGCCGCACTTCGGAGCTCCGATGGGTCACCAAAGCAGTTGCAAAAGTATTCCGTCGTCATCCTGTTTGATGCAATTTTTTTTTTTTAATCCAAAGCAGAGTTTTTCGAGTCCAAAGACTCTGCTTCAGTATTGTGTGAAAGAAACGGTATTTCGAAAAAAAGCCACACGTAGCGCGAGGTCATTAGCAACTTGTCTTTTGCAACACTGCATTCCGGCGCTGACCGGGCCGAATTTCCGACCTCTAGGCTGTGGACGCCAAAACAAAGCCACCGTCCCCCCCAAGTCGTCCGGCTGAAAATAATCGGCCCATCGATTTTCGCAGTGTCCTCGCCAAACTTCCCCTCATCAATCAAGCGTATCAAGGATGAAGCTCTACGACGCCCTCACCGACGAATTGGCCAGCTGGATCCGTCAGCAGCCCGTCTTCTTCACGGGCTCGGCTTCCACCCACGGTCCGCACGTCAACGTGTCGCCCAAGGGCCTCGCCGACTCGCACTTTGCCATTCTCTCTCCCAACCGCTGCGCGTACATTGACCGCATGGGCTCTGGCTGCGAGACCATCTCCCACAGCTACGAGAATGGCCGCCTGTGCCTCATGTTCATGAGCTTCGGCCCCACCCCGCGCATCCTCCGTCTCTTTTGCCGGTCCTCCATCGTCGAGTGGGACAGTCCCCGATTCGAGGAGCTGGTGCGCACCATCGCGCAGGGGTCGCCGCGCACGGCGTTTGACGGGGCTCGCGCGGTCATCGTCTGCGATATATGGCAAGTCCAGACAAGCTGCGGCTTCGGCGTGCCCAGAGTCAAAAAGGGCATATACGCGGCGGACAACGAGGATGATGATGGCGAATTGGGTGGCAAGGCAGGTGACGCGCCAAAAATCGGTGACACTGCAGTTGACATGGAGAAGCTGCTCCGCGAGGGCCACGTCGAGGGCCAGAAGCTCACAGAGCTCTGCGTCTTCGAGGAGCGCCCCCAGCTCGACTACTGGGCGGGTATCATGGTCAGCAAGAACACTGCGCTGAAATATCAGGCCAAGCACAACGCACGCAGCATGGACGGGCTTCCCGGCATGAAGACGGCTCGTCGTGATAACAACGAAGTGCTTTGGCTAGGCGATGCAGCAGCATATCTGCGCCGGACCTCGGCGGAGAAAGTCTCTGTGGCCATCGGCTTTCTGCTTGGGGCATTATTCTACTTTATAGTCGGCGCGCTGAACCTGGTGCCACGTTGATACGGGATCGTCGTTACATGTTTCGTGACTCAAAGTGAGAACTGCAATGATCAAGTGTTATTCTTAGCGTCTTTCGAGGTTAATCGAGGTAAATCATTGCGCCAGTGCGACCCTCTGTGCTACCATGATCTTTCACGCCTGCATCTTCACAGCAACCTTCAAAAGTTGTTCAGTCTACTTTCGATCGCCATGCGATGGACCGAGTCTGGTGATGCCTCCTCAACTTGAGGCAATTTGCTGTTGTACTCGCTCATACTCGCCTAACCAGCATGGTTTGCCCGTGCACGCTTGTGTCTGGTAGCAGTAACACAACCATGTGGTACTAGCGTTTAGAGCGGCAATAACTGTCATGTACGACAGACACTACGGGCTGTATTCTGTCCGATTCGAACTGGCGCCCCGCGTGGGCGTTACAGTGGTCCGCTTGTAGGCTTACAAGCACAACTCGTGGCGGTTGGCAGGCCCGAAGAAAACACTGATGTGTCATTTGCGTTGGCTCTGACATCAGCCCGAAGTTGCCGACGGACCATTCTTTGGTGCTGCTTGAGCACCCGGCGCATTAGCCGCTTGTGCATTTGCGGCACCCCCTCCGTTGTTTCCCCTACCACCACGGCCGCGGCGTCCGCGTCTTGCCTCTGTTCCTTTATCTTTCTCTTTCTCGCCGTCTTTCGCCTTGTCCAGATCCGCTGCCGCAGATGTTGTTGCGGTACCCGCTACTGTAGCAGAACCAGTGGCTGCCATTTTCTTGTCTTTGCGTTCTAGGATCTGCACTGACCCTTGTGCGACAGCCAAAGGGCTTGCAGCTATCGCTTTTACAAGTCCATCATGATCACCAAAATCGACATAGGCGAATCCTTTGCGCTTGTCCATTTCTATGGCAGTAATGGCTCCGAGCGACTCCAAAGCTTGCCTCAATGCGGCCTCAGTTACTCCTTGAGAGTGTACGGCATGCTTGATGAATGCTTTCGTAGCACCTGGAGTTACCGACGGTGACTTCTTTTGGGCTTGGCCCGACTTGCTATTTGTGGCTGCTGCAGGTTTTGAATTCTTCTCCGCTGCTGGTTTCGTCGTCGCATTCTGGTGACTGCTTGGCCCTGTGGCGGCACTGGCTGAGTTGTTCGGTGCATTTGCTTGGCCTTCTTTCTTCTTAAGAATCACAGGTGGATTGGTTGCTGAAGGTTGCGGCGCGGCTTCCGCCACTGCGGCAGTCTTGACTCCGTTTCTACCGTCTCTCCCCTTTCTTCCAGGCTGGGACTTTCCAGTCGGACCGTTGGTTTTAGCTCTGCCCTCCTGTGTGGTCGCGGGCTCTGTTGATTGACTTGTACCCGGAACCTCCTCAACCTGACTCGCCTCCTTGGCTTTGGCATCGGCCTTAGCTGCATCTTGTCGCGCTCGGCGATGCGCAGATCCGGGACGGAGACCCAAGTCACGCTGGAGGATACGAGCCGCAGAAGCAATTCCGGCACGTCTACTCTTTGGCGCGTCTTGAGCAGCAGCTGCATTGATTGCTTTAGCGGCATTCTTTGCAGCATCCGCTGCTTGTTCGGTCGCGGCTTTCTTTGTCAGGATCTTGACTGTCGTTGTTGAGCTCTTCTCCACCTTTTCAGTTTTCTCAGCTCTTGATTCTCGACCCTTTTTCTTGGAGGGCTCGTCCTCCTTGGAGCCTTTACTCTTCGTCTCGCCGCGTTTCTTGCCGGCACTTGAGTCTTTCGACTTGTTGGCCTTTTTCTCTTTCAAGTATTCAACCAGTGGAGTGGTAGTAACCTTGTTTTCGCCCTTGTTAGCATCATCGTCGTCCAGATCAGCACTGTCTCGTAGTGGCACTGGATTTGCAAGCCCCTCGAGAAAGGCCATGAATTCGGGATCTTGATCTATTGTTCCTTGGCGAGCGTCAGTGCGCTTCTTGTTGTTGGGTACCTTCTTGTAGGCAGATAGTTCCAGAGACGGTGGTCCAACAAGTGCTGGGCTTGTGAAGCTGTTCTTAGCGTCCTCCCACGTCGCAGCTATCACAGTCTCACTCAAGGCCAGCATGTCATCTTTTTTTATGAGATGAATATACGCTCTGGCAGGCCGTGAAGGCTTGGATGGACTTGGAAATGTCAGCCTCTATTGGTCACTTAGATTGGTGGGATGGTATCAACCTACTCAGTAGAGATCTTTCCCGGAATGAAGGAGGACCAATCGACTTTGCCTTTGCCGACGATCCATCTATCGCCTAGAATAGCGACGCATTCAGCCTCCGTCATACCAGGGGGCAGTCGTCGAAGGATGAGCTTTGCTCCATCATTCTGTTGCCTCTGGCGTGGTGCTCTGGGTGCCTCCGCTTCCCGCCCCTAGTAAATCTTGTTAGTCTCGAACAGGTAAGATAAACTCGAGGCTGTTTACCTTTGCATTATCGCACTTCTTATCTCCTTGACCACGACGTTTCTTTGGCCTAGAATTGCCGCCTTCCCGGCCACCCTTGCCCTACACCAGGTCAGACATGAAACGAACGGGAGCTCAACAGAGCAATCGTCATACTTTGCTTGGCTCGTTTCCTTGGCTGGCGGCGTTGGCCTGGCCGTTCGTCCTACGAGATAGGACTTGAGGTGCTTTTGCAGACATTGTGCATCTCAGAGAACTAGCCAGCAATGCAATATCGATGCCGTCGTCGCGCACCACTTGAATGTTTGCGCATGAGCCTCTTGATGATGCTCCACTAGGTAGAGCGCTGGAAGCGCCTGACTCTATCCGTAAGTATGCAACTAAAGAGTTAGATAGAGAGCGCCCGCGGTCACGTGGGCTAATGGCGAAAGAGGTGCTGCGCGGTGCGCTCAACAGCGTTGAGCTGAAAAAGAAAAATGCTCACGAAAATGAAAATGTGAGGAACTCAGAAGTAGACTTTTTTGGATTTTATGGTTACACTTGCTGCTCATGAAAATACATGGGAGAGCGACTGTTGCACTGCGCATAGATCAACCCAGCACTCATACCCAAATGCTCCAGATTGGGAGGCAGCGCTAGGCCCGCCTGCGCGACACCACCCACCCACCCGGAATCGAAGAGGTCATCCCTTTGTCGGTGCAGCATCGCTACCGTCCTCTGACATTCCATCTTTGGAGGGTAGGACCTTCAATCATGACTTCAAGCATACCCCGACCAGGCCCGGCTAGACTGGGACCCAATGCCGGACTAGATGAGTGGCTCGAGGAGGCCAAACAGTGCCACTATCTGCCCGAGCGGGCCATGAAGGAGCTCTGCGAAAAGGTCAAGGAAATATTAATGGAAGGTAAGATTGGAGCATGACCTGGGGCAGTTTTGCTGCACAGAGAATCAGGCGCTATAATGCTACATAAAGTGCGTCTACTAACTCGTTGCTGTTCTGCGGCGCTTCAGAGTCCAACATCCAGCCTGTCTGCACACCAGTAACCGTTTGTGGCGACATCCACGGCCAATTCTACGATTTGCTGGAGCTGTTTCGCGTCGCTGGCGGCATGCCAGGCGAAAGCAACGTTGAACCGCCGCAAACATCGACCGCCGTAATTACGTCTCAAGATATCGAGCCTCCCGAGATTACAAATCCGAAGCTGCTCAAGAAGCTCAAGTCCTCAAACAACGACACAACAGATAACGAGTCGGGTGAAAACGTGAGCCCGGGGACGGAGGCCGCAGCTGGCTCTGCGGATGTCAACAGTACTGTCCCTTCGTCACAGAGCGCGCAGACTCGATTTATATTTCTCGGCGACTTTGTAGACAGAGGTTACTTCAGTCTGGAGACCTTTACGTTATTAATGTGCCTCAAAGCCAAGTCAGTGCCGCAATTTGGGCTCCGCGACCTTGTGATTCCCCTCAGCTAATCTTACAATGATGCAGATATCCCGAACGCATAGTTCTCGTCCGCGGTAATCACGAGTCACGCCAGATTACTCAGGTATACGGCTTTTACGAAGAATGTCAGCAAAAATACGGAAATGCCTCGGTTTGGAAGGCATGTTGCCACGTGTTTGACTTTCTCGTCCTCGCCGCCATTGTCGATGGAGAGGTACTTTGTGTCCACGGTGGCCTGAGTCCAGAAATCAGAACCATAGATCAAATCCGCGTCGTTGCGCGTGCGCAAGAGATTCCTCACGAAGGCGCGTTCTGCGACTTGGTGTGGTCCGATCCGGAAGAAGTCGAGACATGGGCGATTAGCCCACGAGGTGCCGGGTGGCTGTTTGGCGATAAAGTGGCAACTGAATTCAACCACGTCAACGGATTAAAGTTGATCGCACGTGCGCATCAGCTCGTAAACGAAGGATACAAGGTATACCATGAAACATGCTCTTTCCAAGACGTCATTTGCTGACATGCCCCCTCTAGTACCACTTCTCAGAGAATTCTGTAGTAACAGTCTGGTCGGCGCCAAATTACTGCTACCGGTGCGGAAATGTTGCTTCCATCATGACGGTTGACAAGGACCTCGATCCCAGATTTAGCATCTTTTCGGCTGTGCCTGATGATTTGAGACACGTGCCCGCTGGGCGGCGGGGTCCAAGCGATTATTTCCTATAACGAGTACTACGCAGCATAGAAGATTGACGGGCTAAGGGCTATACCTGTAAATTAGTTTTTGGTTGAGATATCCACGGTCTTGAATGAGACGATTCCATTAATACTCGCCGTTTTGTACGTGTTGGCGTCCATTGCTGTGACGGGGCGTTGGCGGCCCCGTCTCGAACAGGTACATCCCCGCCCACATTAAGAATTTCTGACGTTGCGTCAATCTACAATCTGCATCAAGTTTACACTGGAAACGCTCAAAGCTATACAAAAGAAAGATGTGAACACTACAAAGTCTCTTTCTTTGTCACTGTATCTTTTACTCAAAATGCCGAAACAGCAGCCTCACAATCCAATCCAGGCCGCTGTAAAGTCGTGGCTGGTGGGACAGCAGCCGCCCGATGAGGAAGAAGCCGAAGCTTGGAGAGACTGTTTGCTGTGCGCTGCGCCGAAACGATTTACAATCTATGAGCCAATGGCACTTTTTCCTTCGGGCAGCTTCAGCAAACCCATATGGATCAATACTCTTAAAGCATGCACAGAAGAAACTAGTGCAGCCTTGTGGACGCTGCTGTTGAAAGAGTTGTCGTTGGTCGCCAAGAGCCCGCTGACGAATTTGGCAATTAATGAAGGGATACCGCTTCAAAAGAGTGGTGAATCGAGCGACGAGAATGTATTACGCAGTCCTACAGGTCTCCGAATGCTGTACGGCGACTTTGGCCCCTCTGATACTGCCAACGAGACCCCGACAACGGAAGAATTTGAAAAGGCGTTTTGGGTCTCGACAAAGCAAAACGGCATACATCAGATATGGGCACCGAGGTGGACAATGTTTAGTCGTGGCAATGTAAAGGAAAAGGCCAGGCTTCTGGCCTTTGAGCGCTCAAAATCTGCTTCTGAGGATCCATCATGGGCAGTCGACTTGTACGGTGGTATCGGCTACTTTGTCTTTTCGTATGCCGCGCTCGGCATGCGTGTCTTGTGCTGGGAGATTAATCCATGGAGCGTCGAAGGACTTAGGCGAGGTGCGCGGGCAAACAGATGGAGTGTCAGGGTGGTATCTGACCCGGCAGATCTTGCGCGCCCTGTTGAGGAGGTGCTCAAAGGCGGAGAGCAGATTGTCGTATTCTTGGAGGACAACCAGCTGGCACAGGGCAAGATACGACGACTACAAGAAAAGGGGGCGTGTATGCGCATTGCACACATCAACGGCGGGTTTTTGCCGACGAGCGAGCCGACATGGGAGCCTGCTTGGAACATGGCGAGGCGAAGCACGGCTTTGCAGACTTGGTTGCATTTGCACGAAAACGTCGGTGTGCACGACATTGCAACCCGCAAGGCCGACATTGAAGAGCGATTCAGGCAGTTTAATCGGGCTCAGGGCACTTTGCGCAATGTATCGGTCAGTCATGTGGAACAGGTAAAAACGTTTGCGCCAGGAGTATGGCACTGTGTCTTTGACGTGTGTATCGCAACGTCGCAAATCTAGACGTTTAGGCGTCTGTTCCTTCATTCCCTCCTCCCGAGAGAGCCCAAATAAAAGTACAAATATTCAAAAGCGTGACAGCTGCATCTCTCTGCGCCCAAATCGTCTCGTCATATCCCTTCTTTGGCGCCAACAATCACATCATGGCAAATAAATGCACCCCCCTCCCCCCCAATTCCAACTTTACATCTCAGCCGTCCAACACCAGTATGTAAGCAGTTATTGTATAAACACGGTCGAATAAAGACCCATCTTGCAGCGGGCAGTCTTATTGTTGCACGCGCAAGAATTTGGCAGGGATGTTGGCCTCGACAATTGACAGCTTGTCCATGGTCTGCTGCCTCTCCTCAGCATCCTCCAATTCCTCGTGCTTTTTGAAATGCTCAATGTCCGCGGGATGTGTCAGGTCCTCGAGCTTCGTGTCTTCGTTGTGGTACTTGTTCCAGTGATGGACTTCGTACTCGTACTCGTCGTCGCCGTGGTGGCCCGGCCCGAAGCCCAGGTCGGGCAGCGTCTTGCCGTCGAGGATGAATTTGGTAAACTCGTCCCGCGAGACCAAGCCGTCATTGTTGGCGTCGAGCTGCGCGAGCAGCGTGCGGTACGCCTCTTCGCGGCGGTCGTCGCTGACGTCCTTGTTGCTCGGGTCCATGAGCCCGTACATGCGCTGCATCTCTTCCCTCTCCCAGACACCGTCGCTGTCAAAGTCGTGGAGCGTGAAGAAGGACAGGGAGTCGTAAATGTCCATGCCATGTTCCTCTGCGGCGCATGGGAGACGAGAATGTCAGTTTTCCATCAATTACGATTCCAGATACCGCACAGTATTCGAAGGGGTAGCAGAGTGCTCGTGCTCGTGCATGCTCGACGTACCGGCCATGTGTCTCGCCATCCAGTTTGGGTAGTCTGTTCGCGCCTCCTCGCCATAGGTACCGCCGTGAGCACCACCACCGTGGGAGCCATGCGCAGACACAATGCTCGCGAAAGCGACGGCAATGAGTGTGGACGCGCGCATACTGGTGAATTGAAGGGGTTGCAAAATAGGCGACAATGGTGGAGGCTGGTGAGTACGGAAAAAATACCGTTTGTCAAGCCTTCAACCAGTTCCGTGCGCAAGGGGTCAAGGGGCGGCACTAGCTATCGCGATGCGTGGCAACGTGGGTACGTATTCAAAAATATTCTACCAATAAGGCTTGGCGCGTAGAAAGATGACAAAGGTCGCCCTACAAATGTCTTGGAATCTATTTCCAGCTTCAAGTTGGCAAGGAAATTAAATGATTGACATTGCTAGTATGTCGCCTCCCGCCTTTTTAGACCCCTGTCCATTGCTTCCGCACTTACAGCTTTGGCGTCAACGGTAGCCGAGGCTCAAGCAGCCGACCGAAATCTAGCTGTCCTTGGCTGGGTTGTCTTTGTATGTTTTTTCGTAATTTTAGTGATGGTGAGGAATTCGATCGACGCGATAGTTAAGCTGACTTCACCTCAGCTCGCTTGGTGTAACGCAACATCACCAGAAGTCGATTGAGGGGCAAAACATATCGTTCATGGAAAGTTGTATATTCCGTTTCATAGGTTTCGGGTGTTTTTCTCGGGTTTTGTCTCGGCTATCGGTCTCAATTTTCTGTCTCGGCTCGGTGTCTTAGCTCCCTGTCTCGGTTAAGGTAAGTCTAGTCAATGATTGACGATGATATTCAGTTGACTCTTCAGTCACCGCGTCAAGACGTGCAGCTGTCGACAATATTCTTGGGGAAAATTTTCGCTCAAATATCTACGATTCCTATATTGAGGTAATAAACACCCAAGATTTAAACACTCAGACTCCGTCAATGAGGTCATACATCACACAGTGTCTTTCAGACTAAACGTTCACGTCATGACATCTTGACATTCTGGCCTACCCTGTAGGACTCAGATATCGCAGGCTGGTTCGACGTTGGAAATACTTCCTCCAGAGGGATAGTGGGGTATACCCCCGACATCACTTCAGTCTTCACCTTTGCGAGTATGACTCGAGGATTGGAATTCCTGTAACCCCGTTTCTGACTGCTTGTAGGCGGGACCAGTACAACGGGCGTGTCGCCGGCTCGTGCAGTACCGAAAGTCTAATCTTTCGGTTGTAATTTCGCCCGAAAAAGCATCACTATTCACAAAGAGTCGCACGGCAAGTGGACCTTGACCAAGTCCGTTCAAGGAGTGAAGCCGGTGAATCATGAGCGGCCTGTGGACGCAAGCATCGAGCGAGTGACAGTTGCTATCATGTGCGCAGCTTACAAGTCAACAGCCATGATGCGTCGATTGGCCAGCTGAAAAGTTTTTAGCCATGATTACTAGCTCACGAGAAAGTTAAAAGCCTCCCTGTAGTAGAAATAGGAACGTCGGGAATCTTGGTCCGCCCGTGATATCTAGGTGATATGCGAAGGTCGAGGTCATGAGTGTTGATCCTAATGCGGCGAAATCTGACAGGCATCCTTTTTTTCTACGCCAAGCGGACGAGAAAAGTCGGCGTTTTCACGATGGCGTCGTGGCATTTTCATTGCAAATGGCAGCAAGTACGAAGCTGGCCAAACCTAAATCTTGCTAGTCTTGTGCCGCCAACGACGAGGCGCTCGAAGTTGGCCATGAACACAAGGACGACGACGGGTACCGTACAAGGCACCGAGGCTTAAAAGATGCGTCGGCTTACGAGCTCTGGCCGGATTCGATCAGGGACTAACCTATGCTGCGCGGACTGAAATGCGACGTTTGAACGAGGACGGTTTTACCAAAAGGGTCTGTGAGAATGGGAAGGCGAAGAAATACTGCGGAAAAGGCACTTCTACGATGTTCACTGTGACTTCAGGGTCGGTGTCCTTGACTTTAGGCGTTTCAAACACAAAGATACTATGAAAGGATAATTATGATAGTTATGGTTTAAGACAATGACCTGCAAAGTCATTGTTAGCTGTAGTTGCCTCGGTCCCTTTGTCTCAGTCGTGATGCTCAAGTGGCGCGTTGGCACGCTACTGGTGCGAGTTTTAACATGAGAATATTCCGTCGCGCGGTTTTCGACGATGAAAGCAAACCGACGTTCAAGGCCACTCGTGCCATTCAAGTAGCGCATTGGCATGCTGACCATCGGACCCGAGTTTCTCAATACAACGTATCATCGCCCGGATTTAGCAATCAAAGTAGACAAATTAGTTGCCCACCGCTCAGCGGTGGCACTCAGGTAGCGTGTTGGGACTCTACTAAGGCTGGGCTATTTCCGGCAGTTTAGATCTGGTGGTTTAACAATCGGAGCAGAATGCATTGTGCCGCAAGGAGCCATGAGAGGGAGTTAGTTGTTTGGCCGGCAGATATGGTTTGGCTTTGTCTTGCCGGTCACGCGTTGGGCAATGGATCAAGAGCTAAATCATAAAGGCGCCGGCCCATCAAGGCTGCATTTGGACAAGCGGCTGTTCCTGCATTTGAATGTGGCAAGGATTATATCGGATGACATGTCGGGGCAGCACTCGGGTGAGATTATCGTGCATAGGGCGCAAATTGCATGCGGTCCATGGAGATGCATGAATGTGATGACGAGCCTATGTGGAAAAAAAAGAAGAAAAAAGGAAGAAAACTCAATGCGGCAAAATGAGCAGTTGTCAATGATATGATAGACACTGTGATGCCGGTGAGATTGGGTGTTCCTTGCAACGGAATAGATAGCACTCGAGTTGCGATACTTTTCGTCTGCCGTCCCATACCCGACATGACATGTCACCTTTTGGGCACGTTCCCGCATTGTCTGGTACCTGATAATTCTGAGACAGCGTAGCTTTGTGGGAGGACAATGACTCTTCCCACCGAAGTTGGCTAGCTGTCACAACTGGGTTGCGGGCCGGAGCCATCTCCACACAGCCGATCTCTAATACAATTGTAATAAAATGACTTTTTTTAAGACCTCGTCTACATTATTTGCACTTTAGCGTGGCGTCAAGCTTTCTCCTTGGCCACCAACACGATCTGGCAGGTCTGGCCAAGACACAGACAAGACCTTGCCGATCACTGGCAAACCCCATGGGGCACAATCATGTGTATTAAGTCAGGAATGCTTGGTATGTAAAAATTGACGTAAAAATTGACATTAGAAGATATTAAGTAAAGCTAAAATATTAAAAGGTAAAGAACATGGTGGCAACAGCCAACACCAATGGCAGGCAGTAGGCGCCCATTGTCTGGTAGCGCGCGGCGCTGGCAGTGACTGGAACTCCAGAGCCGTCAGTCGGAGAAGGATATCCAGACCCAGACCCGTCACCAGAGCCATCGCCAGGACCATCGCCAGAGCCATCGCCGGAACCATCACCAGAGCCAAGACCAGAGCCATCGCCAGAGCCATCGCCAGAGCCATCACCAGAGCCATCACCAGAGCCATCACCAGATCCGGGGCCGGAGCCAACGCCGGAGCCATCGCCGGAGCCATTGCCAGAGCCATTGCCAGAGCCATCACCAGATCCAGGGCCGGAGCCATTTCCAGAGCCATCACCAGATCCAGGGCCAGATCCGGGGCCAGAACCAGGGCCAGAACCATTGCCGGAGCCATTACCACCATTGCCTCCGGGGTTGCTACCATCGGGACAGTTGCCATAGGTGCAGTCGCCTCCGGGATTGCTGCCTCCAGGAGTGTTACCTCCAGGAGTGTTGCCGCCGGGGTTGCTACCACCGGGAGTGTTGTCGCCAGGGTTGTTGCCTCCGGGGTTGTTACCACCGGGATTGTTGCCTCCGGGGTTATTGTCACCGGGGTTGTTGCCGCCGGGGTTGTTGCCTCCAGGGTTGTTGCCACCGGGGTTGTTGTCACCGGGATTGTTGCCTCCGGGGTAGTTACCTCCGGGATTGTTATCTCCAGGATTGTTACCTCCAGGATTGTTACCGCCGGGGTTGTTACCACCAGGGTTTGTTTACCACCGGGGTTGTTGCCATCGGGACAGTTGCCATAAGGGCAGTTGTCTCCTGGGTTGTTGCCTCCTGGGTTGTTGCCTCCTGGGTTGTTGCCTCCAGGATTGTTGCCTCCGGGGTTGTTACCGCCAGGGTTGTTACCGCCAGGGTTGTTACCGCCAGGGTTGTTACCGCCAGGGTTGTTGCCATCACCTCCTGTTGGCACAGGTCCTCCAGTGAATGTACTAGTAGGAAGTATCTCTGTAGTTGTGACAGTAGGCAGAGTGACAATCTCAGTTGTTGGGCAGCCGTCGATGAGGCCAAGATACCCGGCGCTCAACAGCAGCGAGAGAGCTGCGGAAGTGGTTTGAACGCGCATTGCGGTAGAGAAAAAAGGTAAGGAACCGTGGGAAAAAAAAAATCAAAAGTGATGGTGGGTGTAACGAGCGATACGGTGGAATGATGGGCTGCAGAAAGATTCTTATACGGATGGGGTGGGTTTGTAGCACAAGAGCTCTACTACACCAGGAGTCGATGACTAGCTGAACGGTCGGCGACTGTTAGTTGAAACTAACTCTGCTAAAATCACGTTGAAAGCTAAATTACAAACCTCTTGTGATTTGAATCGTTTTCGGATTGGTGTTGTTGTGGCTGTGGTCTAGAATCCGATCTTGCCGAGACATTGGCGGGTGTGAGTGGACTTGGACAAGAAAACTTTGTTGTAAAAGAAATATGTTAAGCGATATTGGTAGATTAATGACTTGTGATATGTTTTGAACTGATTCATCAACCCAAAAGAGCTAGTATAGAGTGATGACGGCGCCTTGTTTCTGGAGGTGCCTTGGCAGATCCGGCGAGCATCCGAGAGGGCCTCGACTCACCTACTCTCTCTGTCCGCGCCGGAATGAGACAAGCCCTGCCAAAATGTGACTTTACATTAATAAAAATGCTCAAGAAAGAAGTGTCAACGTTTCATTCTTGGCTTGAACTCAATCTACCTCGTTTCCTTTTAGAGCTAGGCCAGGAAACGCTCCCTGTACCGGTGTTGCAACTAGGGTTCCTGTTGTCGACTATAAACAGTCTCGCGCCAGCCAGTGACTAACTTCTGATATTTTTGGTTCTTCATTGGAAGAAGAAAAGAGGCAATCTTTTTCACTCAAGCTCCCCTCCGTGTTACGTACGTTCTTTCGTTCAGAACTTTGGCATCATGACCCCCAAGGCTTTGGGCCTCACGCTGCTCGGGGCGCTTCAGAAGCGCCAAGATGCTACGTGCCCAGATTTTTGCCCCTTTGACACCATGACGATTAGTATTGCTCCGACTGAGATTGTTGTTGAGCAGCCTATCCGTGTCACTGGCTACTTTCCTGACAACGGCCCCTTTACCCTGGCTCCCGATGTGGTGGCGACCATTACTGGTGCACCAGGTGTCATTGACACCGTCCTCACCCTTGAGAGCTCCGATTATGAGACCAATACCATGTAAGTTATACATGTCGATATGATTGAGAATAACATGATGCATGGACTGACCCACGTCTGCTATCAGTACGGTCTGCCCTACGCAACCAACAGACACCATCACTACTGTTACTACCAGTGAGCCGTCAACCACTGCGAGCTGTGTACCAGCTCCCCCAGTCTGTGCCACGGTCCTGCCCGTAGCGTGTGCCTCGCTGAGCTCCACCGATGGCCTTGCTCTGGTTCCTCTGGTGCCTCTTTGTACTGCTGCCCTTGGTGTTCTTGGAACTGCCAACACTGCCGCCTGTCTCGCCGCGGATATCGGAGCGACTACCGCCGGAGCTAGCATCGTGGCCTGCCTGAACGCGGCTCTTTCTGGTGTCTGCATCACCGCTCTGCCCCAGGCGTGCCTCGACATCCCTACCGCGTCTGCTGCCGACTTGCCTGGCAAGGTTGCCGCATGCACTCTAGCTCTCGGGCCATTCGCAGTCGGTACCGCAGCAGAGTGCCTTGGCACGGCGGTCACTGACCCTTCCAACATCCTGTCGTGTCTTCGAACGGCCATTGGCCTTGGCGATGGTAGTGATGCTTGCACAACCGTGGTTCCTACCTCGGACACGACCGCGCCGGCCACAAGCACTGATACCACACCACCAACAACTGTTACCACCCCGGACTCTACTAGCTGTGTGCCCACCGCCACTGGCCCAGCTCCATCTGTGTGCGCCACTGGTCTTCCCCAAGCTTGCACTGAGTTGGGCTCTTTGAACGGTTTGGAGATTATTCCGGCCTTGGTTGGGTGCACTGTCGCTCTAGGACCCTTCGCCGTCGGAAACACCCTTTCGTGTCTGGCTACGTCTGGCATCACCTTGACCACCGCTGGTACGACCATTGTCGATTGCTTGCGCAACGCTCTTAAAGGTGAATGCATCACGTCGCTTCCTCCATCTTGCACCAAACTACGCACCGAGAATGGCCTTAAGCTCGTCCCTGAGGCGGCGAAATGTCTAGTGGCTCTTGGTCCATTTGCCGTCGGAACAACACTTTCTTGCCTCTCCACGTCCCAAATCACCACCACGTCTACCGGAGTGGGCATCATTGATTGCTTGGAGACTGCGCTGGGTCTGCGCAGTAGTACCTCGCCCGGCGGTGACGGTACTGCAGCCTGTACAACCACCTCGACGCCTCCTGCGCCAACTTGTGAGGTGAATCTACCACCCGAATGCAGCAATCTTAAACGCACAAATGGCCTCGCACTTGTGATTGAGGTTCCCATTTGCCTTGTCGCCCTTGGGGTATTCGGTGTCGGTAACGCGGCGGCATGCCTTGCAACCACCGCCATAACACTAAGCACTACGGGCGTAGCCATCGTTGAATGCATTGAAAATGCTTTCAAAGCACAGTGCCCGAGGGAATTACCGGCCGCTTGCACAAACCTCGCCAATGACAACCTTGGCGAACTGGTGGTTGATATTCCACTCTGTACAGTGGCACTCGGCCCTTATGCTGCTGGTACTGCTCTGTCATGTCTTTCCACCAGCGTTGGCAGTGGGCAAACAATTGTCCAATGCTTGAAGGATGCCTTTGGAATCAGTGGATAATTTCTTTTCAAATAATTTATATTTAATACTTTTTTTAGTGATTAATGAAATTCCTCTTTCTTCTCACACAAAGTCGTTGTCTCATGACCAAAGCCTGTATCCCAAAGTATCTGTTCTTCGAATAGCACATATTTACGCCCGAGAAACCTTCTTCTAGCCGGTCATGCTAGCGATTATATCCGTACTCTGAGCGAGACCCAGCATGTTCTTCACCAAACGCGCGCGTATCCGTTCTGACAGCGTCACGCATGCGCATCACAGTACAGTCAGTCATTCGACAGCAGACAACTCAATATTCAATTCTGAGAAAAAGGAAAAATGCTGTAGGGATCCACAAAGACTGGGTGATGTGTATGCGAGCATGTAGCTGTAACCATTGTTCGTTTTGCGTATACAACTTCACCTTGGTACTGCACCCATCAAGTGATATATGATAAGACAGGTTGGCACCTACATACGCCCAGTGCGACTACACTGTGGGGGGACGGAGTGTGTATAAGAAGTTGAGAAAAGAAAGCAAGCTCTAGCTTGGTTGGGGTAGTAATTAGCAACAATATACTCCGTAATCCGTAGTATGTTATAGTATGTTCCCGCTTTGCACTTGGCCTTCTCCACAAGAAATTGGCGCAGTCAGATATCAATTGCGCGAATAAGGCTTGAATGGTACACATGCATGGCCTATGTACATGGTTTTAAAGTCGAGATTCAAGTAGCCTCTTCTTGAACACTAGTCGCGATTTCGTGCTGACGTCTGGCCGACTTTCACTTCTCACTCTTTTCTTACTCGTGCTTGAGGGTGAGGATTGAGAGACAAGACTTGCAAGCGTAAACTGCAACTGAAGGGATTTTAGATAGCAACGCTTGCGATACCTCCTCTTGGCAGCTGCAGCTCTTACCCCGCGTTATCGACCAACAGTTGCAATGCACCGAGGTACATGAAATTGGCATGGAGATTATAATCTGCGAATTGCTTTGGTAGAGTATGGCCAGGGCATTGCCAATCGCATGGCTTTCTGTTGGCTGGGTGACTCGAACAGTTTTTCTTTTTGCATCCAGACTACTGCACCTTGCTACGAAGCTATGCACGGGGGTGAGACCACTGATGATCAATAAAAGAACAGGACAAAATATGAGAAGAAGAAGGAAAAAAAAAAAACTCTCCGAGGGCTATCTCGGTGGATTTTTTCTTGGCACTGAGGTTGTAGGTGATTGCTACTCATTCGGGCAAGCTAGCCGTGATTCCTAGGACAAGTTCTTACTCGGGATTGCCGCATCAGAATGGCTAAGCGTCCCATGTCCCGTAGTATCGATTATTCTCCGCATCATGCAGACATCATATAAGAAAAACTTCCGATCTTCTGTTGCCACAGGAGCAGAGTACATTGTATCTGCGGACTCGGCCAGTTCATGGGCCGGTCGAGAATCTGGTTCGCCACTCGTCTCTTGCCGAGAATGGAACGCTCTCCCGATGATTCTGTATGCAGAAATATATTGATTGATGGAGCCTCTGGCGGGTTTGAACAGCGCTATGCCAAGATATCCTACCATTGCCAGCTTCCGCTTTGCCACCATTGGATACTCAATCACGCCACAAGCCACTTTGCCACCCCCTGTAGATGTGGACATCACTCTAATGACTACATGAAGGTGTCTAGAATTAGCTTTCATCTAAGCTACGCAGTTGAAATGATAAGGCTTTTGTGACTCCCTAGCTGTCCGGAACTGAGGGTGCATGTAGATGAAACCCCACGTTCAATATTACATGCCTGGGACTGGGTCTCTGAGTCGAGGCTCCGCCCGCCATCCGTTTCATGATGCTATAAGATGTTCAAAGAATAGGACAAAAACTAAAGCAAAGGCTCAGAGGCAAAAAAATCTCACGTACAAGAGTGTGTAAGGGCCTAGAATCCCGGTGCAGCGCCGGTGCTAATTAGACAGGTAAACGAACAGATGGCTCTCTTCAGTTCGACTAGTCGACAGTAAGCCACCACAGAGTATTAAACATAGCAGAAGAAAATAAAGGGCTCTCAAGAAGTGCTTGGAGCTTTGGCTAGGTCATGGGTGTCTCTTGACAACTGCCATGCCATACAAATACAGATTGCTTCAATGAATCTTTGTCTGATGCGAGAGGATCAGAGCAAGAGAATCAGGACGCATCCCACTGACTTATAGCAAATAGATAAAAGTGTTTTGTTGGGTTTTGAAAGGCAAAAGGCGGCGGCTGAGAGTGAAGTGTCACTCTACGGAGAAGGAGATTTCAGACAATCAGCGTGTCTTTCGACTGTATTTCCGTTCAAGCGCGTCAGTGACATTTACTCAAGGAATCAGACCAATTTCCGATTTGAAAAGGCACTTTTCGGTCGTATGCACCAGGCAGAGGGTAGCTCAGCAAATGAGAGGGAGGGCGTGAGCACTTGAATCTGATGTATGATTGAGGCTTGTGGCATGCTTGATTTCGATCTCACTTTGCGTCTCTCCGTTCTTTTAAAAAAATTCAAAAAAAAAATTCCCTTCCGAGCAGTCTCAATTATGGATTCTACTACGTAGCTGATGATTAATGGCCTATATTTCCTCCGCGTGCGTCGGAAAGGAAATCCTACTCCCAAAATTCCAACCGTAGAGCTCAAATCTCAGAGGTGAAACACGAATCGTTACGATGAAGTCCCAAGACGCAAGCAGAATCGTTATCATGAATGAATTGTTCAAGTAGCCCGCATATTAATATTTTTAATTTAACTCGCAGACTTTATGTAAAGCGGTGTGAATTGTCGGTGGACAGCTCGGCTTGTATGCTTGTGTGCTTCGCTTTCACATAGAAACTGGACGCTCAACAACATAATATCAGAGGAAATGAGATTTTCGATTTCTGCAGGCAACATAAAGAAATTTCCGAGTGAGAGGGCGATCAAGGTCACCCTATCTTATGTTTATAGTTCGTCAATTGTTTCCTTAGTTGCGCAGTTGCGCAGTTGCGCAAATGCCCGACATTGCTTTTTTTTTCACCACCAAAAGCACCTTCTTGGACCGAAACGATAGACTGAGCTGCTCGACTCTCAATAAGAATTGTGAGCAAAAAGAGTTTAGGAAACAAGTGTGCAGGCAGACAGATGCAATCAGAGAAGGTCAGGAAATGTCTACAATGAGCCAGTGAGTGTAATGGTATCTCTTGGCTAGATGCGCCGAATTTATGCCCTTTTTACTTCTAGCATAGGACCTTCTTTTTCGCGTGAAAGTATTATTAGACAGGTCCAATTTGTATTACAGCTGTCTTCACTGAGGTTTGAATGACTTGTGAATTGCTCAACTCAACGAGGTGCGTAGAAACACAGAGCAAGTTCCTGAACCGGAGCTTTTCAATGTTTGGACGATCCAAACGAGCTAATATATGCGAATCATTCCTTACCTTGTGAGTCATGGGCTGAGATATTCCGCAATGAGGGACAGCGGGATGGTGGATGGTGTAAGTACATCTCTCCAGCAAGCCCATGGCTGCATTATTGGCCCAGTCTGACGGTTTGATGAAGTAGGAGAAATGATTTAACCGTCTGAGTCTGAATATAGATAGCATCATGCATATGATGGGAATCCATTGGAAACAGACTTACTTTCTCAGGCTATTGCATCGCTGTCTCTTGCAACTCCGTTTACCCTCACGCGCCTAAAGTTTTCAGCGTCCAATGTGAAGATCTACCGCCCGGGTGAGTATAATGCAACCGCCGCCTCGAAAACCGCACCATCAAACTACTTGGTCTTAGAGAACTTGTTCTTCCGATTGCCCGTAGATGAAGATTACAACCCCAATAGCGAGAACAGTGCAGTTCAGCGTCTGTTGGCAGTAGCCTACCCTACATATACATGCTGTGTTTGCGTGAGACTTTCGCAGCACAATCACGAAATGGGCGAGTCTCCCAATTACTCAGACTATTTTGGCTTGAATCGCTCTTCCGGAAGTTTTTAACGCGAGCCAAAGAGCAGATCCCTCTGTACTTGTGATTGAGCTTCAGACTTCCAAAAAGTGCTCCAGAAAAGAAACGCAGCAGAATGACTTGCCACTCGTTGTAATGACCGATAACACAAAAGCCTCCTCTCGATTTGTGCTAATAAGACGGGAATATACAGGGCTTGTTTTTTTTTCGTCTGCATTCAAAACGTGGATTACATGGATTCACGAGCTCGTGCACCCCCCTTTTCACTCACATGAGATGATGGCACATTCTGCGCCCTTGCGCCCGAAAGAGGGAGTGTAGAGGAAAATGTTTCACTACGGTCGGAAAGTTGCCGGATTTTATGATTGAATTGCTTGAAAAGCAAGCCGGCGCAGCCCCGAACACTACTAGTACTTGTGAGTTGTGAGGTATTACAAAGAGTGCATACGGGTAGCTTCCCCGGCGACTAGGGATGGAACGCCCGCATATTACTAAAGTCACACTACTTGGATCATCATCAGGCTAGGTAGGGCATCGAATCTATTAGCTAAGCACAGTTGATTGCTGGTTTATTCTTGTGGAAGAATAGGCCAATAAATGTCCCTTGCATTGGCCTGATAACAACTTGTGCAACCACCACAACAACCACCACCCTCTGATCTACGCGATATTTTCGTTGTCCAGCGCAAGCTTTATCACCGACATTTCAGGTATCACCGCTGCAAAGTGTTGCCCCAAAAGGTGCCCTTTATCGACGTGCTTGCTCCTGAAGCGGGCGTTGTTGAACGCCACCAGGTTTCGTGGGCCAAGCCCTCTTTCTTCATATTGACGCTAAATAACAACATTGATAGCTAGCTAGCATGTCGCATTGCGAGCGCTGCAATCCACTCTAGATGGTGGCCACTGGCTAACTACTACCCTACCCAGGCCTTGGGCCGTCAAGCCGTGTCAACCGCTGAGCGGTACTTGCCGACTGGGCGACGTGCTCGCACCAATTTACTTGTTGCATAAGTCTTTACAGTTTTACACCGCCAGTTCGCAAAGATTCCCAAGGCTGCATTACTTGAAATGTTGATGTGATTACAGCATAGCTAGATTGGGTTTTGTCATAGTCTTGTATGCTGGATTGCTTCTCGGTGATGCCTCCTTGACTATCCGTTAATTCCGTTGTCAAGGCCTGGGATACATAATTATGGACATGGCTTATGGACCAATGACGGCCCGATATCAAAACACGGCACTTCAGCGCACCGAGCGGGATCTTCTGTTCCGGCAGGGCTCCCAGTAGATTTACGTGGGTGTTGAGAAGTCGCTTCTGATATGAGACCCCACGATCGACGTAACCGTCGATTGACAAAGAAGAAGAATCTCCGACCGCATCATTAATATGAGAGAAGAATTCCGATAAAAAGGTACCGAAACCAGAGAGCATATAGACAAGCCATCTGTGAGCATCGTCTCGAAAGAAAATACTGCTCCCGGCGCGCGGCACGCGTATTTACCGAGCAGTCATGATCATCTCCTAGATGATCATCAATACGAGGCAAGCTGGACTGCCACTAGTTAGCTGCCGCGTTCAGGGGCCGACAGTTGACTAACTAACTAGTCGCGCCGTCTCAAATCCCTGATCCCTCCCGGCCTGACTGACCCCAGCAACGCCCAATTACACCACTTTAGAGCTATTTGAATGCAGATCACATGTTTCCGAGTACACTATCGCTAGTGAGAAGAGTCATTTCTCTCTTTCACACTTAAGGTTTGAATTGACAATAGACCATGGTCGAGAACTGGCTGGACGACTACCCGTCCCAACTGCCAATCTTTATTGTACTCGCTAAAGACGAGGTTACGCAGCTGGGTAATTTTTTTAGGGGGGCGCGGGAAGGGGGGAGTATTTGCAACTTGTTCTGCAAAAATTCAAAGAGACAGAAAAACCCAACGCAATTTGATACTCGGCCGACATGCATGCACTGATCGTGCGCACGCACTGGCACAGGAGGGTCAAACGTGGTGTGCCAGGCGTGTGACCGACGATCTTGCGATGAACAGGCTCAAAATTACCACGAAAAACACCAGATCAAACACCTCATTTCTTTGGATAAGACGTTGGCGAAACTGGCCCTTAATCTAGGGTGTTCGTCAGAAGTGTCTTGGCGTCTTCGCCTATCTCCCTTTTCTTTGATACGTTTCTGGTGGTGGGCTCTGCAATGCAACTGCACGGTTTAATGGCTCCTTCATCAAAAGACTCGGCAAGATTACAAGAGCCGTATTTCGAAAATTGAGGGGAGGGGGGACAAGAAGATTCTGAGAAGATTGGTCAGAGGAAGGGGGGAATGAGACCTTTTGCTCACGCTTGCAACGCGCTAACGCACGACTAGATAGATCAGCCATCTCCAACGGTTTCCGACATTGTCAAGAGGGTTGCAAAGGGGCAGCCCTCGGCGACGGTAACCCGAAATACACAGGCTCAACGAACGCTAGGAAGAATCGGCAGTTGATTGTAGCTGACTACCCGTGATGCTGGCTTGACTCGGGAGCCTGATTCTTGGACATGTGTGCACCCATTTCATCACGGTTAGCTTGCGATTTAGGAGTATTGCTGGCGAGAACCACATCCCGCTGCTTCGTGATGCTCTTTGCCATTCGCGTCTTGGACAAGGATCAAGACTGGGACGTGACGCGTTGTATTTGGTTTTCGGAAACCACGCTTTTTGCTCTTGTTAACACGTTTGACTAACCGGAACAGGTGCTGGGGAATAGTAAACACCATCCTCTCAAAGTGGGATGACGAGGGTGCCTACGTGCCTTTGATGCAGCCAGAGTCTATCACGCTAGACTCTGTATGTATCTCTGAAACTTACAGCAAAGACTACAAAGTCAAGATGCGCGTCGATGAGTCTTACACTAGGTTATGCCTTGTTCAAAAGGATAATCTCACACCTTTTCTGGCCTGGCCAGCGCGCGGCCCATCTCGAGAGTTCCTGGAACTAGTCATGGCACAGAATATGTCAGCTATCAAAGTTGAAAGTTGCGTCAAGCTCATGCCTCCATGATTATGGCAGCGAGACCTGTTTTTTTTTTTTTTTTTAACGGCATCTATGCGGCCCGTTGCGCACGATGATGCAGGAAAACATCTGCACCCTTGGAAGCGACGACGCCAAGAATCCTAACCATCATCATGCATGAACCTGGCCCTCTCGCCGAGAACGCACAGATTCTTGCCAAAAAGTTTCAGTACGATTGAAACGTTCCTATGACTGAACATGCCATTGGCAAGCCGTGCTGCATGCAAGCCAAAGGTATGTATGATGGCAAAGCAAAAAGGTATCCTCGGAGGAACGAACCCTGAATAAGTTACAGCCTATTGTTTCAGGAATTGCGCTCGCCCCGCGTCAAATTTTCTTCAAGTGTTCTCATTGTTCAAAAAGGAACCCCGATGGGTCCTTTTTTCCCCGCATCATTTTTGTGTTTATTTTTATTTTATTTTGCTTATTTTGCGCAAGATCTATGCTTTCACTTTTCCCCGCACGGCACGGATCACGACTAGGCTCCTGCGGTGCTGGCAGAGTTGATCGCATCAACAAGTCCGAGAGCTCGGGCCATGCCGCCATCAGCGGCCGAGGCCAGTAAAAGGAGCGGAACTTGGCGTAACAAATCACAAAGCATTTCAGATAACCCTTTTTTTTCCCCCGTCGAGTTCAACGAGTTGGTGATTACTCCTCCTGCGATCCTGTTATTCGAGAGTGTGGCTGCGCTGCTCCTCCCTCCTGTCTACCGATAATTTTTACTGGGCAAACACAGAATGTCGTGTAATAAATCAATAGCTGAGTCAAGACGGATAGTTGTAGAAAATGGCTGCGGTTTTTTCCATGTAAAAAAGTCTCGTAGCCAGCTGAGTTCCCTCATTACATCAGCTACTTACTCGCCCTGCAGCCCGCCATCAGCCACTGCATTGAAGATTGCCCTTCCGCTGCTTCTTCCATGACGGTGCAGAAACGTTGGACAGGCCTGCTTCTCTGAAAATGTACAAGGGTAGGGGGTTCATGATGGCTGATTAGCAGTACAACAGAGGCTTTTCATGACATCACATCGTCTCTTTGGCGTAGTGGGCGTGCGGTTTCGCATCGAGACAACGCGCATGCTCGTGAACACATGAGCCTGCTCTGCTGCATGTCTAGCCTAGTTGCAAGGAACAAGTGCTCAGTCGATCCTTGTCACATACGGGGTAGTTGTTGACAAAAAACGCCTTCTAGCCTGAAGTTGGCGTGTTCTAGCACCATATTCCAGCAACGCCACATCAAAAAGTGACAGCGCATCGTGAGGCTGGGAGAGAGAGAGGAAAAGTTGACCCCTAGTCAAAGTTCCTCTCAAGCAAATCAAACAAGCTAGCGGGCGGTTTGATGTTTCCATTTGTTGCAAAGCATGGGTTGTTGTTCGCACTACGAACTCGGCTCCGTGCTCCTTCGTGCCACCAGTATGCAAGCCTTGTTGCGAGTTGGTTAGTTTCTGAGAAACTAGACAGCCTCTCTCACCCCGAATGGGTAAAGTTTGATGCGGGATTCGCTCAGCGGTGATGCGGGATTCGAGCGAAAAGAACCTCACGGAGCCCTTCCCATTGCCATTGTCATGAAGCCACAGTGGGCGGAAACAATGGCCTGGCTGAGGGTCGGGACACGCCGACAAATCTCCGAACTCAGATATCCAACCAGTTTAGACACCCGGGAGATATGTCCATGTAAAGACTGTCAATATCAACGTCGGTTGGCGCAGAATAATTTGGGGCAGATAGCATCTATGAGTCGGAAGCACAAGCACTCGTCAATCTGATATTATATCAATTGCAGCCGTTCCGTAGCCGTGGTGGTAGGTCGTAAGTACCGCTTACAACAAGGAGCAACCATGACTAGCGGGACCCCAATATCATCATCGAATGCTTGACAAGGCTGAGCTCCGGGGGTTCTCGGTGTTAGTGACAGTCTCATTGCAGGCAATGCGTGACCCACTGGAGAAGAACCCATTTCTCTTGTGCTGAGTGGAAACGAAGACGGGAAATTCCAAATAATAACAAATTGATCATCTTGAGGAGCTCTTCCGGGGGTATCCATAATACACTCAAATATTTACAAGGCATAAATAATAACATGTGGGCCGATTTGGCACCTTGCTGGGCGCGGCTAAGCTAAGCTACTGACTGATTGACATGTCACGGTCCAGGTTTGTGTTGGCTTCATGCGGGCGCCTGACTCTTTCACCAAAGTCGTCATTCGGGGGGGGGGGGTTGCTGCACGATATTAGAGCCCGTGGCGGAGCAGTGATAAATGAACGATTCATAGCTCGATACGATTCCAAGGCGCTGAGTACATGGCCACTTTAGCCATAGCGGCCGGGGTGATGACTGAAACGCAAGTTGATGGGATATTTGCCGGATCCGGATTATGTATTCCGATCGAGAAGATGATGTTTTTTGTTTCATGGTTTAGCGATGGCGTACCAGCACAGCATCGGCCAAGAGCTCCGCCGAGTCGGATGAAGCGGACAAGATACGAGCAGCTCACCTTGCCCATGTCCGCGATCCTTGGCCCATCAATGACGGAACGTTGCAAAATGTATCCGTAGATATGTACGGATACATGGGACTGCGGATTTACCGGTAGCTCAAGGAAGATGAAATGAGTTCCATCGACAACAATTGAAGTTTGACAGTCTGGTGACAAGCTCTGAATGGCGCCGCAGTGGAACTTGGTGGGACGTGGCTGCATATCAAGGCCCTAATCTGGCAGAAACTGTGGTGACAGATACCAGGGCTCGGGGAGATGGATTAAATTTTAGAGCTCTTTTTTCTGATGGCCGAAGTCGATCTCCCCATATGTGCTAGGACAGGCATGTTTCCGCCAGGCGCATAAAGATGATGAGTTTACTATTGACTCGCGCAAAAGTCTCGACCCGCAGTATCTCGACCACGGATCCCTGCATACATCGTAATTCGTATATCAACTTGTCGGAGTGCATAAGGAGATTATGCAGGGGTGACCAGTGAAAAAAAAGAGGGGAGACGAGAGCATCATCTCCCGCTGCCATCGCGGGCGGCTGGCTAAGCTGACCAGGCGCGACTTGAGATCGTCAACAACAGGGTACTAGTTAGAATGAAGACGACGGTCGCGCATGATGAACAAGGACTCAGAATTTTTTTCTTCAGCTAGACAAGAGCACAGGGGTTCATCTTTTCCCAGGCTCCCGATTGGGTTGTGGCTAGAATGGCCTGATTCTGCAGTGGACATGACGGGGCGCAAAAGCGAGCATGGATGCGTGGTCATCCGTCTTTTCTCTGAGACAATTCAATGATCCAGGTCTTAACTTGCTCAAGCCGCCATCATCAGTGACATTATCCTTGAAGCCCAACTGAAAAGCCAAGAACTCCGCGATGAAGACGATGGTCCGTTTCCTGAGCAGATTCAGGGAGGAGGGGAACTCTGATCCCCCAAGCACAGGCCACATCAACTTATCGAAGATCTGCCGGTATATATTGGAGAGAGAAAAATACCTTGATATAGTGCAGGGATAGTTGATGGGGTGGTGATCCTTGATATTGTACATGCATTTATACTAACCTGAGTGGATAATTACATCAAAGTACATACAGGAAAACCGCCCTTTGCTGCCATCAACTTGCTGATACTGTTCTAGCTTTACATGACTGTTTCCTCTCTGTCAAGTTATGGCAATGCGGCATTTACGAGACCCATGATACGCATGCTTTAATAGTTTTTTTTTGGACACGTCGAGACCGCTGAAATCTGCCTAGAGAGCGCATAGCAGAACTAGCAGGTCGTCAGTCCATGGCATAAACAAGTGCTGTGATACGCGAAGAGGTGAAGAGGTCAGAAAAAAACGCATTGCAAATGCATGTCGTGACAGTTGCAATTGCCTCGATCCTACCTCTTGGCTGCAATAGCTCCACATGCACCACACACGCCCGCGGCGGACCAATGTGCCAGCTTTTTAACGCAACGGATGGTCTTGACTATCCTTGCTACCCTTGAGCTTGATACGACATGTTACACGTTCAAACAGGCCTATTGGGCTGCGATACAAACAAAAAAAATAGACTGCAAGAGCTAACTAGCACGATTCAGTCATTCACCATGACAAAATAAGTGGTCGAGCTTTGCTCCCATTCATGCCCGCCCAATGACGCAGAGTTGCACGATAGTAAACAAGTTCCACAAGATGTCACAATTGATAAAGGATCGGGCAGGTTGCACTGCTAGTAGTTGGAGTGGATATATTGCTACCATTGTTCTATACATGCCCCCCCCCCCCCCCCCCCCTCCCCCGGACTTACATCTTTCCAAATAGGGGAATAGAGGTTGAAGACGGGGGTTATAGGGTTTCGCAAGATGCTGATCAAAAAGGTAGAGTGAGCTGTTTTTGACGGGATCTAAAAGAAAGCGTGCACAGATGAAACAAAAGAGTTTGGTCCATTTCTTGAACTTGAGATGGCTATCTCTCGACGGGAGTCGCGCAAGAGTCAAGGGGGGATTCCGAAAAGATGGGGTGGTTTAGTTGACAGCGAATTCCGTCCGTTACCCCATACATCAGCCGACTTGTCAAAGGGGTTCCTGCTTAGCTAGATAGGCTTAACTAGTTAGAAAACCAAATCTTGATAGACTGGTTCACTGTTTTCTTGTCAGTAGGTATCTAGCCTACGCATGACTAATGCGCGTGAGTCGTGAGTCGTTCGCCAGCGACTGCCGAGGCTTTTTCATACATATGTAGCTAGTGACTGATTCCCCGCCCCTGGATTTGAGTTTGATGGGCGTGGCTTGTTAGACGTTATGCGTAGTAGTTGACTAGTGTACTGGAGCGCACATGCTGCTTGCATGGACAGAAACGCCACATCCCTTGCCATGTTGTCATTCTTGGTAGGCACTAAACAGGAGCGGCTAGTAGGTACCTTGGAACGGCGACTCCAGCGTGCTGGCAAAGGTGGCATCTGGTAAACTTGTTTGAATGGGTACGGCCAGCGGGTTGTGGTGGTCGGCGTAGGTTTGCGCCATCCAAGGGACGGCGTGAGGGGACATGTCATTGGGCCAAGTGCCGATTTGGGTCTCCCCATCTAACTAGGTAATGCGTGCCCCTGTCTTTCCGCAGGTCTTCCGACCGCCACAAAGTTGGCTATTTACTTTACACTATCAGTAAGGGATACTTTTGCTGTATGTCACTGGCGACCAGTACAAGCACGTTGTACCAGCCGGGCTTGCTCGGTAGTCGGCCACGCAGCGCTGCCCAGCGCCGCCGCCGCCGCCGCCGCCACCCCTGTCATTATGGCCAGAGGAGGGAAAATTGGCTAGCCCAGAGGCAAAAAAACACGAGGGCGGCTGCCCCGCGATTGGCCAGGACCAGGCTTTGTTGGGGGTTTTTGCTCCTCCAACAAGGTACAACTTGCGCTCGCGTTGTCGTTTTCCAGCTGTGCCCGACTCGTTCGAGGTACCCCGTCACCCGTGTATTACGTGCATGTCTCTGGAGTCGAGTTGCTATTCTGCAAGCCTCTTTTTTTTCCCCTTCCAGCTAGGCTCTATCTATCTCATTCGAACAGACCATTTTGTCCTGGCGCATGACCGTTGACTGAG